TATATTCTTAGTTTTGGAAGTTTGGAGACACCTGGACACCTTATGAAATTTCCCTTTCACTCTATGTGGCCAAAAATATGTGGACGATCTTCCTAATTAATCAATTGAGGTGTTTCAGCCACATCCATTGATAACAGGTGTATAAAATCAAACACATAGCCCTTCAATCTCTATAGACAAACAATAGCAGTAGAATGGGACGTACTGAAGACCTCAATGACTTTCAATGTGGCACTGTCATGGGATGCTGTTTTTACCTCAGGTCAGTTTGTGAAATTTCCGCCATGCTAGACCTGCCCCCGACAACTGTAAGGGCTATTTACGTGAAATGGAAGAGTCTAGGAGCAACAACAGCTCAGCCACAATGCCACAGAGTCCTGAAGCATGCAGTGTTGGAAAATTGCCTGTCTTCTGTTGAATCACTCACTACAGAGTTCCAGACTGCCTGTGGAAAGGACAGCACAAGAACGGAGTGCCAGAAACTTTGTAAAATGGGTTTCCATGGCCGAGCAGCTGCACTCAAGCCTAAGATCACTATGCGCAATGCCAAGCGTTGGCTGGAGTGGTGTAAAGCATGCTGTCACTGGACTCTGGAGCAGTGGAAACATGTTTTCTAGAGTGATGACGCTTCCCTATCTCTCAGTCTGATGGATGAATCTGGGTTTGCCGGATACCAGGAGAACCCTACCTACCGGAATGTATAGTGCCAGCAGTAAAGTTTGGTGGAGGAGCGTTAATGGGCTGGGGCTGTTTTTCAGAGTTTGGGCCCCTTAGGTCCAGCGTACAAAGGCATTTAAGACAACTATATGCTTCCAGCAGTTTAAGATAGAAGTAAGATCCTTTCCTGTTCCAGCATGACTGTACCGCTGTGCACAAAGCAGCTAATGCTTTGGGTGTACACTGAGTTGCCCCTATATTAGACACATCTATCTAGTAGCATGTTCCTCCTCTTTAGGCCTTCAGACATGGATTCACCTGGCTCAGTCATGTTCTCCTCTAAAACATCCAAGGATTCAACCCTTTTTCTCTTAGGAGGCCACCCAGATGCTTGTTCAGTGTCTTGTCATCTCAAGGCTTGACTACTGCAACTCACTGCTGGCTGGCCTTCCTATGCGGGCCATCAGGCCCTTGCACCTGATCCAGAGTGCAACAGCATGGCTCGTCTTCAACCTTCTTTAGGTTTTCTCCACTGCTGTGCTCCCTTTACTGGCTTCCTGTAGATGCCTGCATCAGATATAGAACCCTGATTCATATCTACAAGGACCAGCCTCTTTTTGCCTGAAGGCCAAAACTTGATCCGTACCTCGAGCCCTTCGAGCGAGTACTCACCTGACCTGCCATCCTTCATGCCACATGGAAGACAAGCATCAAGACTCTTCTCTGTTCTGGTACCCAGGTGGCGGAACAAACTTCCATACGGTCTTCACACGTAAACTGAAGATGCATCTCCATGTGAAGCACAAGTGAACCATAATCTGTTGCACTTGTCTCTTACTGTATTGCCAAGACTCAACCAAGACTTGGTCGCCGTTGGTGACGCTCATGGGGGCTTGGACCCAGATTTTTCTGTAAAGCTACTTTGTGACAACATCTTTTGTAAAAAGCGCTATACAAATAAACTTTGATTGGACTTGACTTGACTTGCCCTTATGTTCCATCTTAATTCTGTATCTTTCCTTCCAGGCTTCGGCACTGGTTTTTGTTTTGCGGCAGTGTCTGAGCTCAAGGGGAATTTGCACACAAACCTGTTTGTACTAGCTAGTATAAGTTCTCTGAGCAGACAGCAAAGCACTTTTGTAAGTCGTCTGCTGAGAAAGTCTGCTGAATGCTGTAAATGTAAATCTGCATCTTTTGATGCGCAGCTGCTTCCATTCCTCCCATTTTCCTTTCACTCTGCCAGACTGCGCTCCGTCACCGGTTCTCAAGTTCGATGTGTCTCAGCCGCAGGTGCGAAGTGGCGAGATGCATCACTCTCTCGCTAACCATGAGCAAACATGCAAATTCTCGTTAGAGATGAGGTCTAAAAGCCAGCGCAGGGATTTGGACAGATGCGTTAACACAATGTAATTATATTCGCATGTCAACATGTTTTTTTTTCTGCGCGTAGATGTGCACGGCATGCCTCATCGCACTGGTTTCTAATGACAGGCTCTCTTATTGTCTGTGCTTCAGTTCGGGCACTTTATCCTATACTCTTAGTCTGCATCAGTGGTCCACTTGGGTTCAACCGACTTCTTGTCTGGCAAGCAAAGGGCTCTTGTTATTAATTGATATTGACCTTAAAAGCCTTCCTTATTTTAGTTCAGTCCGCTTTGTATATGTATATTGTTCTACCACAAGTTCTACCAGGCGATTTCATGCATCACCCTTTTATGAGCCTACATTGCTACTCTTGAAGAGGTTAAAGAGAAAAGGATGCTCTTATTCAGCATTGCCAGATAATTATCAGATAAGGCTGCTCAAGCTAACTAGGCTGACGTAGTGACTATTTTACAAGCTAATGTTACAGTTTGAGCCTCTCAGCCTTGAGAATTTCTAGGACAGCGTACATAAAAGGGTGGTTTTACTTACCTTGGCAAAGTTTTACAAGCCATAAAGTTGCTATCCAAAGCCCAGTTTCTCTAAAATTGTGGTCTTTGGTAACAAAAACACTTCTTTATAGAATCCCTGAGTGTTAACACACATAAGTACCGGAGGGGACGGAGGTAAAAAAAAAAAAAAAAATTAATTCGAGCGAACGTTTTGTAGTTCGTACGCACGTTTTCTCTTATTCGTGATCACGATTTCTTAAATCGTTCCCTCGTTTTCTTTTAATTGTGCGCATGTTTTCTTTACTTCGCCAGTTCATTTTTTTTATTCGTGATCACGATTTTCTAATTCGTTCTCTCGTTTTCTCTTAACCTGGTCATGTTTTATTTTAACTGAACGCTCGTTGTTTGTGTTTTGATAACAGCTCCCTGAGACCGTCTGATGGGTTTTGGTGTGTTAGAGTGATGAGATAATAAACAGAGATGCTCATCAGGTCTGATTCTGATTTGAATTGGGAGGTTATGAGGAAACTGCAGCTCCTCTTCACAGCAAACGGCCAACAGGGTGTTTCTACTCCCGCGTCAAGCTGCGGTGTTAGAGACCATCACACAATTAGTAGAAACAACGCTAAGCGTCTCTTTCTCTGTTAAATATGATCATTAGACAGGGCAGTTTAGTGAAGATTGTGGTTGTAGTTTATTGTCTTCCTTCATTTCTCCACCAAACTGCAGCTCCACTGATGAATCTGAGGGCCGTTCGCTGTGAAGAGGAGCTGCAGTTTCCTCATAACGCCCCAAATCAAAATCAGATCTGATGAGCATCTCTGTTCATTATATCGTCAATCTAACTCATCGAAGCCCGTCAGACGGTCTCAGGGAGCTGTTATTTACTTCTGCACTGGACAAAAAACACGACCTGTATCTACAACGCTGATTTTGTATAAACAAGGTGCGTTCAGTTAAAAATAAAGCATGACAACGATTAAAAGAAAACGAGAGAATGAATTAGAAAATCTTGATCACGAATAAACAAAAACGTACCCACCAAGTAAAGAAAACGTGCGCACGTTTAAAAGAAAACGAGGGAATGATTTAAGAAATCGTGACCACGAATAAAGGAAAACGTTCGCTCGAATTAATTATTTTTTTACCTCCGTCCCCTCTGGGGCGCCGTACATAAGCCCCAGTATAGTGTACATTTCCAGTACTGTTAAAATATGATGTATAAACCAAACAAAATGCTCTATTTATTGTTGAAAATAGACAAAAGTCCCTCTTTTTCATGGCAGGTTCCAGTGGCAGCTCTCGATCTTGTCTACTGAACTCATTCAGCCTTTCCAGATTTAGCTAGAACATGACACTACACAACTTTATCATTGTCTTGTTTACAATAGGATGGAGTCCAGTGCAGTCATATGACATGCAACAATGGCAGCTAGTAGAGGCATTTTGCCTGTTGCCTATAATAAATAAACCAACAAAACCTTGTGTCTCCATTTTTTGATTTTTGACAATATTTGAAAATGTTGCCCTTTACATTGTGTGCATTTTTATGATGAAAACAAAACCAAAACGGCCCAAAATTACTTAAAATCTGGTTCTATTGACTTACATTAAAATTAAAGCATGTTTTTTCCCTTCTCCTATAAAGTTAGCATTTCAGAGAGGTTTTGTTCTGACAGCAGCGATTTGTTGTGTACATTGTGCTCCTGTAAGACATACAAGCCTTAACAGTCTTTTTAAAGCAGTGGATTACAGTGACTTTTCTTTTAATGCTAGCTAGCTTACTGTTAGTCAGTCAGGCAAAACTAGAGAGATCTTGGTTTGTCTTGGTTTGTCTCTTTATAATGTATAATAATTTTAAGAGTTATTACAAGAAAACCTGAACACAGTCTGAATTTTGCACTTTTGCATTTCAAGAATGCAGTTAATGACAAGGAATAAAGTGAAGCTTCAAAACATAACAGCTTACACATTACACACACTCTGACAGGTACGGTATACACACTGGGCCGTATATGGGTTTCTGTATGTTGTGTGTCTGATTTATACTGATATCAGACATTTGTCATTTTTGTGAATCTGTTAATATTGGGGACGGTCAGTTTTCACTTTGAGACGACTGGCAGTACTGGAGCCTATTGGACTTATTTCTGCTTTGACTACCTAAAAAAATCTGGACCACACGGGCAAAAAATGTCATTATTAAAGTCATAACCTCCCTGTCCACTTTATTAGAAACCCCTCCCTTTATTAGAAACTACCTCCACCTTGCTGAAGAGTGTAGCCCATATATTGATGCACAGTTGGTGTTAGCCATCCTCTAGGCCTTCAGCAGTGGTCAGTTTCTGATCACACAGGCAGAGAGGAAATTTGGGGTGTTTCAGAAAATCTGCTCTAATTCTGAGGGGTTTGAGTGAAGACTTGACTCTCTCCCTCTCTCTTTCTCCCTCTCTCTCTCTCTCTGTCCAGGTTGTATGATGTCGGAGGCCAGAGAACGGAGAGGAGGAAGTGGATTAGTTGTTTTGAGGACGTGAGAGCCGTTCTGTTCGTTGTGGCTCTGAGTGGTTATGACATGACGTTGGTCGAGGACCCTTCCATGGTGAGCGCCACGCACATCCCCCTCACCATCTTCAAAACTTTTATTATTAACATGCAGCAGCGATTCAGTTGGAGGTCTTTGAGTTAAACACGACCAACCTTTACAGTTATTAAGGAGTGCGCCAATATTCCGATATCCATCATTGTTCATGTACATTTTCATTAATGCCAGCTTTTATAAAATATAGCGATATGTTGTAAAATACAGAAATTGGGACATCGTGTACCTGGATTAGTATTGTGAACACAAATAACATTTATTTCTTTAGGCTTAAAAGTGCAGTAAAATGAATGAAATGTAGATATTATAATGCGGTAACTCAATAAATGCACCGTCAAATATCAATTTGAAGCATCAGTCAAATCAAAAAATATGATTTTTTTTTAAAGAATGTTCTACTGATACGCTGGACCATCTGGACCATCTGGACATGCTCTGTTGGACTTGCTTTTCTTCTTGTAGTCTTATTTCTGCTTGCCTATCTGATAAATCTGGACCACAATGGAAATAAATATCATTCTAAACTGCCCATGCACTTTATTAGAAACCCCTCCCTTCATTAGAAACTACCTCTACCTTGCTTGTTCATCTGTTGATGCGCAGTTGATGTTAACCATCCTCTAGGCCTTCATCAGTGGCCATTGTTGACCACAGAGCCACATAATGGCCAGTGAGCAGATGAAGAAGGTGGGTGTTTCTAATAAAGTGGCCAGTGAGCAAAAGTGACCGGTTAGTGGAAGTACAAGGTGGGTGTTTCTAATAAAGTGGCCAGTTAGTGGCAGTACAATGTGGGTGTTTCTAATAAAGTGGCCAGTTAGTGGAAGTACAAGGTGGGTGTTTCTAATAAAGTGGCCAGTTAGTGGAAGCACAAGGTAGGTGTTTCTAATAAAGTGGCCAGTTAGTGGAAGCACAAGGTGGGTGTTTCTAATAAAGTGGCCAGTTAGTGGAAGCACAAGATAGGTGTTTCTAATAAAGTGGCCAGTGAGTGGCAGTACAAGATAGGTGTTTCTAATAAAGTTTCATTTTTCATACACTATTCATGAAAATTGTCCTTAAATACTTGCTAAAAGTCACATGACATCTGTTGACCAATCACTGCAGTTATATTGAGGGTTTTTTGTGTATGTTCTCCTCTTCAGAATCGGCTGCAGGAGAGCCTCAAGCTGTTCTCCTCCATCTGCAACAACGTGTTCTTCAGGAGCACCTCGATGGTAAGAGATGAAGCAAATCACATACATCACTAAAGTGCACAGAGCAGAGAACTGAGGGTTCTATATAGTATGTAATAATAGGTTCTATGACTTCTGTAGCAGCAATGGAACCCTTTTTGGTGCTGTATAAAAACAGACAGGTTGCCCCGTCATCCCGCCTATTAACCATGCAGAGAACCACGTGGTTCTTTGAGTTGGCAGGGTTCTGTATAGCCAAGCACGCGGTTTTAAAGAACCTTTTGGACACATTTAAACACAGTATCCATTTTAGACTAATAGTGACCAAAACTCTGATGTGAAATTATGTGGAATTACAGTCATATGCAAAAGTTTCGTCAAATTACGTATTTCGCAAAAACATGTAAACACATGTTGAGAATGATGAGAATCATTTTTCTGCACATTTCAGTGTACAGTTTTCATTTATTTGCTGAATTTAATGTATTTGAAAATAATAAACATAACATTGTGTGCCATAACTTTTGCACATGCATATTTATGTTGTATTTTTTTCCAATATGTTAACATCAGCAAGTAAACAGTAATTTAGTATTAAGATGTGCAGATGTGGAGGACGTGTTAACTGATTTTCACAAAAACGTCGTTTGAGCAGGGGTGCACAAACTTTTGCTCACAGCTCTAGAGCTCTGCACAGTCACATAAAATTTCACAAAATTGAAAATCTTGATGGAAAATCATAGAGAATTTGAAAATCTGTGTATTAGCCACAGTATCTGCAGTGCTGCAGTGGCTCCAGTGTGAGGAGAAAATTATGTAAATTAGATTGTTTATGTCAAAGTACTGCTTTAAGATGATGTAGGACGTTCAGTCGGTCAGGTGTGTCCAAACCTGACCGGTAATGTACAACAAATATCCCTCACAGCATTTTAATGGGTGTCAGAGTTAATGGCAGTGCCCCCCGCTGCCCCCCACTGCCCCCCACTGCTCCCCACTGCCCCCCACTGCCCCCTCTGCCCTCGGTGCCCCAGCCTTTGTTCTAATAGCCTCTATCATTGGCTAATTAAGCTGGCAGGTGTATTTTAGGCGGTGGCGGTGGTCCCTCTCGCGCGTCTGCCCACTGATTACGGCTGTTCTGAGGAAGCCCGGCTGTGAGTAACGAGCTCGTTTACCGGCCTCATTAAACGCAGCTCCGCCGCAGCATCACTCGCCTCAGCATCACTCGCCTCAGCATCACTCGCCTCAGCATCACTCGCCGCACCGCAGTTCTGAGCTCAGAGCCGCACTGATCAGCACAGTCATTACTGCAGCAGGGCGGGTCTGACCACAGTCGGCTAATCTCCACTCTCACCCTGCCTCTCTCGCCCTTCTCTCACTCTCTCTCTCCGCCGTCTCTTTCTCCCTTCAGCTAACTTTCTCTCCTTTTCTCTCTCTTTTCTCTCTCTTTCCCCATGGGGGAGGGAGAGTGGCGGTCAGCTATGGTTTTAACGCGGCTCGTTGGTTTTAAATCAGCCAGAGTGATTGGGGGTCTAATCAATACTCTTAAAGCTTCCTTGCCTCCACCTCTGAAGGCTTTTGTGACTGGTGGATTGGCCGAAATGTCATTTCCAGAGTTGTTTGTCAGCCCCTCTGTTTCCGAACCTGGGATCACTGAGGGGCAGCTTCTCTCTCTGAGTGGGTTACAGAAGTTGCCTTTCTCAACAGCTGATAAGAAGGCTTTGTACCAGAGCTGTGTTAAATACTTGCACTTTCATGAGCTGAAGGGGAGATGTGACTCCAAATGGAGAGCCCATCTCTCTGTCCCTGAGGGTCTGCGGCCTTTGTGGAGGCTCTTGTACAAAAGCCCCTTGCCCAAACGTTCAGGAGACCTCCAGTGGAGGATCCTTCACTGTGCTGTACCCACAAATGGGTTTGTGCCAAAATTTAACCCGGCTGTTCAACCACTCTGCATTTTCTGTGATAATCCTGATACTGTTTTTCATGCATTTTCCGACTGTCAAAGACCGGTTCCTCTGTTTGAGCTCCTGGACAGGGCGCTCAGAGGGCTGATTCCTCTGTTCGAGCTCCTGGACAGGGCGCTCAGAGGGCTGATTCCTCTGTTAGAGCTCCTGGACAGGGCGCTCAGAGGGCTGGTTCCTGTGTTTGAGCTCCTGGACAGGGCGCTCAGAGGGCTGATTCCTCTGTTAGAGCTCCTGGACAGGGCGCTCAGAGGGCTGATTCCTCTGTTAGAGCTCCTGGACAGGGCGCTCAGAGGGCTGGTTCCTCGTTTAGAGCTCCTGGACCGGGCGCTCAGAGGGCTGGTTCCTCTTTTAGAGCTCCTGGACAGGGCGCTCAGAGGGCTGGTTCCTCTGTTAGAGCTCCTGGGCAGGGCGTTCAGAGGGCCGATTCCTCTGTTAGAGCTCCTGGACAGGGCGCTCAGAGGGCTGGTTCCTCTGTTAGAGCTCCTGGACAGGGCGCTCAGAGGGCTGATTCCTCTGTTAGAGCTCCTGGACAGGGCGCTCAGAGGGCTGGTTCCTCTGTTAGAGCTCCTGGACAGGGCGCTCAGAGGGCTGGTTCCTCTGTTAGAGCTCCTGGACAGGGCGCTCAGAGGGCTGGTTCCTCTGTTCGAGCTCCTGGACAGGGCGCTCAGAGGGCTGATTCCTCTGTTAGAGCTCCTGGACAGGGCGCTCAGAGGGCTGATTCCTCTGTTAGAGCTCCTGGACAGGGCGCTCAGAGGGCTGATTCCTCTGTTAGAGCTCCTGGACAGGGCGCTCAGAGGGCTGGTTCCTCTGTTAGAGCTCCTGGACAGGGCGCTCAGAGGGCTGGTTCCTCTGTTAGAGCTCCTGGACAGGGCGCTCAGAGGGCTGGGGTTTCTGTTCACCCGGACTCTGTTTATCTTTGGCTGTAAATACTCTAAAGCTCAGCGTTATAAATGTACCTTGGCTAATTTTTAGTGTGACAAGCGAAGTTATCAGTGTGGAAGTCCTTCAGGTTGGTGTCTGAAGGGCAGGAGGTGGATGTTCTGAAACTGGTCCGAGCTCTAGTAGAGTCGCGCATTACAGTTGAGTTTGTCTTTTACCAAAGCACTCAGAACATTTCCTGTTTCGAGAGAAAGTGGTGAGCTGGTGAAAGTGTTGTGTCTGTCAGTGATCTGGGTGTGACATCATTTCATTGGTGAATCTTTGTGGATGGGTGGTTTTTCTTTGGGATCCTCATTATTATTAATATAACGATTAGAACATTCTTTAATTATTAATGCTTCAATAAAAGGGGGTTAAAAGTCAAAGTCTCTCTTTTCTCTCTCTCTGTCCCCACATCTCACTTTCTCTCCTTTTCTCTCTCTCTGTCCCCACATCTCACTTTCTCTCCTTTTCTCTCTCTCTGTCCCCACATCTCACTTTCTCTCCTTTTCTCTCTCTCTGTCCCCACATCTCACTTTCTCTCCTTTTCTCTCTCTCTGTCCCCACATCTCACTTTCTCTCTTTTTTCTCTCTTTTCTCCCTCTGTCCCCACATCTCACTTTCTCTCCTTTTCTCTCTCTCTGTCCCCACATCTCACTTTCTCTCCTTTTCTCTCTCTCTGTCCCCACATCTCACTTTCTCTCCTTTTCTCTCTCTCTGTCCCCACATCTCACTTTCTCTCTCTTTTCTCTCTCTCTGTCCCCACATCTCACTTTCTCTCCTTTTCTCTCTCTCTGTCCCCACATCTCACTTTCTCTCTCTTTTCTCTCTCTCTGTCCCCACATCTCACTTTCTCTCCTTTTTTCTCTCTCTATCCCCACATCTCACTTTCTCTCCTTTTCTCTCTCTCTGTCCCCACATCTCACTTTCTCTCTCTTTTCTCTCTCTCTGTCCCCACATCTCACTTTCTCTCCTTTTCTCTCTCTCTGTCCCCACATCTCACTTTCTCTCTCTTTTCTCTCTCTCTGTCCCCACATCTCACTTTCTCTCCTTTTCTCTCTCTCTGTCCCCACATCTCACTTTCTCTCTTTTTTCTCTCTCTCTGTCCCCACATCTCACTTTCTCTCTCTTTTCTCTCTCTCTGTCCCCACATCTCACTTTCTCTCCTTTTCTCTCTCTCTGTCCCCACATCTCACTTCCTCTCCTTTTCTCTCTCTCTGTCCCCACATCTCACTTTCTCTCTCTTTTCTCCCTCTGTCCCCACATCTCACTTTCTCTCCTTTTCTCTCTCTCTGTCCCCACACTTCACTTTCTCTCTCTTTTCTCTCTCTCTGTCCCCACATCTCACTTTCTCTCTCTTTTCTCTCTCTCTGTCCCCACATCTCACTTCCTCTCCTTTTCTCTCTCTCTGTCCCCACATCTCACTTTCTCTCCTTTTCTCTCTCTCTGTCCCCACATCTCACTTTCTCTTTTTTCTCTCTCTCTGTCCCCACATCTCACTTTCTCTCTCTTTTCTCTCTCTCTGTCCCCACATCTCACTTCCTCTCCTTTTCTCTCTCTCTGTCCCCACATCTCACTTACTCTCCTTTTCTCTCTCTCTGTCCCCACATCTCACTTTCTCTCTCTTTTCTCTCTCTCTGTCCCCACATCTCACTTTCTCTCCTTTTCTCTCTCTCTGTCCCCACATCTCACTTTCTCTCCTTTTCTCTCTCTCTGTCCCCACATCTCACTTCCTCTCCTTTTCTCTCTTTCTTTCCCTGCCTCTAACTTAGTCTCACCGTCTTTCCCTTCTTTTCTCTTTCTTTCTCTCTTTCTTTCCTTCTTTCTTTGCTTCTTTCTTTTTCTTTTTCTCTTTTTCTTTCTTTTTTCATTTTCTTCTTCCCCTTCTTCTCTCTCTCATCCACTAACTGGTTCTCACTCTCTTTCTCTTCTCTTTCTTTAATTCTGCTTCTTTTTCTCCTTCTTTCTTATTCTCTTTTTATCTCATATTTTTCTCTTCCATTAACTTTTACAGTCACTTTTTCTTCTGTCTCTTCTTCTCTTTTCCACTAATTTGCTCGCTCTCTTTCTCCTCTTGTCTTCCTTAAAGTCTTTTTCCCCTTTTTCATCTTTCTTTTTCTCACCTTTTCTCTGCTAACTTTCCGTCCCTCTTTCATGCTTCATGTTTTCCCACAAGCGTGCTCTCTTTCTTTTCTTCTTCGTTTGTTTTATTCTTTTCTTTTCTTCTCTTTTATCTCTTTCATCTCTCTCTTTTTCTTGTCTGCTTACTCTCTTTCTCCCCTTTTGCTCTCTTCTTTTAATTGTTTTCCCTTTTTTCCTTCTCTTCTCCTCTCTCTGGTTCTTTTTCTCTTCCAGCTGTCACTCTTGTTCTCTTTCTCTGTTTCACTCTCTCTCTCTCTCTCTTTTCCCTCCTCTTACTGTCACTTTTTCTCTTTTCCCACCTCTTTCTTGTCCTTGTCCACTGCTGTTACTCTCTTTTTCCTCTTCTTTTTTCTTTTTTTTCTCCTATATTGTTCTTTCTCTCCTCTGCTGACTCTTGTTCTCCTTCTTATTCTTTAATCCCATCTCTTTTCTCCCTTAGAAAGGGGGAGGAAGGAAAAATAAGGGAAAAAAGAAAAGGAATTAAAGAATAAAAGGAGAACAAGAGCCAGCAGAGGAGAGAAAGATTTTTTCGCTTATCTCTCGCTCTCCCTTTCTCTCTCTTTTTCTTTTCCACAAACTCGCTTTTACTTTTTCTCTTTTTCACCTTTTTTCCTTCTTTCTTTCCTTTGCAGTCTCTCTTGCTCTTTTTCTCTTCTGCTAATTTTCAATGACACTTTTTTCTCTTTCTCTCTTTCCTCTCATCCACTAACTTCTTTTACTTTTTCTCTCCTTTTTTTCTTTTTTCCTCCACCTCTTTCTCTCACTCTTCCTTTCCCTACCTTCCATCTCTCTCACTCTTTTACTCTCCATTAATTTCTTTACATCCGTCTTTTTGGCACCTTTTTCTTCTTTTTCTCTCTCTCTTACTCTTTCTCTTTTCCACTCTCTCGCTCTCATATTTTCTCTCTTTTTCCACCTTTCTCTCCCTCTTCCTTTTCTTCCCTTTTTTCTCTCACTCGTTCTCTCTTCCTTTAACTTCTCTTACTTTTTCTCTCCTTTATTTTTTTCCTCCACCTCCTCCTTTCCCTCTTCCTTTCCCCACCTCCCATCTCTCTCACTCTTTTTTCTTGCATTGACGTGCTGTCACTCTTTCTCTCCTTTGATTTCTTTGCGTCCTGCTTTTTTGCCGCCTCTTTCTTCTTTTTCTCTCTCTCTTACTCTCTCTTTTCCACTCTCATATTTTCTCTTTTTTCCACCTTTTCCTCCCTCTGCCTTTTCCTCCCCTTTTTGTCTCTCTCTCTTTCACTACCTTGTCGTCACTCCTTCTCTTTTTCTTTCTTCTTTCTTCTTTATTTCTCCTAATATTTGAATAGCTCTGTTTCGTCGTAATGAAGCTGTGGGTGAGTTAAAGACCACCTGGAGGACTTTTAACATCTGTCAACAACGCAACACGTTCTTCACTCGTTTACTCTGACCTCTCAGGTCAGGACAGATTAGTGATGTTCGTCCACTTTGCCACAGCTCAGTCAAACTGATGATGAAATAGAGTTTGAAAAGAGACGGATTTGCTTCTTGTTTTGCAGATTTTATTTATGAACAAGATCGATCTGTTCCAGGAGAAGATCCTCCACTCAGGACGACACCTGAGATACTACCTGCCGCTCTACAGAGGTGAGTACTCGGCGCTAAAGATTCCATAGAGAGGCTGGAGATCTGTGGACCCCTCACAGCAGGAGCTGCTGACCCCAGGCTTCTCCTGGAAGAAGAGAGGCTGAAAGGTGAAAGCAGATCTCAGTCGGGATTCTCAGCAAAACAAATAAAACAGTAGTAATGAGTGAAGACAGGGTGACTGACTGATTGGCTGCTTGCACTCCAGACTAGTGTCCTGCAAAAACAGTCAAACAGCTGGAGGCGTTTTCTGTATTAATGACACAAACGTCGCCCAAACATCGTCCAGTCATCGTCCAAACAGTGTCCACAGCCTTATAACATTAGAATAACTCAGCCAGTTGACACTGCTCTCGTGTTCATGTAGTCCTTTGAATAACCTTTAGTTGTAATAAGCCCAGAAATTTAGGGGGAAATTAGCCTTTTTTACTTGTACACATATAAATCGTCGCTATTAGGCAAAAACTTTATCTCCATTTTTTAATTTTTTACAAGATTTTGTATAAGAGCTAGTGACGATGGTGGGCTTGGTCAGTTTTACATTAATAGCCTTGCACTGGCCACCGATATCAACTCTGCACTAGCAGAAAGGTCCTAGCCCGGAAAGGACAGCATGCCCCCTCCAGGTAAGGGAAAGGACCTGCCCCAGGTGGAGGAGTTTAAGTATCTGGGGGTCTTGATCACGAGTGATGGGAAGAGGGATCAGGACAGGTGGAAGCAGTAATGCGGTCACTATACTGGACTGTAGTGGTGAAGAGGGTGTTTACCGGTCGGTCTGCATCCCCAGCCTCACCTGTGGTCATGAGCTTTGGGTAATGACCAAAAGAATGAGATCGCGAATACAAGCTGCGGAAAAGAGCTTTCTTCGCAGGGTGGTGGGCTACACCCTACTGACATTGTGAGGAGCTCAGTCATCCAGGAGGAGCTCAGAGTAGAGCTGCTACTCCTCAGGGGAGCCAGTTGAGGTGGTTTAGGTGCCCTGGACGCACTCAGTGAGGGTTTACCAGGCACGGCCTACAGGGATGAGACCCCGGGGTCGTCCTAGGACCCGCTGGAGGGATTGTATCTCCAAGTTGGCCTGGGAGCGGCTCGGGGTCCCCAGGAATGAGCTGGAGGAAGTTGTGGGGGACAGGGTCACCTGGGATTCTCTGCTGTCCCAGCTGCTACCGTGACCCTGTCTGGACTAACCAGTTAAAGATGATGAATGAAAATATCATCAGGAGATCGTCGCGAGTTCAATCCCTGGTTCTACTACAGCCAAACAGTTGGTAGGATGGCCCCCCAAGAGAGCACAGTTGGTACGATGGCCCCCCCAAGAGAGCACAATTGGGAGGATGGCCCCCCATCTCCCCCATCACTGGTCATCCATAGCTGTTAGCTGATGTAACAGAACTGGCGGTTAGCGTTCTCCTCCGAGCACATTCAGCTGTCCAGTGTCGTTGTGTGGAGCTTTACAGGTCTCAGAGGAAGCCTGCGCTGACTGTCACCCCCCCTACCGCTGCTCCTAGTTCTAACTAGAGGGTGAAACTGGATACAACAATAAATTGAGGAGACAATTTGGGGAAAGTGATTAGAAGCTACAGAGAAAATGGGGCTCCTAACAACCACCTGGAAGACCTGGTAGACACCAAAACTGCCCCCATCAGATAAACAGCACTTAAAGCTTTCATCTCTGAGAGAGAGGAGAAAATCAAGCTGCTTCAGGTCTGAAAACATCCACAGGTGTTTCTGTCCATCCTTCCACTGTGAGGAGACGACTCAGCGCTGTGGGTCTGAAAGGATGTGTAGCTGTCAAGAAGAACCTCACTGAGAAAAGGAGACGGACACATCAAACAAAGAAGCTGAACAGTGGACTGACCACCCCAGAGTCCAGACCTCAACACCACTGAATGTGTTTGATTACTTCAGAAAATGATCAACCAGCTTCTAAGACTGAACTTTGGAGGTTTCAAACTGAAAGTGAGTCTCCTGAACGGAATGGAAGCTGTGATAAAGGTAACAGGTCGAGGCTTCTGGGTAATTTTCTGTGAAATATATTTTCTGCTTTTTTTCTGATGAAGAAAAATGAATTGTGAACTTGTACTGAATGGCCGTTTTGCCAGAGATGAACGGATTTGGTATGAAAGGTGGTCTCTGACTCCACAGTACTCTATATAACAATGATTGTTATAGAGGAAACATCCCTCGAGAGGCTGTTTTTCTTTTCCTTTGACGCTGGCTGGGTATGACGTCCACCATTCTTCATGATCCATTTGCTCCAGCTTACTGAAATTGCCTGGACGTTTCCCTCAGAGCGCAGCCTTTAAGCTCTGTGACTGAGTCTGTCTCCGTATGCTGAGATCAGGATGATGACGGAGGGTCTCAGTCATGTGTTTAATATTCAGGCTGCTGCAGTGACTCTGTACTGTGTACTGAACGTTCTAACCACTCTAAACGTGGATTTGTATCAGGGCTGGAAAACACCTTTGACTTTAACCTCTTAAACTGCAGGCAAAACGTATTACTCAGTAACTCAGGAATTTTCCAGTATCTGCTGTTAATTATTCAGTATTTACTATGAATTATTCAGTAACTACAATGAATTAGTAACTACTATGAATTATTCAGTAAGTACTATGTATTATTCAGTACTTGATATGAATTATTGAGTACCTACTATGAATTATTCAGTATCTGATATGAATTAATTAGTAAGTACTATGAATTATTCAGTAAGTACTATGATTTGTTCAGTATCCACTATGGATTATTCAGTATCTGCTATGAATTATTCGGTATCAACTATAAATTATTAAGTAACCACTATGAATTATGCCACAACAGTAGCTATGGAAAAACGTCTTTGTGCACAGCATGTAAATCAAATGATTCATTCTGGTCAGTTTCCTGCCAAATGAATGATTTACTTGTGCTTCTTAAAAACTCATTATAAGTTTGATTATCTGTCCAGATGATGGACGTCAGGTACGAGTCTCGGCCGCAGCGCTTCAGCGCTCGTTTACGTCTCGGCGCACAGCAGTGCTGACGGCGTTTAATCAGGCGTCTGTCGAAGCTCCGATATATATTGATTATATATTGATTGTGTGTTTGAAGTGAATTCCTCTCTGACCGCATCATCCTCCATTAAACCCCCTCCCCCTACACCCCCCTCAGTCCAGTCATCCTGTTTACCTCCCAGAGCTACAAACGAACAAACAGACACGTCACTGTACAGTTTATTTCCTCACTGAAGTTCAGCCCAGCTATGGAGGTCAAAGGTCGCACGCCAACCTGTATTGAGTGTGGATGAGATCTCAGTGTTTTGGATGGACGCTGATTAATTTAACTCGCTGGCATTTCGCCAGATTGAGTATCATCTGTTCACCTTCACACAGCTGATATCTGATCTCTCTCTCTCTCTTTTTCTCTCTCTCTCTCTCTCTCTCTCTCTCTCTGTCTCTCTCTCCCTCTCTCCTTCTCTCTCTATCACTCTCTTTCTCTCTCTCACTTTCTCTATCCCTCTATCACTCTCTCTCTCTCTCTCTCTCTCTCTGTAGGTGCTGACTGTGATGTGGACTCGGCGGCTCGTTTCATTGCCTCCGTGTTTGTGTCTCAGAACGCCACGCCCACTAAACTCATCTACCATCACTTCACCACGGCAACCGACACCTCCAACGTCCAGGTGGTCTTCCAGGTCGTCATGGACACCATCATCAAGGAGAACCTGGAGGCCGTCTCTTTACTCTGAGCCGCAGTTTACGCTGATTATGGCTGTAATTATTATCATAATCATCAGGAATGATGTTTGGCATCATTATTTCTGATCCACACTGAAAAAGAAACCTCTGCTGAGCTTCCGAGTGAAGTTCCAGATCTGGAAAACTGCTCCTGCACCTGGGAAACTGCAGTCAACGAAATGCTTTCTTTATTTTTAACTTAATTTGCTGTGATCTGAAGTGCTACTTTTTCGTCTGTTTTTTTTTTCCTTTTTTTGTCTTTAATAATCTCTGACCAGTCCACTTTAAAGGCTGTGGACCTGTCTGAGATTCTGAGTTAAAGCCACTTTAATGGAATGTTTTGGGTTGTTGACAGGAAATAAGGCAATATTTATTGCCGTAGCAGCACAGAATTTAGTGGTTACGTACATGAGGGAGAAGATGGGCATTGAACACCATCTAAAACACCGGTCATCTCATTAAAAACTAAACAAAAACAGGCAGAAATCACTACATTATTAACAGCAGTCATTATAAAAAACATCAAAGGAATTAAATGATTTTGTTTAGCATTTTATCACTTGTTTACATTGTGTTTATGAGCAGAAGTTTGACTCGTGAAACAGCTTTTCATCGAGAATTACTGAAATCATCTCAGTTTAATATCCTACTGTTCTGATCTCTACATTTACATTACAGTTCAACAGTCAGAAACACTTCATATTAACAGTTTTTTTTTAATATCAGTAATAATGTAGAAAGCTTAAATATTGTAGAATTAAATATTGCAAACAGGAAGTGAGAAATAATCAAATAATAAAAAACTAGGGATGCACTGATAGGGGAATTCTGGGCTGAAGCAGATATTTAATTTTTTACATGTATATATTGGCCGTAGCTGATATCCGATATTTTACATGTATGTATCAGCCGATGCCTATATCTGATATTTTACATGTATATATATCGGCCGATACTGATATATGATATTTTACATGTATATATGGGCCAAAGCTGATATTCGACATTTTACATATACGATGCCAAGGTCAATACCTGATATTTTACATGTATATATTGGCTGATGCTGATATTCAATATTTTGCGCATACATATCAGGCAATGCTGATATATACATGTAAAACATTGGATACCAGCCAGTGCCAATATTTTATATGTACATATCTTTACCTCTTGGACATGCAAAACTACCTTCTGTAAGGGCCACCACACACCGGATGCATCGCATTGCGAAAAATCCCAAACCGTTGTTTTTAATGAAGGTCCCCACACCTGCACCGGTCTTTTAGATAAACTGACCAATGCTAATGTGAAGTTAGCGTAGCTAACATTACTATCCGAGCCTTTTTTCAGCTCGGAAACAGCCAGTCTGTGGAGGGTAGTAAACAGATACCTAGCGTAATTAGTGATGCTGAACGCTTTTTTAATTTATACAAGTAGAGTATAAAAATGAACTTGAATCAAGCTTTTATTGGCTCTCCCTGTCGGGTCCTGGGTGCCAGAATGTAACTGCTGCACCATTTAAGGTGGAGTGGGAAAATTTGAACACAAAGCTGGCAAAAAGCCAAATTCAGCTTTGTAGTTTTGATGCTTTTAGTGTTTTTTGTCTATATGAGGAGATTTAAGCATCTGCTGTTGTGTGCTCTTCCAGCATACAATAAATGCGTAATCACATATCGGTTTGAAATGTTGGCCAAATCTAAGCATTGGCCCGATGCCAACGTTTTTTTTAAAACAAATATCGGCCGATACTGATACGATTCCGATAGTATCGTGCATCCCTAATAAAGCAGCATAAACTACCCTTCGTTAATTTAATTTGCGGTCAAAACCGTCAAGTTCAAGTTATTTGTTTTTTACAAATCTGAAAAAAAAACATTTAACAAAAGCTAAACTAAATATAATATCACATTTTTCAGTGGTCAGTGAGTCTCTCTTCACCTTTATTCCAGCTTCCATTCTTTTCAGGAGACTCACTTTCAGTTCCTCAAAGAATCTGCAGACACACCTCCAAAGTTCAGTCTTAGAAGCTGGTTGATCATTTTCTGAAGTAATCAAACACATTCAGTGGTGTTGAGGTCTGGACTCTGGGGTGGTCAGTCCATCGTTCAGCTTCTTTGTTTGATGTGTCCGTCTCCTTTTCTCAGTGAGGTTCTTCTTGATCAGCTACACATCCTTTCAGACCCACAGCGCTGAGTCGTCTTCTCACAGTGGAAGGATGGACAGAAACACCTGTGGATGTTTTCAGATCTGAAGCAGCTTGATTTTCTCCTCTCTCTCAGAGATGAAAGCTTTAAGTGCTGTTTATCTGATGGGGGCAGTTTTGGTGTCGACCAGGTCTTCCAGGTGGTTGTTAGGAGCCTCATTTTCTCTGTAGCTTTTAATCACTTTTTGAACCCTTGGAAACTCCAGAATAGGTTTTCTCTTATTCGCTTATTTAATCACTTATTTTTCTTTATCTATGCTCTTAAGAAGATGGTAAAAGGTTCTTTAGTAAGGACGTATAGAACCATGAACACTCGAAGACACTCTTCAGATCAAGTGTTGTTTTTGAAAATGGTTCTATGTAGCACCAAAAAGGATTCTTCTGTTGTTACAATAGCAGCTATAAAGAAACATTTTCAAAGAGGTTCTACTTAGAACCATACAACACGTTCTCCATCAATCTTAAGAACAATTTCACCATGCAAAGGACGCTTTAAGCATGTAAATGGCTCTTTGAGTTGGTGCGTGGTTCTGTCCTGCCAAATTAATAACTTGAATAATAAATTAATAAATAATTAATGCATACATTTTATTAGAACCTGATGTTCTAAAGCTTTCGGAGTCAGTTTAGAATCTACAGCTCTGGAAACATCTATCATTTCTTCATGATTCACAGCTTCCTGTTAATTATCTGAAGTTATTTAAGCACCATAATCAGATTCTTTTTATGCATTTTAGATCTTCTATTATTGAAAACAGTGACTCCACGCGCGAGCGGTTAGTAGAGGCTCAGGCTTTGAGGCGAATGCGTGCTGGTGTGTGTTTACACTGTGTATTGTAGAGGGTCGGTGGTCAGTTTGGTCATTCGTGCGTGCCGGAGTGTTTTCCTCTGGTCAATATTTGCCATACTCTCTGTGTTTGAACACCAGAGTTAATGATTGATGGAGGATTGTGTTTTCATTCCCTTCGTTTCACCAACACCCCCCCTCCCCCCACCCGCACAGCAGCCAGGCTTACCGAAACACGTCTGCTTTCTTTCTCCAATACAGTTCTGCGCAAAAGTACCTTCATTTATTAAACTTCCAGTCAAGACATTAAGTACAAGTTACTCATTGTACAGGAGATATTTTAGCGATTAAATATGGGATAATCTGCTTACATAATGAAGAGGAAACTACTGAGAAGATGAATATGAACAACCAACTTCTAAGACTGAACTTTAGAGGTGTGTCTGCAGATTTCTTTGAGAAACTGAAAGGGAGTCTCCTGAAAAGAGTGTGTGTGTGTGTGTGTGTGTGTGTGTGTATATATATATATATATATATAATCACTGCTGTCGGAGCAAAATCTCCAAAGTGGTAACTTTACAGGAGAAGGAAAAAACTTACTGTATTTTTAAGTCAATGGAACCAGACTTTTTTTCAGAGTAATTTTGGGTCATTTCTTTTGGTCCATTCATCATGAAATTTACACACAACGTAAAGAACAACATGTATTTTCAAATTATTCAGAGCCTGTAAAACGACAAATGGTTTTACTATATATATATATAGGTTGTTAAGGCTTTTGTAAAATATTTGTTAAATATGATTTATAACTTCACCTTTTCTCACTGATAAGTGAATGATTTGATATTTAATGGTCATTTGACTGGAAACTAAATAAATGAAGAGTGGTCTCTAACTTGGCCCACCCCTGAACATCTTATAAATTTTTTTTTGGGGTCCTGCACTTTGATGGTGGTCAGTTTTTTTCTGCTTTATTCAGATTTGAAGCAGAATTTTTTGTGATTTTGTGCTTTTACTTTTTTTTTACACTTTACACCGAACTTCAACACTCGTTTTGCCTTATTTGTGTTATGAATGCGTGTAAATATTTATATTATTTAAGGACCGTTATGTGCCTCAGTTTCCCTTTGAATGAATCCAGTGAAGTGACCTTTTGAATTTGTAATTGTTTGGCTTCTTTCTCATTTTTTGTCATTTTTATGTATGACCCTTTTTTATCTATAGACATATTTACCCTGAAATGAGACCATGTAACTATGCAAGATCAAAAATGTGATTTATTCTGACAATCCAGAGGTTCTTGTGTGTAATTAAGCAACACTACAGTGTGTAAACAGGACTGTTTCACATTATTTTCTTTTTTATTTTTTATTTTCCCGAACTAAAAACGCACACTGTCCAGTTTTACAAAAAATAAAATACAGAAAACGTTATTCGAGAGAGTCAACAGTTCATGGACATTGAGCACATGTGGAGATGGTGCAGAGGTGGGAGGGGGGGGGGCAGGACTTTCTCACACACACACTTTGGGCTGTAGTCGACTTTTCTCTTTTATGAGCAGCTAGTTTCTCCACATTGTGTGAAATGGACCAACATTCAGTGTCTCCAGTCCGTCTCTGGAAGTAATAAATAATAATAATATTCATAAATTAACAAAAGCAGCAGAGCTCCAGCACATTTGGTGCTTGGACCCCTGCAGAGTGACATTCCAGGGTGGGGTTGGTTGGTGAGGGGACTCGGGGGGGGGGATGGGGGGGAGGCGAGCGTGTGTGTCATTTTATTCACGCGCCCGCACACTCGAGCGCGTCCAGGGCCAGCAGGACGTCCGCTTTGCAGCGAAAGGCGCTGGAGCCGTCCAGGGTCAGCTCGCAGCTCTGCAGGTTGGGCGAGATTTCCTTCACGCAGACCACCTGCACACAAACACAGCGAGACCACGTCATCAGCAGCGCAGGGGTGAGTCTGTTTAGAAGCTGATTTCACTCCAGCCTGAAAGAGTATTTACAATTATATACATTTCATATATATTATATATTACATATGGCCCATATCCGGTGAGGATATTTGATTTGGACCCCCCAGACCTCCCCCTCACCCAGTGAGAGAACAAACATGTTTATAATATATACTTATGTACTTATTAAAGACTATTTTCCTTGTAAAATGGTATTTTTAATTGTTTAATTAGTACCAAAATATAATGTTATGAAATACATTTTTAAAACTTTCTTTATTTGTAATTTGTTTTTTTGGTGGTCGACCCAACACAGGCGATGCAAGCGATTTGGCCCCCCAAGACAAAAAGATAGATAACCAGACAGACAGAGACAGATAGATAGATAGATAGACAGACAGACAGAGACGGATAGATGTTTATAAATTATGATTATTGTATATTTACATATATAATATATATATATATATATATATATATATATATATATATATATATATATATAGCGTAATTATACATTTTAATTATTCTATATGGAGTTTTATATATATATATATATATATATATATATATATATATATATATATATATATATATAGCTAAAATAATGATTGTATATATATAAATATTATCTAGATAAATGATACATAGGTATATAATTATAAATTATGATTATTATTGTATTTTTTATCTATTTATCCGTCTATCTGTCTGTCTCTCTGTCTGTCTATCTACACAGCTGAATAGTAATTTTTATTTCTATAATTTCTATTTATTTTCTGTTACCTGAAGTAAATAAAGGTCTCAGAAAGCTTCTCTGTGCGACGCTGTTGAAGAACCACATTTGGTTCCCTAAAGAACCCTTCAGTTTAGAGAATGTTTTTTTCTGTGTGAAGAAACCTAAAGAACCTCCACAGACGGAGAACCTTAAACTGCTTTCCATCCTGTCTAAATCAGCTCTATAAGGAAGGTCTTCTGTGGCCGATCCTCCTTTTCAGAGCTACTTTGGTGCCTTTAGTCTTCGTAGCTCTTTCTGCTTTATTTCTTTAGTAGGTTTGGTTTTTAAAGCCCTTTAATCAGGAATGTTTCAGGAATGATTTTATTCCTTTGATCTTCTTCTTTCTGGAAAGTTCTGAAGCTCATTTAGAACCTCTACTGTTCTCTGTGTCTGGGAGGTCCTGAAGACCCGAATCCAGAGAGATGCGTTACTGAGTGGAGCTGAAGGCTGCGTCCTCCTCCTCCTCCTCCTCCTCCTCCTCCTCCTCCTCCTGCTGCTGCTCTGTTATGACTCCGTGCGTAAATTGCGTGTTTGTTTCTGGGAATCAGGAGTTTCACTTAGAGAACTGAACAGTGATGAGCTGCAGCTCCGACACTTCACTCTCTCCGGACTCACAGCGCGAGTTTAAGCGTGTAAGCTTTATTTTACAGATGAGTCTTTTACGCTCGGAGCTGCGGAAAAACACAATAATGAAAATAAATAATAAGAGAAAATAACAAATGGAGAAAAACTGCGCTTCCAAACATTCTAACTCGCTTAGCAACCGAACACCTCGCGCGCCTTTTCGCCTTTTATAGTCCCCGCTTCCATGGCGCGCGCGGATGACTCGGTTTTTAGTCTATAGAGAGTCTGAGGGTCAGTAAAGTAGTAAACTGGGGGCTTTTCCACAAAGCAGGATTTCTCAGCTGAGCCCGAAATCTTAAGCCCAAAGATGATCACTGTCCAGCAGGAACGCCCCTCAGCTCTTCTCCTCCCGGACAGGCTGGACTCTGGGCTTTATGTATCTGGCCAAACTGAGAGATCCTGCTGTGTGAACTGTCCCTCTGCTGCGCTGCGCTTTATTTGTGTATGTTTCACTCTGAGCAGCTGATGCTGAGTATTTAAATGCAGACACGCGCCGGTTTAACAGACACAGCAGCAGCTGGTTTGGATGAATTGTTCCGGTTTGTTGCCATAAAGGCTTCACTGTAACCCTGACCTCGCCACTTTACTCTGGATAACAGGCTTCAGACTCAGCATATGGATACGCTATGATCGTGCGCGCTCCGGGGCTTTTACGCAGGGTGCGCGTTTTTACGCTTATAATGCGCTTTTACGCAAGGTGCGCGTTTTTACGCATTCTTTGCGCTTTTACGCAGGTTGCGCGCTTTTACGCGTTTAATGCGCTTTTACGCAAAGTGCGCGTTTTTACGCATTCTTTGCTCTTTTACGCACGGTGCGCGTTTTTACGCATTCTTTGCGCTTTTACGCGTTTAATGCGCAAGGCGCGGAAAACGCGGACAAAAAGGAAAAAGCTGAACCAAGATCAGCGATTGATCCTCTTTTTGTTCCTTTCATGTTTCTTTGATGTAGCATGTTTATAAATATGTTTATAATATGTTGATAGATGCATCAACACATTGAGTAGCATCCAAGCAACATCTGGCGTCGCTGGAAGGTAAAAGCAGCAAAGTTGGAGATTCGCATTTATTTTTATACGCGATCAGTAACAATAAGAGAGCCATTGTTGGTGCTATACAGAACCATTTTCAGAAAGGTTCTATATAGACATACAACACATTCTCCATCAAACTGAAGGACCATTTCACCATTCAAAGAACCATTTAATCATGCAAATGAACTCATACATAGAAATCTTGGTTCTAAATAGAACTGTTGTTTTTACTAAAGAAGCTTCTTTTTAAGAGTCAAATTTGTGCGTCTGTGTTCTTTGTTGTCAGTTTAAGTGTTTAAATCGTCCCAAAACAATCGATTCGAATTGAATCGTGCCGAAACTTGAGATTAATCGGTTCCTAAACACCTGTAATCGAATCGAATCTTTAAGAGATTTTGGCCCCTCGTGTCCTGCGCTGGTGTGAGTGATGTGCTGGGGGGTTACCATGTTCCTGAGCGCGGGGGGTAGCCTCTGGCTGAGCGGGCTGATCTCCTGCTCGCTCCCGGTCTGTGTGTCCGTCTCCGCCGTCCCGGTGTCGCTCTCTGCCCTGCGCGCGTGCGGTGACCTGCGGATGCCGGACAGCAGTCCGGACGCTCTGCCCACCGAGTAGTAGCTGGGTCCGGTCGCCTGCTTGTACCATGCGTCTGCCGGCTGGCACGACACGAGCACGAGCGCGGCGGCAAGAACGAGCACGGAGCGCGCGGAGGTCTCCATAGCGTCTGTGAGTGCGTGTGTGTGTGTGTATGTGCGCGTGCTGGCTCTGATGACTCTTCTTCACCCCCCCATCGCTGCTGCTGGAGTTTATAGTGACATCCCCCCCCGAACCTCACACCCCCCTTCATCTCCTCATCACCATCATCATCATCCTCCTCCTCTCGAGGAGGTGATTCATGTTTCCGGTGAGGAAAATTCCAACCGAGAAGAGAACATGACTTTATGACTTTATGGCTGATGTGTTTTATATATATATATATATATATACGTTTTGTTCGTTTAACTCATAACAATAGATAGAGAACCCAATGAAACAAATAACACAAAAATAATATATAATTAATATTTATTATATAATATATAATTAATAAACATTTCTATTGGACGTCTGGACTTTGACTTTTGCTGTTCCAAAATGCAGCATTTGCTCTTCTTTAACCGTTCCTTATAGACTAGCTGGTGGTTTTAGTGTTGTTGTTTTTCTGTGGGCCCACCTACCATTGAGGTGGATGATTCTCCTGTAGAATTTCTTGAAACAATCCGGAATTCATAGCTTCATGAGATGGTGGCAAGCATCCTGGTACTGCCACCACCATGTTTCACAGTTGGGGTGAGATTCCTATGCTGGAATGCAGTGTTCAGTTTTGCCAAACCTGACATCTCTCATTTAAGCCATAACGATCCATTTTTGCCTTATCATCCACATAATATTAGTTCAGTGGCCTTCTGGCTCATCCAGGTGGTCTTTAGCAAACTTTAAACAGGCAGAAAATTTCTTCCTGGAGAGTAGTGGAGCTCCACTGACCATACAGGAGCACTTTGTAGTCTATCTGTTTCTCTGCACCCTGTTCTTCAGTGGTCAGGACCCCCCATGGACCCTCACAGAGCAGGTACTATTTGGGTGGTGGATCATTCTCAGCACTGCAGTAACACTGACATGGTGGTGGTGTGTTAGTGTGTGTTGTGCTGGTGTGAGTGGATCAGACACAGCAGGGCTGCTGGAGTTTTTAAACACCTCAGTGTCGCTGCTGGACTGAGAATAGTCCACCAACCAAAACTATCCAGCCAACAGCGTCCTGTGACCACTGATGAAGGACTAGAGGATGACCGACACAAACTGTGCAGCAGCAGATGAGCTATCGTCTCTGACTTCTCATCTACAAGGTGGACTGACAAGGTAGGAGTGTCTAATAGAGTGGACAGTGAGTGGACACTCAGTGTTTAGAAAGTCCAACAGCACAAATCCTAAGACAACCATGTCAACTCAACCTCCGCCCTCCAATAAACTTATTTATCACAACTACATCACTTACTATTAATTTCATAGTCATTTAGAATCTAAGTTGTAGTTGTTTTTAAATAATACAGTAACTAAATCTACTCTCAGCTGTTTCAGTGGTCAGTGAGTCACCCCTTTACCCTTATTACAGCTTCCATTCTTTTCAGGAGACTCACTTTCAGTTCCTCAAAGAATCTGCAGACACACCTCCAAAGTTCAGTCTTAGAAGCTGGTTGATCATTTTCTGAAGTAATCAAACACATTCAGTGGTGTTGAGGTCTGGACTCTGGGGTGGTCAGTCCATTGTTCAGCTTCTTTGTTTGATGTCCGTCTCCTTTTCTCAGTGAGGTTCTTCTTGACAGCTACACATCCTTTCAGACCCACAGCGCTGAGTCGTCTTCTCACAGTGGAAGGATGGACAGAAACACCTGTGGATGTTTTCAGATCTGAAGCAGCTTGATTTTCTCCTCTCTCTCAGAGATGAAAGCTTTAAGTGCTGTTTATCTGATGGGGGCAGTTTTGGGGTCGACCAGCTCTTCCAGGTGGTTGTCAGGAGGCCCATTTTTCTCTTATTCACTCATTTAATCACTTATTTTTTTCTTTAACTGCACTCTTTAAAAAGATGGTTCTTAAAGGGTTCTATAGTAAAGGCAGTGGTTCTGTAAAGAACCATCATAACTCAACGAATCATTTGCATGGCAAAATGATTTTTTTTTAAATGGTTCTATATATCACCAAAAAGGGTTCTTCTGTCGTTACAATAGCGGAACCCTTTTTGGTGTTATATAGAATAATTTTTTATATTGGTTCAATATAGAATTATACAACACATTCTCCATCAGTCTGAAGAACAGTTTCACCATGCAAAGAATCCTATAAGTATGCAAATGGTTCTTTGGGTGTTAATGGTTCTTTCCTGACATCATTAATGCAGTCATTCTGTTAGAACCTGGTGTTACAAAGCTTTATTTTTTTTTATAAAGGAGACTTAGAAGCTCCTATTTTCCACGTATTTTCGTATCTGATCTCAGCAATATCTCCTAAAAAGGAATAACTTGTAATTAATGGCTGTTTTGACTGAAAAGTAAATAAACTTATTTTTTATGTTTTATGATCATTAACTGAACAATAAATCTGCAGTTTAGGATTTAATCTGCACTTTGAACTGGCAAAATTAACTGAACCAACTCAAGACAAGACAAAACAAGGGAAGCTGTTCGGTTTTGAAATGTTTTCATGGAGCATCAGTGCTGCAGTTTAAAAAGGGTCTTACGTTGATGCGATTATGTCAGATTTTCTCACGTTCATAACTTTTCCAGGAAAAAACGACGATAATAGGTGAAAAACGGAGTAATGAGTCACGCAACCCGAGCTGGAAATGGGGCCTAATGTGGTTTGCTTCGATTCGGCCGTGTCAGCGGTCATGACTGGACGGGATGCAGCTTGTCGAAAGTCGCCTTTTTGCGTTTTCAGCCCAACTGGAGCTAAAATGGCCACATTAGACTGACGGATCTGGACAGAGGAAATCAAACAGAGGACTGAAACTTGAACTTATTGTCTCTGAACAAAGACTATTTGGGAAAAAATTAAAAAACGAAGAAAGAGAAGTCACGAAAATGGTCTCGGAACAGAGCTCCTAATCCGAGACACTTTGAGAATACAGCTCGGATCATTTTACAGTCAGCGGTTCTCAAGTAGGCCTGAATAGCGTCACTCCCGAACAAGTCTAAGAGCTGGTGACAATGGTGGGCTTGGTCAGTTTGACAGTAATAGCTTTGCACTGGCCACTGACTGGCCTAGCCTGGAAAAGGACGGCATGCCCACTCCAGGTAAGGGGAAAGGACCTGCCCTAGGTGGAGGAGTTTAAGTTTCTGGGGGTCTTGATCACGAGTGATGGGAAGAGGGATGGTGAGATCGGCCACCGGCTGGGACAGGCGGCAACAGTGATGTGGTCACTGTACCGGACTGTAGTGGTGAAGAAGGAGCTGAGCCATATGACAAAGCTCTCAGTTTACCGGTTGGTCTACATCCCAACCCTCACCTGTGGTCATGAGCTTTGGGTAATGACCGAACAAGGTCACGGATACAAGCAGCAGAAATCGCAGGGTGGCGTCACTCTACTGACAGGGTGAGGAGCTCAGTCATCCAGGGGGAGCTCAGAGTAGAGCTGCTACCCCTCCACATTGAGAGAAGCCAGTTGAGGTGGTTCAGGCAACTGATCAGGATGCCCCTGGAGTCCTCCTGGTGGGGGTTTACCAGGCACGGCCGACTGGGATGAGATCCCGGGGTTGTCCTAGGACCCTGCTGGAGGATTATATCTCCTAGTTGGCCTGGGAGCAGCTCAGGGTCCCCCGGAATGAGCTGGAGGAAGTTGTGGGGGACAAGGTCGTCTGGGATTCTCTGCTCTCCAAACTGCTACCGCGACCCCATCTGGACTAATTGGTCATTTAATTCACCACATATTTGCACAAACATCAACAACAAGACTGTGAATTTGTAAAAAGGATCAAGTTTGAAATGGAAAAAATTCGCAAACACAGACGGGTTTCCCGTCCACCAATTTTGTGCGAATTTTGAATATGTGCAAAAAAAAAGAATGAAAAAGGCCAAAATGCAATAAAACACCAAAATATCGCAAAAAGATGTTTACGCTACGACGAGGTGGGAAATTTAGAATATTGCTAAAGCTGAAATGCAAAAGGAAAAGGATTCTATGAGTAGATGTATTAAGCCACACGTGAGAAACGACTGGCTCTACAGACAGTCCGAGTTTCAAGTTTTCAAACGTTCAGTCCAAACCTAGTTTAAAAAATCGCTCTGCACAATGTGCTCCACAACTGTCTGATGTGTTTGCGTTCCCAGGTGCGAGGTGGACATCGCCGGGGTGCCACGGAGATTCCAGCCCTCATTAGTTGGGCCCGTGCTCGTCCTGCCCGGCATCTCTGAGCTACAAACAAGATGATTCTACTTAAAGCAAAACTCAAGCTACATCTCTCCATCTTACTCATTTTGATGCAGCCCCTCATCATAGTGTCAGGACCAAGGGCTGTCCCCTTCAACCCCAGGCCTCCAACATAATATTATGAATAAAAAAGAAATATTTTAATACCGGCTAAACACTTTCACTACAACTGTTTTAAGTTCTCAAAAGACGTGAAAAAGGAAAGAGTTTTCAGACACTGAGTTTGTGGAAGAGGGAAAAAGGTTTCTTCTTTAGTGGCACAGAGTCTCAAGAGACCCAACTGCACCAACAGTGTTCCAAACAACAGTTTATACCATTTATCTGGGGTAGTTTGATATCCCCCCACCTTACTTCTCAAATTTTGATATAAGCTCATTCTATAATAGGTGTATCTCTTCATCCATCAATTTGGCCATCGCACGTTGAGCTCACTCCTAAAAACTGGTTTCAACTACTGCAAACGCAGCCAAGTAGAGAATGTAGAGAAAGATACTTGAAGTGGCGTAATTAAGTCAGGGGTGTCAAACTGGGTTCCTTCCAGGTCACAGCTCTGCAGAGATTCCATCTGGATTCACTCACAAAAGGTCTTGCTAACTCGCTGAGGGTTTGATGTGAAGAAACGAGGGCTGAACGATTTGGAGAAGAGCGATTTTTCATGTTTGACATCATGCTCACATTAAGGCACTCGTGCAATATAATTTACTTGTGTGCAAAAGTTGGATGTTTGTTGAAATTAGTGAAAGTATGTTAACACATTGTCGACAGCAGTTTCTCAAACGCTGGGCCATGAACCATTGTGGAGGACCCTCTAGTGCCCATGTGTCAAACACAAGGCCCGAGGGCCAAGTCAGGGCCGTGGCACAATCCTATTCGGTCTGCAAAATAATTTTTATTTTCTATTCATATTAGTTCATTTCACTATGAGCTGGACTACAGTTCCCACCAGGCAATGCAACTGCAAATGGGCAGTTATAGAAAAGCTACTGTACATTGGGGACATTTACAGAGGTTTATCAGTGATCTTCAGCTAATGTAGTCGACTGATTCATATAAAACAGTTTGTTTTTATTTCAAAATATTTTTGAATTGTTCAAGTATTCAGTATCGATTTTTTGCCGTTGTAGTTTTGGCATATTTTGAATAAACAATGGCCAGTTGGGGTCATGGCAAAATGTTTAGTAAATATAAAGTAAAAACACAGCTGGCTCGCTGATTTGGATTTGTTGAGATTTTTTAATATGTGGTTATCTGGAGTTTGACACCCCCAGAAAAACTTTTCCAAAAGTGAAAAAAATGAACTCAATAATTGAGAGTCAAACATTGTCAAATTACAACCAATATAAATATCAATAGAGATGTGCACGTAAAACATCGGAGTAGGTGAATTAAACGTCATCAGTTTGAGACGACGCAGCCACAAGTGTTTGTGCTTGTTAGCTGGCTATTGATGAAGAACTTCCTCAGGGTGCTTTCACACCTGCCTTGTTTAGTGCAGATGAATTACACCTGTTTTGACATGCGAACCTTTCCCCTGTACTCAGGTCTGCAACCAACAGCTGAACCGGTCCAGCAGAACTGCAGGTCCAGACCCGCTTCCAAGCGAATTCTGGTTCCGTTCAAGCACTTTATGATGAAACAAGGGCATGAAATGATAGTGAAGACAGGTGTTTGATTTCAGCTCATGGATCGTGAAACATAAGCAACCTGAGTGAGTAAACTCAAAGGAATAAATAATAAAAAGCAGATATTAAAGTTTATCAATATTGCTTTGATTGTGATGATGTGAATCCAAAAGCCTGACTGTTTCAAATGAGGTGCAAAAAAACTCCTCAAAACCAGACACATCTCAAGACCCAACATCCTGCTCATGTCGGAAAGCCAGTGGAGTAATTTCAATAACAAAAAAAAATAAATAAATAATGCAATGGACCGCGACTCCAAACGCGAGGAATTTCTTCCAAACCTTTCTATCTTTTTCTTTTTTTTACCCATTTTTAACATCACTGAAAACATGTTTTTTACCCTGCAAATTTTGGTTTCTGTGAACCAAAATGGACTGAAAACCTGAAAACCTGATTCTCAGGTTTTCACTGTCAGCACTTAAAAGAAAAAGGAAACTGTATTTAAAATGTTGATTTTATTTCTCCTGTGCGCCGCTGTGCTTTCAGGATATTAACAAGTGAGCCCTGGAGTGGAAAAGGATCAGAACCCACTTCTTCACTTCCCTGCTCTGCCCATTTTACTGCTTCTTTGCTGAATTTAACATGTTGGGAAAAAATATAACATATAAAATGTTATATAAAAAATTCTTGCACATTTTATATTTTAAGTTTTATGCTTTCCAATAAGGTAAAACTCAGCAAATAAATACAAATTGCACTAAAATTTGCAGAATCCTTGTAGAGGATTTACTAACATATCGTCGCTTAGAAAATCAACAAAATGTGAAATCTGACCAGCATATATATATGTTGGAAGAAAACCTTGTATCTCCATTTTTCAGTTTCTAACATAAGTTGAAAATGCCTGTTGCCCCTTACATTGTGTGTAAATTTCATGGTGAATGGACCAAAAGAAACGGCCCAAAATGCCTTGGAAAAAAGTCTGGTTCCATTGACTTACATTAAAAGTAAAGTATGTTTTTTCCTTTTCCTGTAAAGTTACAGGTACAGTACAACATCATACGTATCTGAATTCTCATATCTTCCCTGCCCACCGCTGGATGGACCCCCACTAAAGGTCGTTATACAGTGGCCTGCACTGCGGCTCCAGTTTGGCTTCGAGCACTGCGTCCGGCTCACAAACCCAGGGGTCCTCGGTCAGCCACTGCCACTTCAGCAGCTGCTCCCTCAAGCCCTCTAGTATGGCACCGTAAGCGGGGTCCAGGGCCAAGTTCTTCTCCTCCATGGGGTCAGAGAGGGTGTCGAACAGCTCCCAGCGCTCCCTGTAGTAGTACTCCCTGAGGGTCTTGAACCAGCCGGTGGGCCGTCGTGCCTGGGTGCGGTTCAGCAGGTCCTGGAAAGTGGGTGAGACGTAGAGGTCCTGGTCGATGGGGAAAGGCATGCGGTAGTGAAGGTTGTGGAGCAGCCGATAGCGGCCCTGGTGGACCGAACGCATGGGGTAGTACATAGTGGCCTCGTGGAGGTTCTGGCTGGAGAAGGCCGTGTTCCAGGACGGCTCCGAGGACAGTGCGGGGAGCAGGGAGCGTCCAGTGAGCTGCACCAGGGATCGTCTGCTCAGGCTGTAGGAGGGGTACGGCACCGAGAACCAGTCCAGGATGGTGGGAGTGATGTCTGGAATGGAGAAAGAAACAGCAATGAGGCATCATCCTTCATGCGTGTGGATAAGGCCTAAGACTGATATGTAAATAAGCTCTTTTCTGATTGGTTACATTGGGTTTGAAACATGTTTACACACTACATTAGTTGTTAAGTAATCTCTGACACTGTACGACACACTGTCATCTATAAACATGGACTAAAATATCACAGACAAAAAGAATAGCAGCAGTCTTAAAGGGGAACTCCACCTATTTTTCTAAATTTCTGCATGACTAAATGTTTAAGATGTAAACAGAGACGTTCAGAGTGGTTTGGTGTGAAACGCTCTGTTCTAGAGAAACTTACAGAGTCAGGGCTGTTCACAGTGGTGGTGATAGGAACCAGACGTCCACCTCTAAAAGCTCCCTCACAGAAAGATATTACATAAATTAGTTATGAATTCACTGCCTGATGACTGAGAAACTGTTTTATAATGGCTTTGGCCTAAAATGTATTTTTAAGATCAGGCAAAATAGTTTTTCACTCATCAACATTCCATATCAACTCAGAAGACACGTGTAGGTTCACTGGTGGTTCTGGATGGTAAATAAAATGTCTATATTTGTGTTGTAGTCATGGCGACCCCTGGTTCCTATCAGCACCACTGTAAAGAAATCTGAACCATTTCACACCAAACCACTCTGAATGACTAGGTTTAAACTATGTTTATCACTCAAATCATTGTACAAATTTTGAAAAATCGGTGGGATTCCCCTTGGACAAGTGTGTGATGATTTAGGCATACAGTTTGCATGATGCTGATTTTTTGCTGAACTGTTCTGTTCACAGACTCCTGGATACTGAATGCATGATTGCTTCAGTACGACTCTGGCCACTCAAACTAAGCAACTGGCACCACCTTGTGGTCAGATATAGTAGCAAAACATGACATTCTTTGTCATGAACTATTTTCTTTATTGTTTGAAAACTATAAATGTTATTGGATGCAAAGGTTACATATAAAAGGGAAACAGCGCGCAGAAATTATGCTTTTCCTACTGTAACTCCATAATTACATGACTTAAATATTCCCTGCAGAGTAGTTGGCGAATAATTTACAGGGGTGTGTAGTGCAGTCTAAAGCTAGTCTGCAGTAAACCTGTCGTTACTCTGGTAAAATAATGACTGCAGAGCAAATAAAAGCAGCTTTCCAACACAAAAGTACAAAAGTAGCAGCTCTAAAACTACAACCCCACAAAAGCTGTGTAAAATGTAAATAAATGTAAATAAAAACAGAATGCAATGATTTGCAAATCTTATAGACCCATATTTTGTTCACAACAGAACACAGAACACATATCAGATGTTGAAAGTGAGACATTTTACCATTTCATGAAAAATATTAACTCATTCAGAACTTGATGGCATCAACGCATCTCAAAAAGGTTGGGACAGGGGCAACAAAAGGCTGGAGAAGTAAGTGGTACTAATAAAAAAACAGCTGGAGGATTAATTTGCAACTAACTCACATAACTGGGTATAAAAGGAGCATTTTAGAGAGGCAGAGTCTCTCAGAAACAGAGACGGGCAGAGGTTCACCAATCTGCGAAAAACTGCATCTAAAAATTGTGGAAGAATTTCAGAAAAATGTTCCTCAACGTAAAATTGTGAAGACTTTGGAAATCCCACCATCTACAGTACAGAATATCATCAAAAGATTCAGAGAATCTGGAGGAATCCCTGTATGCAAGTGACAAGGCCAAAGGTCAATATCGAATGCTCGTGATCTTCGGGTCCTCGGGCGGCACTGCATTAAAAACAGGCCCGATTCTGTACTGGAAATCACTGCATGGGTTCAGGAACACTTCCAGAAAACATTGTCTGTGAACACAGTTTGCCGTGCAATCCACAAATGCAAGTTAAAGCTGTATCATACAAAGAAGAAGCCATATGTCAACATGATCCAGAAACGCCGCCGTCTTCTCTGGGCCAAAGCTCATTTAAAATGGACTGAGGCAAAATTGAAAACTGTTTTGTGGGTCAGATGAATCAAAATTTGAAATTCTTTTTGGAAACCACGGACACCGTGTCCTGTGGACTCAAGAGGAAAGGGACCATCCAGCTTGTTATCAGTTCAAAAGCCTGCGTCTCTGATGGTCTGGGGCTGCATTAGTGCCTATGGTGTGGGCAGCTTACACATCTGGACAGGCACTCTCAGTGCTAAACAGTATATAGAGGTTTTAGAACAACATATGCTCCCATCCAGACAGCGTCTCTTTCAGGGAAGGCTTTGCATATTTCAGCAAGACAATGCTAAACCACAAACTGCATCATCACAACAGCATTGCTTCACAGAAGAAGAGTCCAGGTGCTGAACTGACCTGCCTGCAGTCCAGACCTTTCACCAATAGAAAACATTTGCTGCATCATGAAACGAAAAATCCAGCAAAGAAGACCCAGGAGCTGCTGAGCAGGTAGAATCCCACATCAGACAAGAATGGGACAACATTCCTCTCCCAAAACTCAGCAACTGGCCTCCTCACTTCCCAGACGTTCACAGACTGTTGCTAACAGAAGAGGGGATGCTACACAATGGTAGACACGGCCCTGTCCCAACTTTTTTGGGATGCGTTGCTGCCATCAAGTTCTAAATGAGTTAATGTTTTTCACGAAATGGTAAAATGTCTCACTTTCAACATCTGATATGTGTTCTATGTTCTATTGTGAATAAAATATGGGTCTATGAGATTTACAAATCATTGCATTCTGTTTATTTACATTCTACACAGCGTCCAAACTTTTTTGGAATAGGGGTTGTACTTAAAGGCCCACATCATGGTAAACTGAAATAAAGGAGTCTCAGAAAAGTCATGTGTGAACATTATTAAAGATCCCATAACTTAAATTTTTCTCAAATCTTTTTTTTTTTTTACCTAAAGTTCCCTCCCACAATGTTTGTGTAGTTTTATATACTAAAAACAGTCATCATTCATTTTTCCTGATCATTTTCCCACCTCTTCCAATGGTACATTTTGGAACAATGTTAACATTCTACATCCAACACTTTCCTCTTGAAAAAGTGAGGAATAGTCATTTTTTCCTAATATGGGCCCTTTAAAGTTTAAAAATCATACTGGTCATTCTCTGTACAGTCCATCTATGGACACTACGCTGCAAACACAGCCTGTTTTGAATTCATTGTTTCTATGATGTCACAAACACCAACACATTTACATATATCCACCAATCAGCCTACAGCAGTTTAGCTCCACCCACTCCCGCTGAAGTTATAAGCAGTGTTTCGGCCTGAGCTGCTTTTTGAACGTACAGTACAGAACAGAGCTCATTCACATTACATCAGACTGAATCTTACAATAACAAAAACAGCCAACAACAAACACAAATTCTCAGTTCTTACGCTGATGCTATATATAGTATATACATTATATGGACAAAAGTATTGGGACACCTGCACATTACACCTACAGGATCTTTTATGAATCCCATTCTAAATCCATAGACATTAATGTGGAGTTGGTCTCCCTTTACAGCTCTAACAGCTTCCACTCTTCTGGGAAGCTTTCTACAAGATTTTGGCATGTGTCTGTGGGAATTCATGCCCATTCATCCAGAAGAGTATTTGTGAGGTCAGACACTGATGTTGGACGAGAGGGACCAAACTCACCCAGCCATGACTTTATGGACCTGTCTTTGTGCACTGAGGCTCAGTCATGCTGGAACAGGAAAGGTTTTTCCCCAAACAGTTCCCACAAAGTTGGAAGCATATAAATGTCCAGAATGTCTTGGCGCTGAAGCATTAAGATTCCCTTCACTGGAACTAAGGGTTCTAGATCAACCCCTGAAAAACAGCCCCATATCATCATCCCTCCTCCACCAAACTTTACAGCTGGCACAGTGCAGTCAGGCAGGTAATGTTCTCCTGGCATTCGCCAAACCCAGACTCGTCCATCAGACTGACAGATAGAGAAGCTGATTCATCACTCCACAGAATACGTTTCCACTGCTCCAGAGTCCAGTGGCGGCGCTTTACACCACTCCATTTGGCATTGTGCATGGTTTTGTAAGACTTGTTGCAATGGTGGTGTCCTATTACAGTCCCACGCTCGAATTCAGTGAGTCATTCTTTCACTAATGTGTGTAAAGGCAGGCTGCGTGGCTAGATGCTTGATTTTATACATCTGTGGCAATGAGACCGAATGAAACACCTGAATTCAATGATTAACGGGTGTGTCCCAATATTTTTGTCCATATACTGTGTGTGTGTATAAATACATAAATACATATATATATATATATATATACACACACACACACACACACACACATATACATATATATATATATATATATATATATACATACTGTCAGTTTAAACTGAATAATGACTCTGAAGATTAATAACAATAAGCTTCCAGTTTATAAATACCAAAAACCTAAAAAAGTTGACCCTGTGGTTTGTGTCCCATGACAAAAGTCACACGCTTTAATCAGAACCATGTTAGCTATTTTTGCAGTGTCACACTGCTGTGGTTTGGCTGTTTGTGTGAATGTGCTGTACCTCATCCAGAGGGCTGATGTTGGCCTGGCTGGGCTGCTTATTATAACATATGGATATCTGAGCTCCTCATAGTATTAGTTTAACTAATGTGGTACATAAATAAGACGTGTGGTTTTTTAAAAAAATTAACGGTGCACTGTTTAGAAATATATGTAGTACTATTTTGTAATGTTTAAATAAGTCTGACTGTGTGTACACAGAACTGCAGAGAATGTTGGGGCACTAGCAGCTGATATTGCGTCTCATGCAAAACTAAACAGATACATCACAGTAGGGCTGTATATGGAGCTATAAATGGAAACAATGATGAACATGTTCAGTGTATGTTGTGCAACACCATGTCATTGTTCTGTAGGTCAGCCGGTAGTGTATTACATCACACATGCCTAAAATTTTACATTTACATTTACATCATTTAGCAGACGCTCTTATCCAGAGCGACTTACAAAAAGTGCTTTGTCTATCCAGAGAAAGTATCTTCGCTAAATCACTAAATCGCTAAATACCATGATAAATCACTAAATCAGGCTAAAATTCATAGATAAATCATTAAGTTGGCCTAAATCACAAAGATAAATCACTAAAACAACCTAAAAGACAACAATAAATCACTAAATTAGGCTAAAACGCAAAAATAAATCACTAAACTTGCATAAAAAACAAGAATAATTCACTAAATTACCCGAAACACAAGAGTAGATCACTATATCAGGCCAAAAGACGACAATAATTTACTACACCAGTTTAAAAGACGACAATAAATCACTAAATTCGGCTAAAACACAAAAATAAATCACTATATCAGGCTAAAACACAAAAATAAATCACTAAACCTGCATAAAAGACAACAATAATTCACTAAATTACCCGAAACACAAGAGTAGATCACTATATCAGGCTAAAAGACGACAATAATTTACTACACCAGTTTAAAAGATGACAATAAATCACTAAATTCGGCTAAAACACAAAAGTAAATCACTATATCAGGCTAAAACACAAAAATAAATCACTATATCAGGCTAAAACACAAAAATAAATCACTAAACAAACCTAAAAAAAACAACAATTCACTAAACCAGCCTAAAAGACAACAATAAATCACTAAACAAACCTAAAAAAACAATAAATCACTAAACCAGGCTTAAAAAAAAAAACAAAAAAAAAACAATAAATCACTACATTAAGCTAAAACACAAGAATGAATCACTCTATTGGCCTAAAATACAAAGATAACTCACTAAATTAACCATATAATCAGGTAAGGAACCCCTTATGCTAGAAATACACATGCAAATGCCAGGGCTTTGTTTAGTTTTTTAATTATAACACTATATAATATCTTTTCTTTTGGAGATTTGGATACTATCTGTACGTGGATATTAAAATAGTAAAAACGTTGAAATGTCCATCCCTGCTGGCTGCTGTATGTCTGCGTGTGTCTCACCCAGCAGGCTGACGTAGGCCTGGCTGCTCTGCCCCCAGCGCTGCCTGTGTTCAGGTGAGGACACCAGCATGGGCTCAGCCACGCCGGAGCCGTACAGGTTGGTGCGTCCGTTAGGAAAAGGAACTCCGTTATCAGAGCTGTAGATCACCAGCGTGTCGTTCTCAAAGCCTGCGTCCCTCAGCTCCTGCAGCACCAGACCGACACCTGGAGCAGGAGGAGAAAAACAGACTCAGACTGGAAAGAGGAAGTTGGCTTGACTAAGTCAGCGAATAACGCTTAAAACGTTAAAGCAGTTAAAAACACTGCTGACTGTTTTGATATTTTAGAAGGTTTATACAGTAATATAATGTTACTGCTATGGTATCTGAGCTGGTTGCTAAGATGTTGATAGGCTGTTGCTATGGTATCCCAGGTGGTTGCTAAGATGTTGCTAGGCTGTTGTTATGTCATCTTAGGGGGATGTCAAGGTGTTGCTAGGCTGTTGCTATGTCATCCCAGGTGGATGCTAAGGTGTTGCTTAGGTATTGCTATGGGTATTGCTATGGTATCCCAGGTGGTGGCTAAGGTGTTGCTAGGCTGTTGCTATGTCATCCCAGGTGGATGTTCAAGTGTTGATCAGCTCTTGCCATGGTATCTGAGGTGGTTGCTAAGCTGTTGCTATGTCATCCCAGGTGGTTGTTAAGGTGTTCCTAAGTTGCTGTTGTGTCATCCCATGTGGTTTTTAAGTGGTTGCTAGGCTGTTGTTATGTCATCCCAGGTAGTGGCTAAGGTGTTGTTAGGCTGTTGTTATGTCATCCCAGGTGGTAACTAAGGTGATGCTAAGCTGTTGTCAAATTGGCCAAAAAAACCACACTATATCCTGCACAGTTCCACGGTTCTAGAAACTGAACCTTGAAATTGTCATATTTAAGTTTCCTGTACAGAACATATTTTGCATTGGACTGAATGGGATTTTTACTACAGCTCTGTAATGCATTTGTGGGCGGAGCCTGCATGATTTCCTACCTAACTCTTCTTCCCAAAGCCTCACCTTGGTCCAGTCTGCTGACAGTGGTGTACTGGGCTGCTATATCTGCTCTGGAGGTCGGAGTGTCGGGGACAAAGTATGGCACCTGAGTCAACAACCAAACATCTGAGGATAAAACTTCACCAAACGTCACATCAACTTCACAAAACACATACAATCAGACTGACACCATGATCATAAAACACATCCTACATCATAACTCATTCAGTGTCTCCAGTTTCAGTATTATTTATCCATGCAGCCCTGTTCTTACAATTTAATTATTTCTTACTCATAGCTCTAAACTTTCAATCCATACCTTATTTATGTTTGTATGGAGGAGATATTTAATTATGATTTGAGTCTGATGATGGTAGACACCAGTTGCATTACTTGGGTGCCTCATTTCTACCATGTTTTTGTCCTTTTTGGTCACCAAAATAAACAGAATCAAGTCAGATATACAGACTCCGACTTCTAAGAATGGACATTTTTTATGTAACTGTGAAGTGATGTAATTTTGTAATTACATACCAATAATTTTGTAATGTAAACTGAATGTATAGCAAAAACAGCAGATTATACACTGATCAGGCATAACATTATGATCCTTGTTTCTACGCTCACTGTCAATTTTATCTGCTCCACTTACTGTATAGGTGCACTTTCTACAGTTACAGACTGTAGTCCATCTGTTTCTCTGCATACTTTGTTAGCCCCCTTTTACCCTGTTCTTCAGTGGTCAGGACCCCCATGGACCCTCACAGAGCAGGTACTATTTGTGTGGTGGGTCATTCTCAGCACTGCAGTAACACTGACATGGTGGTGGTGTGTTAGTGTGTGTTGTGCTGGTCTGAGTGGATCAGACACAGCAGTGCTGCTGGAGTTTTTAAACACCTCAGTGTCACTGCTGGACTGAGAATAGTCCACCAACCAAAAATATCCAGCCAACAGCGTCCTGTGACCACTGATGAAGGACTAGAGGATGACCAACACAAACTGTGCAGCAGCAGATGAGCTATCGTCTCTGACTTTACATCTACAAGGTGGACTGAGAAGGTAAGAGTGTCTAATAGAGTGGACAGTGAGTGGACACAGTGTTTAAAAACTCCAGCAGCACTGCTGTGTCTGATCCACTCAGACCAGCACAACATAGACCAACACACTACTGCTAAGTCAGTATCACTGCAGTGCTGAGAATGATCCACCACCCAAATAGTACCTGCTCTGTGAGGGTCCATGGGGGTCCTGACCACTGAAGAACAGGGTAAAAGGGGGCTAACAAAGTATCAGAGAAACAGATGGACTACAGTCTGTAACTGTAGAACTACAAAGTGCACCTATATAGTAAGTGGAGCTGATAAAATGGACAATGAGCGTAGAAACAAGGAGGCGGTCAGAATGTTATGCCTGATCAGTGTAGACGAGCCTAATAAATATTCGTATTTTAGTCGTATGTAATAATGATAAGTGGTACCAAATAGGTGTGAGTCAGTCAGTATGACAGGTATAGATGCTTGTTGTTGCATAATTAGGGCTGAGCAATTGAAATTCGGTACTCACCTTCACCTGGTCCGGCGTGTAGTACTGCGGCTTCCAGTCTGGAATTCTTCCCATTCCGCTCTCGCCATTCCCGAATTTCTCACAGAACGCTCCGTACTGGGGCTGCGAGTGGCCGCAGCGGTGCGGGTCGTGGAAGGCCACGTACAGGAAGAACGGCTGCGCCTCTCCTCCGTCCCTCTCCGCCTCCTTCTGTCCTTTCAGAAACTTCCGGACGAGGAGTTTGATCCGGGTGATGTTGCGGCCCACCTGCAGAACGGAGCTGTTCTCCTCCGTGTAGGCGAAGTCAAAAGGGTAAACGGGGCCGGGACCTACGTGCTTCTTCCCAATGATTCCTGCCAGAACAAGAGAGAATCACATTATCTCAACACATATTGTTCACTCTACGGTTTTCCAGCTGTTTAAACTTTCCTTTTCCCTCCCACATTTTCCATTTTAAAAATGCTCCCAGTTCTAGCAGCTCTGCTCGTGCTAACGTTAGGTAGCATGCAGTGTTCAGATTTAAGAGACTAAGATTTGGAGAACTTATGAGCCACTGGCCAACGATAAAATTATCAAAAAAAATCTAAATCAAACATATCAAATTCCATCTCAGATTATGGTGCTGCCGGAAGTCTACAGTAAATACAGTACTGATCAGTTTGAATGTACAGTTTATATACACTACATATCAGTTTTTATACAGCATATACAAGTTTACATGCACTATCTATTCATTTATATACACTACATATGAGTTTATGGACTGTATATTTGGGGATATATAGCACAGCCTTAAGTCTACAGTTTATATACAGTATACATCAGTTTATATACTGTACATATGGGAACATGGCGCTGCCTGAAATCCTCAGTTTATATACAGTATATACAGGTATCTCGCACTGCCTGAGGTCTACAGTACATATTCAGTATATATGCTGTATATACGGGAATATAGCACTGCCTGAAGTCTACAGTATTCATAATTTTATATACAGCAAATCAGTTTATATACTGTATATACAGGGATATGGCACTGTCATATACACATCATATCAGATTATATACGGTAAATCAGTTTATATACCATATGTATGGGAAAATAGCACAGCCTGAAGTCTGCAGTTTACATACACTATATAGAGACTATATACAGGATTTTTTTTATACATCAAATCAGTTTATATACCAGATATATACAGGGATGTGGCACTGCCTGAAATCTACAGTATTTATAATTTTATATAGCATAAACCAGTTTATATACTGTATATATACAGGGATGTGGCACTGCCTAAAATCTGCAGTATTTATAATTTAATATACACTAAATCAGTTTATATACCGTATATATACAGGGATGTGGCACTGCCTGAAATCTACAGTATTTATAATTTAATATACACTAAATCAGTTTATATACCGTATATATACAGGGATGTGGCACTGCCTGAAATCTGCAGTATTTATGATTTTATATAGCATAAATCAGTTTATATACCGTATATATACAGGGATGTGGCACTGCCTAAAATCTGCAGTATTTATGATTTTATATAAAATATATCGGTGTATAAACTGTATATTTCAACATATAGCACTACCTGAAATCTACAGTATTTCTAATTTTATATACACTAAATCAGTTTATATGTTGTACATATACAGGGTTATTGGACTGCCTGAAATCTACAGTATTTAATCTACAACATTTATAATTTTATATGCAATAAATCAGTTTATATACTGTATATATAGGCATATGTCACTGCCTGGCATCTACAGTTTAAATATATATGATATCTGATTATATACAGTATCAGATTATATACACTATGTATAAATATGGGGATATAGCTGTCTTATAGACACCTTCTTTCAAATTCTATTGATGGTCTGATGTGTTGCCAGTAGAAACCCCCTTAAACCTTCGGAGACTTGGGATGCTTATACCAAAGGTAAGCTCTACTGGACATCACTGTCTTGAGGTTCAGCAGGTCCAGTCACTCACCGGTGCGGATGTTGGCCTGTTCCAGCAGCAGAGGGAGACTGCGCACCCCGTCAAACGAGTTAAAGTGGTGCACCCCCTGATGAAGGCCATACATGCCGTTCTGGTGCTGTGGATCATACAAGTAGAGCCGAGAGGAAACACGCTCACCAACTGACTTTGGCCAATAACTATTACTGATATGTCATGAAAGGGGGTTTATTAACTCACCTGCGGTAAGCCGGTCAGGATGGTGGAGCGGCTGGGCGAGCAGCTACTCACGGATGCAAAGGCGTTCTGAAAGATGACACTGCGCTGGGCCAGAGCTTTCAGGTGCGGAGTTCGCACCACCGTGTTGTTGTAGACCTCCGTCTCAAAACCGGCATCGTCAGCTACAGAAAAACCCCGTCATTTTATTAGAACAGATCATTACAGTCCTAGCCAGATACCTTAAAGGGGCTATAATACCTGTAATATGTTATTTGCTGTCTTATGGTGCACTAGAATACTGCATAACAAGTAATATATTAAAGTAATTACAGCAAATACATCATATAACCATTGGGAATCTCTGTGGTGCCAACCGATCCTGACTGCTAGCCTAGCCAGTGGACTTTTAGCTGATAAACACAGCCGAGCTGGCACCAGCTAACTCTTACCTCAGTCGTTGAATACAATTGTAAAGAAAACAGCGATTCTGTCTTCATTCAGCAAAGAAACTACACATTTTTACGCTTCAGCCAGAGAAAAGAAGCCAAAAACTGAGGTAAAATATCTAGACAGTTAGCTATGTTGCTAACTGTATCTTTTAGCTCGCTGTGCTAATCATCTAACCAATCATTTCTGTTATGTGAGTGATTCATTCTCTTCATTGTAATGATGATTTGAAGGCACTTTCTACAGGGATAGGGCTGAAATAAGATATTAGATTACTGCATAACATGACAAATAATATATTAATTATAGCAAATACATCATATAACCAATGGGAATCTCTGTGGTGCCAATCAATCCTGACCGCTAGCCTTGCCACTTGACTTTTATCTCAAAAACACAGAACAGAATTGTTCACAATGGTGCTGATAGGAACCAGACGTCCACCTGTAAAAGCCCCCTCACAGAAAGTTACTACATGAAATGGTAAAATGTATGCTGTCTGACGTCTGATAGTGATAGTTTTGTGATGAAGTTTTGGCTTAAAATGTATTTTAATCTATTTATTTTAATCTATCCGTAGTGGAGGGGTACATGCAGGGCTTTGTGAGGCAAAACAGTCCCTAAGGAAAACTTATTTTTCCAGATTTTCCACTATTTTACCATCATCAACATTCCACATAAAAACTCAGAAGACACATGCAGGTAGGTTCACTGGTGGGTTTGGAGAGTAAATAAAATGGCTGTTTGAGAGACATGGCGAACCCTGGTCCCTATCACCATCTATACTAGGACTGAACTATTCAGAAAAGTTCAAATATTGGTGGAATTCCCCTTTAAGCCCAAAGTGAAGGTGCTATATGACGTTACTATTAAACAGTCCTTATTGTGAGCTTAAGAAACAATGAATTAGCATTTGATTAACATGATCAAATACACAAATCTCACGAGGCAACAGTTTAATCTGATTCTTACTCATTTTATCTGACTAATCTGCTCTATAATGATCTGTGTGAGTTACCAATGATGAGGAGCACATTTCTCTTGCTTTCCACCAGAACACCACAGCAGCACACAAGGAACAAGACAATCCTGCCAAGTGAAAACTGCATCTTAATTCCTAATGTTTGCAACTCTTTCAGCCTTTAAACGTCTCCCGTCGTCGTGTTTTTCCTCATTGCCTTTATATACGTTATATTTCGCTCTGAAACGTTCATAAACACAAACTAAACAGACGCAAACTTCCCCACTGGTAAAAACGGCTACATCCCAAATAACTCCCTGCTCCCTACATAGTGCACTACGTTGTAGAACTACGGCTTCTACCCCCAAATAGTGCACTAACTGTTAAAAACTTAGTCGTAAAAGTCTCAAATGGCGTTATAATAAAGATATAACGGACTACTTCGGTGTGAAACGTTAATGTTAACACCTTACCTAGTTCACTACATAGGTAGTGAGTGACTATTCGGGACACAACACTTCCGTGTACGTACATCACATGACTACGGTCATATGAAGGAACGCCGCAAGCCTGGACCAATGGCTTTCGCGCAGGCTTATTTGCATAACCAATGGCGTCGCGGAACCCGCTGCAGCCTCATTTGCATGATGCATAATGGAAAGGATGTCGGCTGAGTTTGAGCTGTTTTGCGAAGGAAACCGCAGCCGGACACGGTTGTGATTCTGTGGTTGTGTTTATAATGTAATATTTCATATTTGGAGATGAAATGTCGCCTTGAAACAGATTCCAGTGAGCAGATCAAGGTTTGAAACCCTCTTTTGCCTCTTTGTTTGCTGTAGCCGCCGGTTTGCTGACTGTATGTTTACAGACTTAAGTACAGTATGACGTGTGTTTTTCGTTATTGTTATTAGTGGAGCGCTCTGCTCATCTCTATGCACGCACTGTCAGTGCAGCGTGGGTTAAAAAGCCATATGACGTCGGCATAACAATAATAAAGACCTTACTTCATGCTGTAAAGCTTTAAAGGTGGTTCTTCAAGGGTTCTTTAGTAAAGGCAAGGAACCATGAGTTCTATATAGAACCATTTGGTTCTCTGAATGGTGAAATGGTTCTTCAGATTGATAGAGAATATGTTGTTTTTGAAAATAGCTCTGTCTAGCACCAAAAGGAGTTCTACTGTTACAACAGTGAAAGCAGAACCCTTTTTGTGGTGCTGTATAGAACCATTTTTAAAGAGGTGTTACATAGAACCATGCAACACGTTCTCCATCAATCTGAAGAACCATATCACTATGCAAAGAACGCTTTAAGCGTGGAAATGGTTCTTCGAGTGCTCGTGGTTCTGTCCTGACAAATGAAGAAGTTGAATAATAGATTTATACATTGTACATAGAACCTTTTTGAAGATGGTTCTGTGTAGCACCAAAAAGGGTTCTGCTGTTGTTACAATAGCGGAACCCCTTTTGGTGCTGTATACATAGAACCATACACCACATTCTCCATCAATCTGAAGAACCATTTCACTATGCAAAGAACGTTTTAAACAAGCAAATGGTTCTTTGCGTGTTCATGGTTCTAACCCGATGAATAATTTAAATAATAGATTAATTCATCATCACGTTCTACATAGAACCTTTTTGAAAATGGTTCTGTGTAGCACCAAAAAGGGTTCTCCTATTGTCCTAGTGTCAAGCTTGTAACAGTAAAAGAACCCCTTTTGTTGCTAAACAGAACCAGGCAGAACACTTTAAGCATGCAAGTGGTTCTTTGAGTGTTCATGGTTCTATCTAATAGATTAATACGTTCTACGTAGAACCTTTTTGAAAATGGTTCTGTGTAGCACCAAAAAGGGGTTATTCTATTGTTACTATTCTATTGTTAATAGCGGAACCCCTTTTGGTGCTGTATCGAAACATTTTCAAGGAGGTTCTACATAGAACCATGCAACACGTTCTCCATCAATCTGAAGAATCATTTCACTATGCACCAAAAAGTGTCCATAAAATGATAGATTAATACATCATTAACACGTTCTACAGAGAACCCTTTTGAAAATGGTTCTGTGTAGCACCAAAAAGGGTTCTGCTAACAGTAAATGAGCCCCTTTTGTTGTTAAACAGAACCATTTTCAAAAACAATACATTCTCCACCAATCTGAAGAACCATTTCACCAGGCAAAGAACCAGCTGGTTCTATATAGAACTCATTGTTCATTGCCTAAAGAACCCTTGGAGAACCATCTTTGTAGCTCTACAGCATGAAGAAACTCTTTATTGTTGTTATGCTCAACGTCACATTACTGAGAATACAAAAGCGTCATGGAATGAACGTCACATTTGGTTCTCTGACAGTTTTGTATGGTGTGTGTTCTAGATATGCCCAGTGACAGGAAGATGAGGGTGGACTTTGGAACAAGAGTCTCGTTCTTTGGGTTTCACAACAACTCGAGGGTTTAAGAGAGCTGAGCATGTGAAGAGTGTTCAGCTGAGTGGGGAAGCAGAAGAGCTTCTGTTCTACTTTTATCTCTCTCTCTATCTCTCTCACTCTCGCCTCTCTCTCTCTCTCTCTCTCTCTCTCTCTCTCTCTCTCTCTCTCTCTCTCTCTCTTTCTCTCTAATCTTGCAAGCCAATTTGAATACGCTCCTACAACAAGATACACACGCCATGTCCCTCTCTCTCTCTCGCTCTCTCTCTCTCTCTCTCTCTCCACCCCCACTTTTCTCGTAAGCCGTCATTTCACGTGCGTGACTGAGTGGACGTCGTGTCCATGACCAGCTCCGCCCACTAAAACAACAATAAATGGAAATCGGCACATCCTGGAACATCAATGCTGGATCAACACCTCTGTATTCCTCCAGACAAGGCCGTCCTCAACTCTCCACTCCCTCTAAACCCCAGCTGTTCCAGCTGTTAACTAAAGCTGAAGACCTCAGGAAAAGAAAGGAGACCAGCTGCTGTCTAGGTGAGGTCCGCAAGATGATGGAGCCGTTGACTTCTGACCCCATGGAGGGCGAGCACTCTCTGAAAGACAGGCTGGCGGCCGCCTGCTCCTTCGACCGCCCTGCGCACCTGCTTCCCCATCCTCACCTGGCTGCCCAGGTACAACCTCACCTGGCTCAAGATGGACGTGCTGGCCGGATTGACCGTGGGCCTGACCGTCGTCCCTCAGGGTTTGGCCTACGCGGAGGTGGCTGGGTTACCTGTTCAGGTAATGAGCACAGTAGAATGACCAACCGTTTTAATGCTTAACTGGAAGGAGCCAATATATCTTCACTATATCTTCACTTTACAGGAGAAGAAAAAAACGATCTGAGGGTTCAGTGGAAATCAATGTTATGAGATTTTGTTCTCGGTCAGTTTGGAGCATTTCTGTTAGTCCATCCTTCATGGAAATTGGACACGTTATAAAGGACAGCTGGTACGATTAAATTATATTAAAAAATAAAAAATGATAAAAATGTTCCGACAGCGACCGTATTTGCTCGACACTGTTTGATATACTGGATGACATCTGGACTAAAGTGTAGACCAAAATTCATTTGTACTTGTTTTATATGTCAATTGTGTTGATAACAGAATTCTGACCGTGTTAGAAGTCTTAAAAGCAAAACCGATGCTAATCGGTGGGGTTTAAGTAGAGGTGGGCAATATGGTGATATTTATCGATATCATGATAAATGATAAATTACACAACAGTACTATACTGTGGATATTGTCAGTACATACAGAACACAGAACAACTGCGTGTTTAATTGCAGAGATAATATTTAGTAAGGATCCATTAAAATTTCAGCCATTTTTGGCCAAAATTTACAGGTGGTCAAAATTAAAATAGGCCTCAAAATCTCACAAGGGCTACAGCAAAGCATCAAAATCGCTACACAGGTCATTTCAGTGATAAGAAAAGCGAGAAACAGTGCCGTTCAACACTGACCTGTTCAAACAGTTGGGGTGGTAGTAGATCAACAGTGGAGGAACAGGATTAGCATTAGACAAGCAGGTTATAATCTCTGTTCATGTCGAGTATTAAAACAGCCGAAAAGACGACTTACGCAGAATTCAGCCAAACAAAAGCAGAAAGGAAAGACACTGCCGACGCCGTCTGTAGCATCAGATGAAAAAAGTTACAAAAAACAGTGCAAATGTGTGAAAAATAATGAAAATAATGGAATTTGTTGCCTTAGAGCACCAACCGTTCACTGCTGCTGGATTTTGTGGCGTGTACTGTAACCATTTTAGCAAGTTTATTTTTATTTACTGTTAACTAAACTTTTTTAAAATTTATTGTCAGCTCAGTTTTGTCGTAAGTAGATTTCAGCAATGATAAAAATATATATATTTATTGTCTTTATTACCTATCAGGGCTGGCCAGTCAGGTTTTATTTTCAATTCTGATTTTGGCTCCAAACGATTATTAAAACAAGAGAATTGAGATAAAATGATTATTGTGCTGCATTACGTTTCGCAGTAATGCTCTCGTTTTGTCTTGTGTCATGAATCCAGCTCCCCCTTTTTTTCAGCGCTCCTGCCTAAAAGCCCAAACTTATCTAATTTATTTTTTATTTATTACTTTTCTATTATTTAGTATTTTTCAGTAGATTGTAGAAGTGCTTTACAGCATATTTGATCTCATTTATTTGAATCGTATTTATTTTTGTTGTATTTATTTAAGTGTGTATATATTTATATAGTTATATATTATTTAGTTTATCTATTTATCATTTTTTTACATTTATTTATTTACTTTTTTGGTTAAATCATATTTAAAATTCAAGAAAATGAACTGTTAAAAAGGCAAGTAAGTTCAGCAAAAGCATGAATGTTCCCAAAGTCAATGAGTGATTGTCTTAAAGAATTGTGATCTCAATACTCCCCAAAATAATAATTATTATTATGATTATTATTATGATTATGATTTTTGCCATAATCAACCAGCCCTGTTACCTAGTAGTCTTTATGTTTAGTACTAAGCATAAATAATTTTCGGTTTCGATTTTTGCCAGGAAATTTGCATTTTAATTTCACTGCATCGTTAAAAATGAGTTCTGTTTAGTGTTTAATCGCACTGCACTAAATCCAGTGGGAAATGCAAAAAATGATGATTAATAGTTTTTGACTTCTTTTTTCTGTACCGACTTATCAAACCTCACCAAACTAAATATCAAATATTTCTTATTGTGTATTGCGAAGTTACATTAGCCTCGTAGCGTCAGTGTTAAACTAAAGGAGGAACTTCAGTCACAGCGTTTCTTGGCTGGTTGATGCCGTTTGGGGTAAAGGAGGGGAAACTGTGAACGTTTATTTTCACTATACTTTCACTTTAACTGTGTCACTGAAAGCTGTATTTTTCTGTTCCACCTTAAAACCCGATACCTTATTGTGTCCTGCCTTTTCCTGTCGCACAGGTTTTGAAAACACTGTAGTCATGATGCGCCAGGCTTTGCTAAGTTTTCACCTTTGTTCTTGTGTATGAGGTGAATGTGTTGCTGCACAGGAAGGTTGATTTTGAGCGTATAGTTTCCTGTGTTTTTATCACTCCAGCTTAACTTTGACTCAGCTCTCAGCTTCCTGTGCCCTTTACTGTAACCGTCACTGTGGGCTACACAAGAACTCTCGGCATCGTCCTTCTAAACCTCCACCAGGTTCTCTGGTTGGGACGCTGTGTGAAACAGAATGCAATGATTTGCAAATCTAATCTTAATACACATAAACATAAAATAAACCCCCAGAACACAGTGAGGAGGACGAAGCTGAAGTTGGGCTTCCTATTCGCCAGTTTTCACGTTCCACCTTAAATGGTGCAGCAGTCAATTTCTATTTAAGGTGGAATGGGAAAATTCAAACAAGATGCTGGCAAATAAGAATCTAACTTCAGCTTTGTGTAAGAAGGTTCTAACATTAATCTATTATGAATATCTACACAGATTAAGGAATGCTATAGCTTACCCAGCTACAAAGCTTTAACCACCACTGTAAATAAATAACTACTACATAAAGTTAAGATCCTGAATAGACTATTAAATGAAAAGCTTAATATAAAACCAGAGGAAAAACAATCACATCAACAGGTTCTCTGAGCTTCACCAACCACACGACCATATCTACATAAACATCACACAAACTATACTCATCACACAGACATGAGTGTGGATCACTGCGTTCCCTCCGTTATATAATCCTATCCCACTTTCTGAGAGCAATGTTCTTGAAACAGTGTAATTTTGGACAGTATCTTTCTTAAACTGCCGCTCTGTAATGGTACTGAATGCAGTCTAGCAGCAATGTTGACCGCCCCAAAATGGTGGCGCTGTTGTCGTGCCTGGCTCCACCCCACGCGGCATCTAGGTACGCATATCTATGGGTGTTGGTAAACATTATGCTCATTTATGACAATATTCATCATTATCGTTAGAAATGATGTCACGATACACTAAATTATGCTTTTCTGAACATACGGATAACAACAGTGCTTGTACAACACTGACCAGCTGCGTGTTTCATTATAAAGAGAGTGAAATTAGTCATGTTTTAACTAGATTTAGTTCCAAATATTGAATAAAAATCATTGAGTTTTTGATAGTATTTTTTAAAAAATGTAACACTAGTGTTTTTTTTTTCTCTGTTCCTCATCAGATGTGTGAAAAAATAAATAGCGTGGCATATTGTGTATTGTGAATTGTTCTTGAAGTATCACAATATTAGATTTTCGCCGTATCGTCCACCAGCTTGAACTTGCGTTGGAGGTGCTACTGAAACTGATGACTTCCTAATAAACTCATACTGATTTTTACTCATTTGTACAATTCATAGAGTGATTGATAGAACAAGGGAGAAATTTGGGTAAGATTTTGTATCATGAATTCACAAAGCTGTAGTAAAATAAGTATAAATTTCCTTTGAAATCCTCTATATTGACGCTCCATTTGAACTTAGTCACATAACATATTATTCCTTACTTTGGAATAGCAGATATCTTCTCTGATGCCCATCAGGCTGGCATAAAGATGAGTACATTGAAGTAAAATGTAAATTTAGTGGATTTCAGTAGATATTTTTATAATCTGGCCGATGAAAACACTTTGGCATCTGATTGTTATTGTTTTAAGTACCCTGTTCATTTAGTTTATGTCCAAAAGTTTGTAGAAACCAGCATTTTTCTGAAATCAAGGGTGTTAATAGTGAGTCGCCCTTTACACTGGTAACAGCCTCTACTCTTCTGGGAAGGCTTTACACTAGATGTTGGACATTGCTGTGAGCATTTGATTGAGCATCAGTGAGGTCAGGTACTGATGTTGGATGGTCAGTTCTGGATCACAGGTCATCCCAAAGGTGTTGGATGGAGCTCCATCTCTCCAGAGAACACAGTTCCACTGCTTCACAGCCCAATGCTGAGGGGCTTTATACCCTTCTAACCCACGCATGGCAGTGGACATGGTGACCTGCACTAAGTAGAAATGGTGTCTGGATATTTTTGGACATGCAGTGTTTTTACCTTCCCTCTCTCTGTCTCTGCAGTACGGCCTGTACTCGGCCTTCATGGGTGGCTTTGTATACTGCGTCTTCGGCACGTCGAAGGACATCACTCTGGGCCCGACGGCCATCATGTCTCTGCTGTGCTCCTTTTACATCGGAGGAGACCCCGTGTTCGCCGTGCTGTTGACGCTGATGTGTGGAATCATCCAGACCGCCATGGCCTTCCTCAGACTGGGTAAGACCCGGTCAGCTACATACAAGGGAATCACAGTTCAATCACAGTTCACAGTTTCTCACCAGTTCAGTGGTTGAGATGTAATCAGAGTGATTCATAGTGGTTTGGTGTGAAATGGTTCAGATGTCTTCACAGTGGTGGTGATAGGAACCAGGCGTCACCTTGACCACAACACAAATATAGACATTTTATTTACTGTACAGAACCACCAGTGAACCTACACAAGTCTTCTGAGTTGATATGGAATGTTGATGAGTGAAAAATAGTGGAAAATCTGAAATAATAAGTTTTCTTTGGGGACTATTTTGCCTCATAACGCCCTGCATATTATGTATCCCTCCACCATGAATGGATTTTAAGGCTGAAATCTTCTCAAAACAATAATATTCATAACCATTTCACTTAATAACTTTTCCTTACGCCTAGCATGGATTTTAAAAAGAGGTTTTAAGCCAAAATCATATCTCAAAACCATCATAAAACAGTGTCTCAGACATTCATAACCTATGTTTTCCTTGGGGACTATTTTTCTGCCTTCCATGTACCCCTCTACCACGACCTGTATAGAAATCTGATATATGGCAAAAATGAACATACATGGATTTCCCTTATATATCCAACAGATATATATGTGACACATATGCCATACATATTTGAAATTGTCCGTTTTCAAATATGAAACACACATTGCAGCCATAGATCAACACATAAAAACATATATGTGCAACACATATTTAGCAATATTAAATAGAAAACATTTATTCATATATGGATAGCATATATTATTCATTACGGTTAGCTTCATGTTAGAAGATATAAGGTTTCTGTGTGTCTTCTTTTTCTTTCACACGCTTCCAAATGAGGTGTACATGAGTGATATAGCTACAAAACTAAAGTCAATCATTTAAACATGAAATTTGAGTAAATTACAACATAGACATATTATTGAAGATAAGAGATCCATATGTTTGTACATGTTCACCCATCTATCAGACATATTTCGCTGCTGTCGGAAGAAAACCTCGTATCTCCATTTTTTTTTCGTTTTTCAGTTTTTGACATAATTTGAAAATGCCTGTTGTCCTTTACATTGTTTGTAAATTTCATGAAGAATGGACCAACAGAAACGGCCCAAAATGACATGGAAAAACGTCTGGTTCCATTGACTTACATTAAAAGTAAAGTATGTTTTTTCCTGTTCCTGTAAAGTTACCATTTTGGAGATACGAGGTTTTGTTCTGACAACAGTGATATGTTTCTATATATTATGCATTTATGTCCAATATTTGATACACAACGTAAATGTACATATATTTTGAAATATATGCCTGACTCTTTCTGATATGTGTAGTTTTGTGAGGGAGCTTTTAGAGGTGGACGTCTGGTTCCTATCACCACCACTGTGAACAATTCTGACTCAGTAAGCTTCTATAGAACGGAGCATTTCACACCAAACCAAATCAGTGAACTTCCTCATGCAGTGGTCCACCCAAAAATGAAAATTTCACCCTTACTGCAAATGTAGTCGATCAGCAAAGACGTGTTTGTTGTGTGAAGTTTGCTATGAGGCTAATATGGCTAACAAGTCCTGAAGCTAACCGAATTAGCAATGCGGAAACGGCAAGTGTGAACAAAATTCAGGCTTCAAGATGGCGACTGCTGCTGTTTTTAGCTACGCAGCGTACTTTTGTCCATTTTCTCTGATTCCTACACACAGATAAAGGGGAAGAGGGAGCACGTTAGCTAAAGAGGAAGTGAGGTTTTTTTAAATCACTTGCTTTGATTATTTCCTGTGTTATTTCACAATTGTTGCAAAGCCACATACCCACACACTAACATATGATCCAGTGCCCCAGTCCAGCACATGGCCACTGGTCAGCAGTAAATGTACGAAAGCCATACAGAGTCAAATATAGCATTTTAAATAAACAAGGCCAGAAATAAGCTGAAAGTGTGCAAACGTAGACTGACACAGCACCTTTCACTTCTATCAGATATTCACTATTTACACTGTTCAAAAGTTTGGAATTACTTTCATACTAATTATTACACTGTAGACAATATTTCAATACTAAAAAACTACAAAAACTAGATGCCATTTAAGTATTTTGGCAACAACAAGAATTATTATTATTATTATAGTTATTCAATGATAAATTATAAACTGCAACTGTGTTTACAATATATACAATATTTAAATACTAAATAACTACAAAAACTACGTCATATTCAATGTTTCAAATATTTTGCAACAACAGAAATTATTATTATTATTATTAATTATAGTTATTCAGTGGTAAATTATAAACTGCAGTTATGCAGTTATATACAAGTATCAGTGATTTTCGGTTTGTCAGTGTTTAACAATATATGTAACATTATAAGATTATATTAAATCAATATCTCTTAAATTATTACATTTTATATATATATATATATATATATATATATATATATGTATGTGTGTGTGTGGGGGGGTTTGTGTGTTTGAGTAATATGTATGTATATTGTATATCTAACCATAGTAAATAAAAAATCAATAAACCATTAAAATTACAACAATATAATAACTTCATAAATAAGGATATATATATATATATATGTGTGTGTGTGTGTGTGTGTGTGTGTGTGTGTGATTAATGAAATAAAGAAATAAAAGATGTAAAACAGTAGCCTGGCAATATTAAAATAAATAAAAATAGAATAATAAAAATGAAACAATAACTAAACCATCTTAGAAATCACTTTAAAGTTAACTAAAATCAAATCAAGTAAAACAGTTGCAGGCGGGTGTGTGTGTGTGTGTGTGTGTGTGTGTGTGTGTGTGTGTGTGTGTGTGGTTTAAGTTGACCTTACCTAAAAATAGAAGTGGTTGCATCCTTATAAGCATGAGTTCTATTTTTGTATCTTTACTAAATGTCCTCCTCCCACCAATCTGGTCATCACTAATCCCACCCACTCTCTCACATGATGCTTCCAGACTGGGGGGCTGAGTTCTTCCTCCTCTCAGACTCCCACCACGGAGGGCTGTGGCATCACCGGCATTCAAGCTCATGATCTCCTGACGATCAGGCAGTCAGACAGTTGTGCCACTCGGTGTCCAAGATACAAGGAAAACATCCCATAATGAAAATAAACAGTCCAGGAAAACAGGGTAGTGATAGATCTGGCAGGTTGATTGGATGAGGGGAGGTCCAGAGTTAGATACGCACCTCATTGTGTTGCATGCAATTACACATTTCCGCCAGAGAGGTCTCCAAAAAACCTGCAACTTACGTACTGCAGCTTTAAAATACACTAAGAAGCTTGAAATGTGCAGCTGGCTGCCTTATTTTAAGTTGACCTGACCTGTTCTGGACTGATGACCTGCACTCTTCTCATCTCTTTGTAAGCTTCTTGATGGAACTGCTGATGTTTACAGGGTTCCTGCTGGACTTTATTTCCTACCCCGTCATAAAGGGCTTCACCTGTGCAGCGGCTGTTACCATTGGCTTCGGACAGGTTAAGGTGAGCAATCGTGATGTCTTTGAGCTCAACAATGAAGTAATAACAAAGACTGATCCACATTTCTGTTCATGTTTATGACACAGTTCAATTCATAATTGCAGTACTCCTTTTTATTAACCATTAGAAGTTGCAATTATGTAAACACTCTCAAAGCTAATTAAAAATTAACTAAAAACACAAAATTTTTTAACATTGTTAACTTATTTTTCATCCAAAGCAGTGCAGGCTGAAGTATGTTGCTCTGATAGATTCCATAATCATAGCACTCTTGTTCAAATACAGCTTTTAAATGGCTTTTAAAGCAATACTTCAACCAGCAACAAAATACAGAAAGCAGCAGCAGCTTGGTGGAGCTCCAGTTCCCCTCGAGATCCTCTACTGTAACAAGAATCCACAAGCTGTATGAACAATACAGTCGTTACAGACACTACAGTTATAGAGGAGTTGAATAGTTGGCTGTATATAATATATACTCTGTGTATATATGTATCTATGTTTATATATATATATATATATATATATATATATATATATATATATATACACTCATTAACTGTAGATATGATATGTGATATTATACACTCATTGACTGTATGTATGATAAATGTTATACACTAATTGAGTGTATACATGATGTATACGATATATGCACTCACTGACCGTATGTATGATATATATTATACACTCATTCACTATATATATATATATATATATGAATATATGATTTATATGACATATGAACTCATTGACTGTATGCGTGATGTATACAATATATACACTCACTGACCATATATATGATATACATTATACCTTTATTCACCATATATATATGATATTATATACTCGTTGACTGTATATATGATATATATGATATGTACATTAATTGGTTGGAACGTGCAGATATTGTTGGTGATGAAAATAAGAAACCTTTTATCTAATGAGAAAATTTTCATGTTCAGCAGGACGATAATGTTATTGAATTATTATTAGCTATAACAAAATGTGTTTTCATTATGGTCAAATTTGATGCAAATAAATGTGATTAATCGTGATTAACTACACAAAAAAGGTGATTTGTCACAATTATTTCAGTTATTTTTAATATACAGTAATATGTCGACTTCTAAGGGTTAAATTTTAGGGTTTTGTTTATCTGTCATTGTTTCTGGTATAAAGTGTTTGGTGCATTATAGCTGAAGGACTGTCTCTGCATGCTTGTGTAGAATATTTTAGGTCTGAAGGGGATCCCACAGCAGTTCATACTGCAGGTCTACTACACTTTTCACAGGATACCTGAGGCCAGGTGAGTTTATGGAAACATGTTCAGGCTCTTCTCTAAACAACTCATAACTTAGAATGCATAAATACTAGATTATGTTTATTTGTGTTGTTTGTATGCTTCACTCTGTCCTCCTCTCCCTCAGGGTTGGAGATGTTATCTTGGGTGTGTCGTGTCTGTTTTTTCTGGTGACGATGACGATGATGAAGAGCACTCTGAGGTCCTTCGAGGAAAACCCGTCTAGTCTGGTGCAGGCTGCCAGGGGCATCGTATGGAGCTTCGCCACCAGTGAGTACTCACTTTTCTCCTGTGCGAGGACTTAAAAATAGTATTTACACACTTTTCACCCTTACGCTGAGTGTAGTTGACCAGATAACATTATTGAGCTTTAACCACACCCATTGCTAGCTGTAAGAGCCTTTTATGGTGAAATTGAAGCTTTTAGGAGCAACAGTGGCTCAGCTACGCAATAGTAGACCACACAAACTGACAACTGGGGGCTGCCAAGTCCTGAGGCACATAAAATCACCTATCCTCTGTTGCATCGTTCACCACCCCTTAGTTTCAGTGAAGGGGGACATTAATGCTACAGCATGTGCTTCCAACTTTGTGTCAGCAGTTTGGGGGAGACCCCTTCCTGTTCCACTATGACTGAGCCCCAGTGCACAAAGCGATATTGTAAAGTTTTAATATTCTAATATTGCACTGATTACTATAACATGCCCTTTCTTTGTCCGCAGTTCGAAATGCTCTGGTCGTCATAGCAGCGACGTGTGTTGCGTACTCCACCGAGGTCATGGACTGCCATATCTTTACCCTGACCGGCAAGACCGCTAAGGGACTCCCTCCTTTCTCACCTCCGTCATTCTCAGAGACAACAGCCAACGGCACTCTTGTGTCCTTCAGCGATATCCTGCTGGTCAGTTCACAGACAACACATCACACTGTTGCACATTCACTGGCCGCTTTATTAGAAACCTCTCTTGTATCTCTACCTTGCTGGTTGATTTACAGACTGCAGCTACATCTGTTGATGCACAGTTTCTGTTGGTCCTCCTCCAGCTCTTCATGAGTGGTTTCTGACCATAGAGCCGTATTTTTTGGGTCTTAACCTAGCAATTCACACTGATGTGTGTAAAGGTGTGTAACTGCTGTGTTGAGAACGGACCACCACCCAAATAATATCTGGACAATAGCAGTGCTGTAGTCAGAAACTGACCAATGATGAATGAGCTAGAGGGAGGCTGATAAACTGTGGATAGGCTACAGTCTGTAATTATACAGCTATATAGTGAAAGTACAAGGTGGGTGTTTCTAATAAAGTGGACAGATAGAGGAAGTAGAAGGTAGGTGTTTCTAATAAAGTGGCCGGTTAGTGGAAGTAGAAGGTAGGTGTTTCTAATAAAGTGGACAGTTAGTGAAAACCCAAGGTAGGTCTTTCTATTAAAGTGTCTGCGGTTCACACGTTCACCTCCAGTATGTAAATCCCTACCAATACCCAAGTATTTTTTACATACAACAATATTTAATTTAATTAGACCATATTTTATCACACAGGACCAAAAACAGTTACAGACAGTTGGATCATGTGACTCTACTGACCATGCTGTTTTTCTTATCAGGACTTGGGAGGTGGCCTTGCTGTTATACCGCTGATGGGAGTGCTGGAAAGCATCGCTATTGCTAAAGCATTTGGTAAGCATGATCATTTTCAGCATATGACATGAAGACCTTAATTCAGCTTGGATTAAACCATTTTAATAACCTTAGGGCAGTAGTACACGTATCGCAACAGTATTGCAGTATTTCAAATCCGACCTGTGTCACTTTCATATGTGGTCGTAGATCGGATACGTATCCGATTCATGGCCATGCGACCTTAATGTGGTGCTCAGATCGGAATTCATGTGCTTTTTCTCCACTGCGCGTGCGGCGTCATTCAGCGTTACCATGGCAGCAGCGCCGAACAGAAGTTAAAGCCTGTAAACGGTGGAGAAGCAGCTCATCTCACCTTTTTCTCCTTCGTCTCACTCTAATAATGAAGCTGAGAGCTGATCAGAGTTACTGATCTTCTCAGCGAAGCTCGTTCTGCTCGTTAGTTTGTGCTGATGATGCACGTGATTCATTCACGTGACGTTACTGAGTAGGATGTGGTCATGAGGGTCATTTCAGGGCGCCGGTTCATCACATTAATGACAGATTTGAATCACTTACCTAAACGAGTTTGAACCATCATGTCAGAGAGATCGGATTTAAGCAAAAAATCGGATTTGAGAAATGAGGCTTGTAATGTGAACGTAGCTTTAGAGTAGTCGTGTGAGCTGCGATGCAGATTGAGGTGTAGAGTTTATGGTAGTTTGTAGTCTGTCGGGTAATTTGTACAACATATAATTAATCCAAGTGGTTTTGCTGTTTGACTCCTGGAACACAACGTGGGTGTTCTCTGTTCTCAGTTCTCTGTCTTGAGCCTTTTTTATAATGAGCTGATTAAATTGACATCACTTATTGGGTTTAGACTGCAACCAAACATGCATTCGTGAGCTCCTTCTTGTGTGGGTTTCTAGTGCTAGTTCAGTGGTAATAGCGCCCCATTATGGGGAATCTGAATTATTGTGGAGAAAATGATCTGTGCATTTTCCCAAAATGAACTTTGTCCTGCAACGTGGGCACATCTCTTTTTTTTTTAGTTGAGTCTGTTTTAGCTACTGCAGTTTGTTTGAGAGTTTTTCACTGGTTCTGTGCTCTTGCACTTTGTTTGTCTATAGCAGTGCCTTACACTGAGCACGGTTTAACTCTTCCCACACTCCTAATGTAACACCTGATAGAGCTGATGAAGCTCCAGGAGCTTCTGAATGAGGGAATCAGGTGGATCCGATTAGAGCTGCAGTAAAACTCTACAGGAGATTCAGTTGGAGCTCAACTCATTAACAGTCACTTACTGTGCGCACTGTTACTGCACCCTTTAGGATTAAGTGACCCTTATTAGTCCCACAATGGGGAAATTTCACCTCCGCATTTAACCCATCTGTGCAGTGAAACGCCACATAGTGAGCACACACACACTAGGGGGCAGTGAGCACACTTGCCTGGAGCGGTGGGCAGCCCTATCCACAGTGCCCAGGGAGCAGTTAGGTGCCTTGCTCAAGAGCACCTCAGTCACGTACTGTCGGCTCAGGGAATCAAACCGGCGACCTTCTGATCCCAGGGTTGGTTCCCTAACCTCCAGCCCATGACTGCCCCAGGTACAAACATGGCTGTTCTGGGTTCAGGAACATATTACTGTCCAATATTTCTTTGAAAAAAATATAGTTATTGTTGCTTCCAAACTTTTGGCCTGTAGAGTAGAGAAGTGTTTTTCGAACTTTGTCATCAGTCTGTGGTCTATTCATTCTCTCTGTCTCTCTGTTTTTCAGGCAGTCAGAATAATTACCGCATTAATGCCAACCTGGAGTTCTTCGCAATCGGTGCGTATTGTTCATGTTTTAATCAGGGATACATGAATTAGATATTTCTCCACAGCCGAGTTTCCAGCTGGATGATTTTATTAGCCTTTTTTAAAGCCTGATGCTCAAACTAGGTGAGCTAAATTAAATATATAGGACATACACCGATCAGGCCTAACATAAAGACCACCTCCTTGTTTCTACACTCATTGTCCATTTTATCAGCTCCACTTACTATATAGGTGCACTTTGTAGTTCTACAGTTACAGACTGTAGTCCATCTGTTTCTCTGCATACTTTGTTAGCCCCCTTTTACCCTGTTCTTCAGTGGTCAGGACCCCCACGGACCCTCACAGAGCAGGTACTATTTGTGTGGTGGATCATTCTCAGCACTGCAGTAACACTGACGTGGTGGTGGTGTGTTAGTGTGTGTTGTGCTGGTCTGAGTGGATCAGACACAGCAGTGCTGCTGGAGTTTTTAAACACCTCAGTGTCACTGCTGGACTGAGAATAGTCCACCAACCAAAAATATCCAGTCAACAGCGTCCTGTGGGCAGCGTCCTGTGACCACTGATGAAGGACTAGAGGATGACCTACACAAACTGTGCAGCAGCAGATGAGCTATCGTCTCTGACTTTACATCTACAAGGTGGACCGACAAGGTAGGAGTGTCTAATAGAGTGGACAGTGAGTGGACACAGTGATAGGTCATGTAATTGTAGAACTACAAAGTGCACCTATATAGTAAGTGGAGCTGATAAAATGGACAATGAGTGTCATAATGTTATGCCTGATCGGTGTATGTAATTGTGCCCGTGTGTTGCCAGTGTTGCCAGATTGGGTGGGTTTCCGCCCAGTCTGCTAGACTTTGGTTGGATTGGGCAGGGAAGAAGTCATTGTCATTATTTTGGTTTTGAAAAAAGTATATAAACTGTACAGTTACCAACACTTTGATTGACAGACTGTTGCCCCGCCCATCTGTATCATTCACAATCAACATTAGTGGTTAACTTACCCGGTTTATTATTGATGTAATAGATGGGCATTTGGGCCATAGTAGTATTATCCAGCTCAGTCTGAAATTGGATAGGCCTGTAATCTGTTCAGCTGAGCCTACAAAGTGTTATAATATTATTGCTATTCTTTTGTATTTTTGCCTGCATGTCATCATAGGCCCTATCATATACAGTGCATTAAAAAAAGATGTTAAATGATTTGAATTTGTCAAGCACTGCAAGTTCTAGAAATAAGATACACATACAAATACAAAATACGTCCCTGGAAGCTTATTACTGATGTTATGTTGGTTAAATGCTGTTTAATTTTGTATTATGGTTAAAATGACCTTGTTTTCGTCAGTTTTTGTGCATTTTGTCTGGTTTTAAACACTTTATTTAGCTGTAAACTATAGAAGCAATCTGGCAACCCTGCCTGTTGTGTGTCTTTGCAGGACTCACCAACATCTTGGGCTCTTTTGTCTCAGCGTATCCCGTCACTGGCAGCTTCGGGAGGTGTGTGTATTACATTAAATTGATTGAATCGTATGTATGCAGTTTCCTGGCTTACTCAAAATCAGCCGAGACATGTTTTATGTCTGACGTTTGCTTCTTTTTGTTTTGCACTGGAACTACGAGGCTCATCAATCCAGTGATCTATAATAATGGACAACAATATCCGCAACTTTATCCATTTTTTTGTGGGTAAAACATGTCATGTGAAGCAGAAACCCACATAATGCTAATTGGAAGAGTAAAGCTTCCATTGCTAACATTAGCATTGTAGCTCCAGTGCACAAGAGAAAGAAGCTTCAGACACGAACATGTCTTGGCTGACTTTCCCTATTTGGGTTAAGGGAGTGGAAACTGTCATTTTTTTTTTTTCATAATAATATAATTTATAATATTAGTGTTGTAAACTGGTGCACCAAAACCAGTACCAGAACCATTTAGCACCAGAAAACTGGAGCTATGCTAAATTCCATTGACAATCAGTCCAGAAGAAAGACTATTTTATGGTTTTTGGTACCTCAAGATTGACTCACAGAAGAAGACGTGCCGTAAACGTAACGTACAACTCAAACTTCATGCCACGGCTTTTTTTTAAAAAACATTGCGCCACTTTACCTGAAAATATGAGCATACATCATCTAGAAGATGAAGAATATTTAAATCCTTCATTTCATCAAGCATGTATTTGGTTTCAGCGTCGCTCCAAAAGTGTTTTGCTGCGTCTCGCGGTGATGCTGCTCACTTATCTCTGGTACCACTGTCTGTTTTTGTACAATTGCAGACTGAGAAATCTGAAAGAAATCAGAGTAAGAGTTCACCTGCACTGAGAAATCTGATTACTGAGCTAAAATCCAGCTCTCTTTATCGGATTTCTTAATCTGATTTCTAGACCTTACTCCGATGTAAGAAATCAGAGTGTGCTGTTCAAATGATCATTTGAATAATCAAATAACTGCAGAAATCTGATTATGATTGGATTATTGAGTGCCTGTAAAGGCACTCAAAGTCGTTCAGAGTGGTTTGGTGTGAAACGCTCTGTTCTAGAGAAAGTTGCCGAGTCGGAATTGTTCACAGTGGTGGTGATAGGAACCAGACGTCCACCTCTAAAATGTCTTTGTGTTGTAGTCGTGGCGACCCCTGGTTCCTATCACCACCACTGTAAAGAAATCAGAACTGATTCACACCAAACCACTCTAAATGTTTCTGTTTACATCTCAAAGATTAAATTATTGAAAAATCAGTGGAATTGCAGTGTAAGCACGTGATGTTCTGTCTTTTTCCTTTAAGAACTGCTGTAAACTCTCAGACGGGAGTGTGCACCCCTGCAGGAGGAATATTCACAGGTAAGCACATTTACACATTAACGTTAATTCTATTTAAAACGTAGGATCAGTTCGGTAGAATGATCTGTATGAATGATATAGATAATATAAAAGTACTACGCATTGTTATTGTTATTGAGCTCTAAGGCTTAATGCATTTAAATGACACTTTCTCTCTCTCAGGTTTGGTGGTGCTGTTATCTCTGGCGTTCCTCATGCCGCTCTTCTCCTACATCCCCAAAGCGTCTCTGGCTGCCGTTATCATCTGTGCTGTCGCTCCAATGTTCGACTTCAGAGTTGTGCCCCAAATCTGGAGAGTCAGGAGTGAGTCAGCAAACCATCATCCTCTTTTTACTCTTATTACTCTTACTCTTTCTACCAGTTCACTTTTCATCACCTTTTCATTCATTTCCTTCGCTTCTTTCGTTTTGTGCCAGAGCTACAAGGCTAATGTAGCTAATAAGCAATTAAAGCTTATACCCCACTAATTAGCATGGTGCTAATTCCTACCTAAATCACCACACACTTGTCTCAAAGCGTGTGGAGGTGTTTAGTATCGCTAAAAGTCTTGATTGTGTGGTTTCTGACACTGTATGACTCACTGTTATCTATAAACATAGATCAAAGTACATTAGCATAGCTAAAAGCAGTGTTAGCAGCCAACAAGAAAGCTACATTTTTGTCTGTATTTTTATTCGTTTTGGTCTAAATATGTCTTGGCGTAATAGGAAATAAATGTAAAATGCATTATTGCATTGTGCTGCATTAACCGCATCATTTTATGGGTTTTTAATTAAATATAATAAAATTTAACCAAAGTAGCAGTGACACTGACGTGGTGGTGGTGTGTTAGCGTGTGTTGTGCTGGTCTGAGTGGATCAGACACAGTTTTTAAACACTGTGTCCACTCACTGTCCACTCTATTAGACACTCCTACCTTCTCAGTCCACCTTGTAGATGTAAAGTCAGAGACGATAGCTCATCTGCTGCTGCACAGTTTGTGTTGGTCATCCTCTAGTCCTTCATCAGTGGTCACAGGACACTGCCCACAGGACGCTGTTGGTTGGATATTTTTGGTTTGGTTTGTGTGTGTGTGTGTGTGTGTGTGTGTGTATATATATATATATTATATATATAATAATTTAATTACAATATTACTATTCAAAGCTGAACTGAGAGGAGAAGAAGCCTGGGAGTTTAATTGGTTAATTAACCTCTCTGGTCTCTGTCTTTCTTTCTTCCTCTGTCTTTTTCTGTGTCTTCTTATTCCTCTCTGTCTCAGAGCTGGACGTGCTGCCCTTCTTGGTGACCTTCCTGGTCAGTTTCTGGGAGGTGCAGTATGGAATTGTGGGAGGTGTAGCTGTTTCAGGGCTGATGCTGCTTTATGTGGTTTCCAGGCCTAAGCTAAAGGTGAGCTATGGAGAACAGTCAGAAAATGGAAATTACACCATATTTCATAATTGACATTCAAGATAAAGCAAAAACATACTTTTAATTTTAAAGGAAATTTTCAGGCATAAATGTTATTGGATGGTTGAGATGATGGGCTTTTTATATGTCTGTTAACTCTGAAGATGTTCATGTGGGTCTGATTCCTCACTCGCATAACTACAGAACCTACACATTACTATCATTTAGATACTGAATAATTCATAGTAGTTACTGGATAATTCACAGTAGTTAGAGAATAGTAAGTAGGGATGCATTGATTCCAATACATCCCTACTCACCAGTACAGAGTCAGATACCATACTGAATTACCTACTTAGAACTAAGTAGTCGTTAGTGTAAATGTAGCTAATTTTAAATGAAGTGCGTTAGCTACAGCAGCTGTAAATAAAGTAAGTTTCATAGTTTTGATCTGTCTCAGCAGCAGCACAGCGACGGCAGGAATCACAACTGAGGCTAACCCATCTGAGAAGCTCATTTTACGTCTTGTTTTGGGCTTTTTAAATCAGACAACCTTGTTCTTTGTTGACTCGCATTGTATGTTTCAACAGACCATCGTGTACAGACAAAGCTTAGGATTTATACTGTACGAAAAACACTCCGTCCATGCTGTGTGAAACGGCCTCTACAGATAACTCTGTCTACAGAAAACTTAAAAAAAAAACAAAAAAACAGTTTGATACAAAACAACACACTGAGAGTGAGCTACAGCAGCTCGGCTAACCACACTGTGTACTGGAATATACACTGTGGGACAATATGGTCTGATTGCAGCCTATTTTATAATGCCAGTTTAAAGAATCTCTGTATTAACGTTTAGACCTCGGAATTCTGTTCGGTCAAAAAAAAGTTGGCATATGTGGACTTTGGTAGCAGTTGTGATTGTGTTTGTGTGCTTAGGGGTGTTTTCACGTATAGTTCCTTTTAAAAGAACCAAACTAAGTTCTGTTAAAGCGAACCTGAAAGGGAACCAACTGCAAACGACCTCGGAGCTTTTTGTGTTCACAGTGTAAATGAACTATAAAGAGGACTCCTGGTTTTCCTCCTGGTCCTTTTTAGCACTGATGAGATCTCAGACCACCTCTTGTTCAGACCATTAGAAGTCAGACCCCTTTTCACACCACTCACAGTGTGTGCAGTCCTGCAAAGTGGGCAGCGTTCTCTGATAAAGCTGACCTTTCAGATGGCGAGAGGAACTAAAGACATGCCTGCTGCTCTCCTGTTGGCCACGCTAAAACGACAACGACAACAAGTGCATCGAGGAAAATTGGAAAAATGACCCTGCGTGTCTGCCGCGGTGGCCTCGGTTTTCATCTGTGCTCCTCACTGAGCTCCGCCCGGCAAAAAGTTCGGTTTGTTTTTGGGACCGTTTAGAGGGTCTGAGTTTATGTGGCGTATTCACATAATGCACAGAAAACCTGACTCAGCGGTCTGAGTCCACTTACAGATACTGAAATGGCCCAAGTGTGAAAATGCCCTGAAACGGGCTAAAATCGTACAGTCCATTCCTGGCGGGAATCTGCCAAGGCAGAATGTTTAAAATGACCAGCGACTTTTCCTATCTGACCCTCACGGCATGAGCAAAACTCGTCTGTGCGAGCAGACCCTCCTTCACTGCCAGCACTGCCAGCACTGCCAGCTGGTATCGGATGTTGGTATCGGTGCCTTTTTATGAGGTTGAGTATGAGTAAATGAGCACTGGATCGGGCCGATACTGATACCAGTATCTGTATTGATGCATCCATAATAATGAGGCTTAAGGTAAAAACAAATAATAAGGTTTAAGGGCTTCAATGATCAGCTATGCAAATGTGCTCCTCTTTTTCTCTGAATAAGCTGAACTGAATTAAGTGTTTAAAGTGTGAACTGAACCCACAGATATCTGACCATAGGGTCATTGTGGTGGAGCTGGCGAGTGGGCTGCATTTTCCCGCCATAGAGCACCTCAGCGGAGTCCTGCGCACACACGCGCTACATGGTGAGAGACTCCCGCATATTCATATATCAAATCCAACACAAGCTACCTTCTTATTCCGTCTCTCTTTCTCTATCTCAGTATCTCCTCCTCGCAGCGCGGTGCTAGACTGTCACCACGTCAGCGATATTGACTACACTGTAGTGAATGAACTGAAGGATCTGCTGAAGCAGTTTAAGCTACATGACGTCTCCCTGGTGTTCACTGGACTGAAGGTAGGCCTGCAGGAAGGGCTGGGTAACTTTTGGATGTCTTGTGGCTTGTTTGTTTGTTTATTTGTTTATTTAGCCCCAATCTGCTCTTGCACTAAGAAGCTTTCCTCAAACTCATGGCCTCTCCATAATTTCGGCACTGAAAATAACTGACGCTAGCTCAGTCTGATAACTGTCCAACTGGTTAGTGTGTCGTGAGTGAACGGCTAGACTTCTCCCTCCACATCGCCACTCAGTGTACCATATACACCATATATACATTTCAGGCAGGAGTGGAAATGTTTAGATGGTCAGTGTTTAATAAACTGTAAAACATGTTATTTACACTGTTAGCCACATCTAATGTAAATCGATTTATTTTAAATTTAATTATTAAAGATCAATATTTAATAATGATTTTTTGGAAAACAATAGCAATGAATATATAGTATTTGTTATAGCTATTATATGTTCTTGTCGGAAGCTGGACCGTGTACACGCCCACACGCGACAACGCAAACTTGTTGCCTGCTAGTATGAACGCAGGGTAAGGATCGGACTCAAACTGATGCGACAGAACCGATGCCGTTGTAAGAGTAGAACTTGTAGCAGGATGCTGCTCTGGCCGTTGACCAGTCAGAACAGAGTGGCTGACCATTCAGTGCACACTGTCCTCACCGGGAGGCAGGGCTTAAAGACACAGGAGCTCTAACAGAGCATTTCAGACCGAGGGTGAATAGATATGAACAGTATGAGAAAAATGTTTTTGGAACATTGAAGTTGTAAATCTATTCTAGACCCCTTGAAAATGAGCTTTGGGTTTCTAGGTCTCTCATTCAGTTAGAAAGAAGTCTGGTCTTGTATTATTGGAAATGTGTAGCTAAGATTGTCAGTGAACAGATGGTGACCTCTTGTGGAAGAATTAGGCCCAGTCCCATTTCAGCCCTCGCCCCTACTACTTAGCCCTACCCCTCTGTTTTGCACGTTCACATCTAGGGGTAGGGTGTCCTGATTCTTGTTGAGGTAGACGGGTAGGGCGAAGTGTTAGGGCTACATGACCCTCCAAACAGAGGTGTTTCAGAGACTACAAACAGAGAGTTATGAGAAAAAAAGAAAAACCAGCAAGATGGCTGAACAAGAGACCAAAGAAACCCACAAATGTGAGAATTTTTTCCATTAAAAAATTACGATAACCATTGTATTATCTTAGTTTAATGTTGTTTCAGTGTATTATGGTCCTTTTTCTTCATAACAAGCATAAAAAAATTCCTAGTAGTTTGCTGATGTCTCGGTAGCTAGCTAACTAACTTTCCCATGCCACCTTAAATAGTGCAGCAGTTACATTCTGGTGCCTCAGGCATCAGAACTGCTGCACAATTTAAGGTGGAATGGGAAAATTCGAACAAGAATCTGGTAAATATCTGACTTCAGCTTCATATCACTGAAGAATTAGTGGTGGGTGATAATAAATAATTGCCCCCCTCTTTGAAGGCATATGTGTCCCTAAATGTAACTAAAGCCCAGCAGTGAGGAGCTGAACTTTACCCTCCTCTGCTGTCACTGCAGACTGGCAGGGTCGCCTACAGAGCAGTGCTGGTAGCTGTTAATGAAGTGATGCTCTTTTTATTTGAGGGTCCCATTTCATAGGGAAGATTTCAGCCACTACCCTGTAACTCAGTTCCAAGGGGCAAAGTGACGCTCAAAAACAAGGGGTAGAGGTAAAAATAAGAAATAGGATCAGGCCTCAGTCAAGTTTATATACCTGCCTGTCTGTCTCTGTCTTTCTCAGCCCTCTGTGTTGGAGGTGTTGTTAGCAGCCGAGCTGCCAGGCTTCAGACACAGAGACAGTGTGGAGGCCGGCCTACAGACGCTGTCCAACAACCCACACAGTGACTGACACTCAAGAACAACTGGAAGGCGGCTTTGAGCCTCTGGATCATCGCCGAATACCTCAACCAGTGACTTTAATATTCCGGAACACAAATGTTGGACCAAAGCCTTTTCAGAAAGGAACAAATCTAACCTGCTTTCCAGCTGCTGCTGAATCTTATGGACACTTCCTGGTGGACTATATGAGACCAAGTGATTTTTGCAGACGTTACATGTGGTGGGTATACTGTTCATTCCTTTCCAAGATACACTAATAATATTTCTGTTGTGTTTGAAAAATATCTGCCGTTGTTAGTCACATGACTGGCCACACGGCAAAGGACTGACTGGAATGACCAATCAATTTTTATTTTTCCCTCTTTTCAATGAGAAATACCTGCAAGAGGAACTCCATTGATTTTTCAAAATTCCTGCTTAATTAAATGGTTCAGAGTCATTCAGAGTGTCTTTGTTGGTTGTAGAGAAACTTCAGAACTGTTCACAGTGGTGGTGATAGGAACCAGACGTCCACCTCTAAAAGTTCCCTCACAGAAAGTTACTACATGGAATGATTATAAATGGATATGATGCCTGAGACACTGTTTTTGGTCTGTAATGTATTTTATTCCATTCATGGTGGAGGGATATATAATATGCAGGGTGTTGTGAGGAAAAATAGTCCCCCAAAAAGCTTATATTTTCAGATTTTCCACTTTATCAACATTCCATATAAATCCCAGAAGACTTCACTGGTGGTTTTGGATAGTAAATAAAATGGATATATTTGTGTTGTAGTCATGGCGACGCCTGGTTCCTATCAGCACCACTATGAGGAAGTCTCTACAATAAACCATTCCACCACTCTGAATGGCTCTGTTTACATCTCAAACCACTGAATTATGCAGAAATTTGGAAAAAACAACGGAATTCCTCTTTAAAGATCTTATGATATTTTTTTCTTCCACATTTCTGTCACAGTGCTAAAGTCTATGATGCTAATCATCACACCACCAATATTGATTGCTTTGCGCTTCTGTTAGCGCGTCTAACTCCTCAACACTAACACTAATAGATATAATATAATAGAATATAATAATATAATATAATGTGTGTCTTATTGCATAGATCACAAGATGTTTGAGGTTCCTCATGTTAAAGTGATGTTCAGACCAGGTGGAACAACTTATTTCTACTGTAGAACCGCTGTAAAGTGGAATTGTAGCAGCAAAAGTTACTAAAAATATAAGAACCTATGTGCCTTGTACACGAGACACTGTCGAAACAAGAACCTTAATGTATGTAACAGAGATATTTATGAATGATTACTGGTTCTGAGCTTTGCTACACTCTTAAAAAAGACGGTTCTTCAAAGTGCAGTAAAGGAATTGGCTCTGTTTAGAACCACGTGTTCTATATAGAGCCATTTCAAGCTTAAATGGTTCTTTTGCATGGTGAAATGGTTCTTCAGATTGAGGAGAATGTGTTGTATATCATTCTTTATAGAACTTTCTGAAAATTGTTCTGTGTAGCACCAAAAAGGGTTCTGCTATTGTTATGATGTCAATCAATTATAACAATAGAAGAATGCTTTTTGGTGCCATATAGAACCACATTCTCCATTAATCTGCAGAACAATTTCAGCAGGCAAAGAACCATTTAAGCATGGAATGGTTCTATAAAGGACACATGATTCTAAACAGAACCATTGCCATTCCTAAAGAACCCTTGAAGAACCATCTTTTTAAGAGTGTAGTGACTGACATTGTGTATTTTTTAGTAAAAAATTCTGAAATGGTTCTATATAGAACACAAGGTTCTAAACAGCACCATTCCTCTTCCTAAAGAACCTGAGAACCATGTTTTTAAGAGTGTAGTGACTGACTTTGTGTATTTTTAGAAGTTGAACACTTTTAAAATGTTTAAAAATGTACTAAAATGTTTAAAACGTATTTTCTATGTATTTCTTGGGTACAACTGACATTTTTCAGAAACATGATTTGTGAAACTACAGTGTAATGGACACTTTTAAGGCCTCCTGTGATCTGTTTTAAACTGAATTAACATGCTTTCTCTTTACAATAAAATCAGTCTTTTATAATAATAATAAACTGAACTGCACATTTTTGGTGTGTTTTATATGCTTAAACTGAATAAATCACAGCTGGCAAACAAAAATGAAATTAGAGCCTTTTTTAAAAATCTCTCATGGGTCATGATCTCATAACAAGAGCGTCCAGGAACTGCAGTGAGAAACTTTGAGCTAAATGTGGGTGGGGCCCCAATCCCATTTCACCCTTGGCCCCCACCAGTTTGCCCCCTCTTTTGCGCGTTCACGTCATTGGTGGTTCTAAACCTTTTGACCTGGGGGGGCCAGGCTGGGGTATGTTAGAGGGGCCAATTACTTTTTACCTTATTGTGCAATGCAGGCATTAAGAGGTGAAAGTCAGTGTTTGATATCATTCAACATTTTACTTCTGCAGTTTTCAGTTACATTTTCACTGTGTTCTGTGAGCTTTTGGTAGGACTCAAATGTCTGCATGCAAAGCCAAGCGCTCAGTCAGTTTTGAATATTCAAGTCAGGGGTGGATATCCCATCAGAGTCCTCGGGTACATTTTCAAAAGTGGCTGTGCTGGAGGATCATCTCCACATTTGCTGATAGCTGGAGTAAAAAAATCAATTTGAGTATTAACACAGAAATTTTCTACAGCAATGACTGGTTGAAAAGCGTTCTAACTGTGCTGTTATTTCGCCATAACATCGCGTTTTGCTCACAAACGCTGTATCACTCCACTGAGACGCTGTTGCTAAGCAACGACTTTGACAGCTGTAGGAGACGCTCGGGCCATTTGAATGTTTTTACTTCTTACTTTGCAACAAACAGAAAATGGACACTTACAAGATCACATTTGACCGACAGCCGATTTGGTCAGACTCTGAAGATCAGACGACACTAAATTCCCAAACTGTCATCACCACTGAGCAGCTTTTCAGTCGGCAGCTGTGACAGAAAAACATCTAAACAACCTGGAATCAGCCAGAAATGAACCCAACACCATTCGCCAAACGTGTAGTCTGATCTTCAGAGTCTGACCAAATCAGACTGAGCCATAAAACTGCCGCAATATCATAATATTATAATAAGTTTAGCTCAGTTTTGTCAGTTTTTGCCAGATCAGTATTAATGTTGTTTTGTTCCAGCCAGTCTGTAAAGCATCTTACAGCCCATTTAGTTTGGCGAATGGTATTGGGTTCATTTCTGGCTGATTCCAGGTTGTTTAGCTGTTCTTCTGTCACAGCTGCCGACTGAAAAGCTGCTCAGTGGTGATGACAGTTTAGGAATTTAGTGTAAGGAGCTGGAGAACGAACTGCCGGCTGTGCAGCGAGTGGGCGGAGCTCGTTACTCTGACGTAGAACAAGCTGCTTGTTAAGGAACTATAATTTGGTGAAGGAACTGCGAACATTAAAACATATTAAACGCCGCGTTCACGGCCCAGTTTATTAATTTATTACTTTATTTATTTAACTGTTGTATAAATGCAATAGAACACTCGAGGTTGTGTGTTATCCCTGTAACATCATGTGATGTTATTTTGCGATAACACACTCCCTCTCGTGTTCTGTTGCTTAAATATGATATGGATGTTTAGGTTACTTTCAAGCAATCTTTAACCTACAAATATTGAGAGACACCATATAATCTGACTAACAGAGCTCTTTAACAGCAGAAAACATATGTCATGCCACCACTACGATGGGATTTCTGCATTACCTATACAATGTACTTCGTAATGCATACCGTTCTCAATAACGCTAGACTACATGACTGTTAGTACATACATCTAAAGTAGCACACTTGGACAGACAGCTTTGACAAAACATTTTACTCACCTTTATTTCTTTTTTTTGTTTCTCTTTCTTTCTGCTTTCTGCTCCACAAGGGAAACTCGGCCCCTCATCTGAAAGGGGGTTTGTGAGAGTGAGGAGACTCGCTGCTCATTTAGGGGGACCAAAGTGGGGGCCAAGCTTGTTGTCCCAGGGGCACTGGCCCACTCTGCCCAACAACCCCCCCCCACCCCCCACCATAGAACTGCCACTGGTTCATATCTAATGATAGGGTGTCCCAATTCTTGTTGAGGTAGAGGGGTAGGGTGAAGTGTTGGAGCTACATGACCCTCCAAACAGAGTGATATCAGAAAAAAAGAAAAACTGGCAAGATGGCTGAACGAAAGACCAAAGAAACCCACAAATGTGAGAATTTCCTCTGTTAAAAATTACGATAATCACTATGTTATCTTAGTTTAATGTAGTTTCAGTGTATTGTGGTCCTTTTCTTTATAAAAAAACACTAATATACTGATGTCTCATTAACTATCTAGCTAAATTTCCCGTTCCACCTTAAATAGTCCAGCAGTTCTGACGCCTGAGGCGCTAGAATGTAACTGCTGCTCCATTTAAGGTGGAACGGGAAAATTCAAACAAGAAGCTGGTGAATATCTGACTTCAGCTTCATATCACTGAAGAATTAGTGGTGGGTGATAATAAATAATTGCCCCCCTTTGAAAGCGTATGATGCCCTAAATGTAGCTAAAGCCCAGCAGTGAGGAGCTGAACTTCCTTATTTTTTGTTAAGAGCAAAAGGCTGCTTTGTTTTACTGCAAGTATCAGTACGTCTGCTAGCCAAGCTGTGAAACAGGCAATACAAATAGATAATCTTGCTATTAACAGAAGAACACTTTGCTGAAATATGCTATTATGTAATGAACTGCTGAGGAGCGCGGTTGTTCTCTGTGTTATTCTGCCTTCAACTGTGTCCAAACACATCCCTACTTCCTTGATGTATTTTTAATCGCTGGATACAGTGTTGCCTGTGACCGGCTGAGAGGAAAAAAAACAAAAGGTGACGTGCCACACCCAGGCAGCCAGATAAACCGGTCAGTCTGTTGAAAGCAAAAGCAAAAATTGAGAAGGGAATTTTTGTTGTGGAGAGAGAAACGCAAACGTTAAGCAAATGGTGAGTATTTAAACCTCCTTTTTACTCTGAGTGATTTGACTGTGTGAGTTTATGAGTTTATTTAGTTGTAGTTTTTATGAGGCAATACGTCACTACCATGAACTGCAGACACAGCGATGACAGGTGAAATTTAAACAGGCCTCGGAGCAGTCTTCTCTGTCAGAGAAGAGCGAGGGAAGGGGATTCCTGTGGCCTTTTGGCATGCACATAGCATAGCATCAGCCCATATTGATCTCTCCATTCTTTGGTTTGAAGAAACAATAGTATAAAAGAAGATGCAACCACAAGGTTTTGCTTTCTAACTAGTATAATGTAACATGTCGCTGTTGTCGGAAGAAAACGGCATATATATAAAATGACAACTTTACAGGAGAAGGAAAAAACCTACTTTACTTTTAATGTAAGTCAATGGAACCAGAATTTTTGCCAAGTCGTTTTGGGCCATTTCTTTTGGTCCATTCCTCATTGAATTTACACACAATGTAAAGGCCAACAGGTACTTTCAAATTATGCCAAAAACTGAAAAATGACAAAAATGGAGATATGAGGTTTTGTTCCGACAGCAGCGATATATTTCTGCTGTACTTCATTCATGTTGTTGAAGGTAAATATTCCATTCTGAATTTTAACAGTATAATATTTGATTTACATCGTATAGATTATAGATGCTCTGGGAGAACATTTCATTCCATGGTGTGCATACGCAGTATTTGACGTAATTATTGTATATTTTTGTGTTGTACTGCACTGTAATGATTAATTACACTATGTGTCGGCTGTCATGTTCACTTTGTACTGTGTATGTGGCTCTGATGGTCTGGACATATACCGTTTTATCCCATTGTGTACTTCTATATGGTTTGGGAGACAAAAACAATCCTCCGTATCCTCCCATCATAATCAGATTAACAGAATTATGAGAATTATGATTAAAGAAAAACACTGAACAGAAGCATTTCGCTTTATAAAGTGGTTTATTAAGCATAAAGTTATAAAAGATATGTAAGAATATATTAATAGAATATTACAATTCAGAGGCCCTCTTCAGTTTAAACTGTTTCTTGCTGCAGTACAACTGATTCAGTTCACGAAGTGCTTGATAGTTTGCTGATAATTAAGTACTTTCTGTTTATTCTTAATTAATTTTGTTATATATTGAATTATCATTGATATACATGGATCAAACATTGGGATTAAATAAATGAACAGTACCGTTTATAAAATGGTCTTTAATGTTTATCTATTGAATGTTTACATATGTAAATATTGAAGATCCACCCATCTGTAGCTACACATTATTGTCTCAAGTCCTTTTTTCTAAGAGGTCACTGTGTACATACTGGCCACCTTATCAGACACCATTGTCAATATTTGTTGATACATATATATATGAATATGTTTTCACATAGGCATAATCATAATGTGACATTTTTTTATAATATATATTTTACAATATGTGTGTATAAATATGCATATATACACATTGTAATAATAATAATAATATAAATAATTATAGAAATAATACAAGTCCAATAAGGTTGGAGTTAAAGTAGATTTCCAGAAGCAAGGTTGGTGACCACTGTGTTACATAAACATTTACAGTTGTTGTAACCCTCTGAGTACTCTAACTCTGACCTGTGATTCCTTCTGAACAGGCTGGACCATGAGCAGGTGCGTTGAAGCAGAAGGGATGCTCTCCCTAATGTCCGGTTTCCCCCCTTGTGTGGTCCTGAAGCTTCATAAAAAGTAAGTGGCACTTAAAAATGATCTGAAAACTTAAGGATCTGAAAGGTAACAAACAGCAAGAAAGAGCAAGAGAGACGCTTTGTTGAGCCCTTGCCATGTTAAGATCCAATGTTGGCCAAACCTGATCAACCAGAGGTCTTTTTGGCCAGTCACAGATGCGCTCTCACTTGCTTCGTTCTGGGCTTTTTATTTCTGGAAACAGATTTGTTTTTTAATAAAGAGGCTGTCCAACTACATGTTTTGTCTCCTAAGTGGCTGGCGACAGGAGACGCAACCTACCTCATGTCATTCTCACGCAGCCAAAGGAAGGTCTGACACCATCATTTTCCAAACTGTATTGTATGGCTGAGAACAACACGGCTATTATTGGCATTTACTTTTGTTGCTTTGACACAACACAAAGCATTGTTGCGCACCTGCTGTGCTGTCTTGGGCACCCAGCTCTGAGATGACCCCTAGTTTCTTCCAGCTATAGTACCTGTAGTGTCAGAAGTAGACAGGTGGAGCTCCCCAGATGCAGGGAAACGACAAAATTTGGGGATTCCATCCGTCTTCTGAATTGCAGAGACTGACATACTACACTTAGAAAAGCTATCAAGTGTATTTACAATTTTACGATTCACCTTGCTTTGAAGGTGTCTTCACCTCTGTAAAAGTGTCTTGTCTTTTATATGCCAATGCTTTTTATATGCCAGTGAAATACAGCAGTAACTGAGGTAAATCTGCCAGTAGCTCAGTGAAAAATCAGTGATTTTTGAAGGAGGCTAAATACAGGGTCAATCAGCCAATCAGAACAGAGCCTATATCAGCCTGCGAATCGGAAATCAGAATGCCTTTTTTCTTCCTTAATGGGTGAAACAGGATACTCAAGAGGGAATGTATACTGTAATGCAACAGTGTCTTACTAAAGTAGCAGAAGAAGCTGTATGAGTCCGGGGTGAGACATGTCTCCTTATAGCGGATACTCACGCACACAGACAACAGGGGGTGCAGCTGAGTAGACTTCTCCTGTAGCTTTCTTCTTTGGCAATGATCTCAGGGCCTGTTTGACTTCAACTTCTAGCACTAACGGTTCTTCTATGTTGCCAAAATCAACAAATGGGACAAAAGAGATTGGAAAATGTTGCTGTCAAATTAATTATGGCTAATTTTGGTGCATAAAACCACACATAGTTGGACATGGGTCACTGTTTCTTCAGAGAAAAAAAAAGCCTAGTAATCTCACACTGTAATTTTAGTAGAGATCTCAGTAAAGTCATGCATTGTGTTCAGATTTGCCAAGATAAAACACTGCAATTGAGCTCTCATTTCTCCTTTGTCTCTCTTGTGTCTCATCTCTCCTTTTGTCTGGTGCTATTTCTCCTAAGGAACTCACCATTAAATCTTCGGATCTATCAAAGACCAACATTTGAGCAATAAAGTTTTCCTCTGGGAGTGTACTGATGATGGATCGCCAGTCGTCTGTAAACCTATCAGAGTTCAAAGAGGGCGACTCTTCCACTGGACAGAAGTGAGCTGGAATGATTGTAATATTGAGATTTTGTGCAGGTCAAGCTGTTCAGAGATTTTTGCAATTGGATTAGAGTTCATATCTCATCACAGTGTGCAGTAGTTCACAGTAATAATATGGATGAAAGTGGGAACATGTACAGGATGATGATGCATTAACCTGCAGTTAAGGGAAATAACCTGGAACAGCAGAAAGTTCTGCTTTCATAGCACAAAAATGAAACTGCTTCTTGCTTATCAGTTTAATCTAAAAAATGACGATGTTGTAGCAAGTATATGTACTAATTTTATTCAATCTAAATTAATATTTTGAATATTTGGGCCAATGTTTCAATCAATTGAATAAAGCTGATTAAATTGCTTATTACCACATAAAGTCATGTTTTTAGGATGAACTGCCAAACCATTTTTACAGTGTAGTATTGGGGTAGGATGTCCCCCAACCTGGTGTATGAAGCCCCCCACGGTAAATTTTGCATCTGTTTCCCACCGAGTTTCACAAAATATATGATTTAATTGTCAACTAATTTCTATTCTTTGTATGTTCAGAAATTGTGTTACTAGTCAAAGAACACTAAAAATATTATATATTACTTTTTTTAATATTATATATTATATTAAATACCATTGATGCCTTATTTATGTCTTAATGATTCAACTTAATTTTAATAAACTAAAAGACAAGTGACTGTAAAATAGTACCATTTAACAGGTATTTTTTTTCTATAGAATAGTTATTGTGATGCTAGCTAGCCAGTGAAACCCTTATACTAAAGGGAGCCTTATGCCCCGTGTCTGGGGGACTTACCCCAAAGGCCTAACTTTACATTGTCACTTCCCCATCACATATGAGAAATTTTCTTGTACTTAATCACACATGACCAATAATAGATCACTATTACTCAATATCCCCAAAATATTTAATTATTTGATCAGGAAAAATAAAGGGGGGTCTTTTGGCAGCATTTTACCCTGGAGGGCTTCTTCAGTAGGCACCCCATTTTTTACCTCTGGGTTGATTTTTTTTTTCTTAACAATTTTGCTTCTACTGTATTTACAGTAATGCTTAAAACACTGAACTTCAAAACTTACCAGACTTTATAAAAATATAGCAGTCAGACGTACTATATTTTTGTTTTAAGCTATTTTGGCCAGGATTACGATACACATTCAGGTAATACAGACTTCTTAGAACAACTTTGCATTTTGTACAGCATGCAACAGAACCAATCATGTTCTCTGGAACCCAGTTGTGTGTCTATGAAGAGTGACGAATCAATGAAATTACCAATAACCTTCAAAGACAGGGACACTTCTACAGATCTAAGGTAAGCAAGTATGACCTTTAGGGATTTAAGAAGAAACTGCTGGAACCCTCTTAGATTATTATTATTATTATTGTTGTTGTTGTTGTTGTTGTTGTTGTTGTTTTGTTGTTATTTCTCCATGTTAAAAGTATCTGAGCATTAGAGACTTGGTAACTAGGTCACAAATCTTACTCACAATTTAGGCAAGTGCCATGACACCTATTCACCACGGGGTGGTGCTATAAGAAGTGATTTTATGTTTTGGTTGATGTTTTCACAGCTGTCTTACAAATCCTAGGGTTCACCCAAATCAATGCAGCATTATGAGATAAGAACTTGGTTCAAAGAACAAAGAAATTGGGTAGACATAAAGGCCAGTTTTACTAAGAGAGGCACTAATTACCGATAGTTTGTCGACACTTTGCATTGGTGGGGGCAGCCAGTTTAGCAGGTTATCTACTAAGAACTTCCATGCAAAGGAACACAAGAAAAACTTCATATATGTACAGCAAAATATAAACACGTTTGACTTCAGCCTGAGAAAAAAGACTTTTTATCGTACGTTTCTTGTTCAAACTGTGACTCAGTAGGGCTTATTTCTCAATATTTTGGCTTAGTCAAACAGCTTTAATGTGTGCTTTTAACAATCATTTGGGAAACAAAACTGTCAGATGATTATATAGGCAAAACCTGATCTTTGATAGTGGAAAGATTTAGGAAACAGCAGCTTAAACCTTGTTTTTTCTACAAATATTTGGTCTTAGGTTTTTGTTCCTCACGTTAAGAATAAATAATTTGACTAAACATTTACAAAATAGAGCAATTTTGTCATCAAAAATGAGCAAATGTGATTGATAAACTTTTTTCTCTGAGCGCAAACAATGTGAGCCGTGTTAGCAAAAATAAGACAAGCTTTTCACAGTTGTTAAAGAACACACATTGAGTATTTAGTGTTTTATATAGTATTTTAGTCTTGGTAAATAGTACTAGGCACTTCATTATGATAATCTCCTCCCAGTATTTTTAGTTTTGAGAGGAAAAGTCCTACAAATTCAAATGAAATGAGGCAAAAGCACAAAGAGCAGCTCTGCCCCTTTTATCTTATTACAGGCGTGAAAGAAATGTTATGCCCATTTCGTAAATCACAACAACCACCTTTATACACCAAAATGTAGCTTGCAATGGCATAAAATGTTAGTAAACCTGCAGCATAGTCAACATAACACTCTGAAACCATTAGGAGAGGTTCTCATAATTATACGAGAATATTAGGATTTGTATTTAATGTATACATATCTGTGCAGACAGATTTCTAAATAAATCGTTGTTGGCTGTTATTGTTGACGTATTAAGTAGGTACTTTTATATATATTTTGTTTGTCTCTACAGTAAAAAACTGAGGAGGTCAAGTTCTGCTGAAAAACACTTGGACTTCGTTTTTGAAGTGTGTATACATGTGTGCTATCTTTTTTCCAATCATTTATATTACAAACCCAATTCCAAAAAAGTTGGGACGCTGTGTAAAATGTAAATAAATGTAAATAAAAACAGAATGCAATGATTTGCAAATCTCATAGACCCATATTTTATTCACAGTAGAACATAGAACACGTATCACATGTTGAAATTGAGACAAATTTTACCATTTCTTGAAAAACATTAACTCATTTAGAACTTGGTGGCAGCAACACATCTCAAAAAGGTTGGGACAGGGGCACCAAAAGGCTGGAAAAGTAAGTGGTACTAATAAAAAACAGCTGGAGGGGCAATTTGCAACTAACTCACATGACTGGGTATAAAAAGATCATTTTAGGGAGGCAGAGTCTCTCAGAAGCAAAGGTGGACAGAGGTTCACTAATCTGCGACAAACTGTGGAACAATTTCAATTGCGATGATGGTCAAAATTGGATGCTCATGATCTTAAGGCCCTCAGGTGGCACTGCATTGAAAACAGATTCTTTACTGGAAATCACTGCATGGGCTCAGAGACACTTCCAGAAACCATTGTCTGTGAACACAGTTTGCCGTGCAATCCACAAATGCAAGTTAAAGCTGTGTCATGCAAAGACGAAGCAGCTTACACATCTGGAAAGGCTCTATCAATGCTGAACAGTATATAGAGATTTTAGAACAACATATGCTCCCATCCAGACTGCAGCTCTTTCAGGGAAGGCCTTGTATATTTCAGCAAGACAATGCTAAACCACATACTGCATCATCATAACAGCATGGCTTCACAGAAGAAGAGTCCGCGTGATGAACTGGCCTGCAGTCCAGATCTTTCACCAATAGAAAACATTTGGCGCATCATGAATCGAAAAATCCGGCAAAGAAGACCCAGAACTGTTGAGCAGCTAGAATCCTACATCAGACAATAATGGGACAACATTCCTCTCCCAGCACTCCAGCAATTTGTCTGCTCACTTCCCAGACGTTTACAGACTGTTGTTAAAAGAAGAGGGGATGCTACACAATGGTAGACACGGCCCTGTCCCAACTTTTTTGAGATGCGTTGCTGCCATCAAGTTCTAAATTGGATACTATTTTCATGAAATGGTAAAATGTCTCACTTTCAACATCTGACATGTGTTCTATGTTCTTTTGTGAATAAAATATGGGTCTGAGATGTGCAGATCATTGCATTCTGTTTTTATTTACATTTATTTACATTTTACACAGCGTCCCCTGTTTTGGAATTGGGGTTTAACAAACAAATAACAATATTCTGTATTTCTATGGCCTGACTTCAGGAGCTGGAGCAGAAATCAATGTCTCTACTGACGAATGAGCTGAAGAGGTTCAAGGCATTACTGAGTACAGACGATGCTGTTTGCTCTGAGAGACAAGAAGAAGAGCAGAACAATGCCAAAGAGGGGATACTGAAGGCCATACTGCACATTCTGAGGAACATGAACCAGACAAACCTTGCTGAAAAGCTTCAGAGCAGTAAGAATTTTTGTTTATGTTTAATTTATGAGTAGTAATCCTGTCAATGAAAGTGTAAAACATTAAAACATTTATGACTGTTTTTCTCTGGTTTAACAGAAATGGCACCTGCGCAACAGCAAAAACTGAAATCCAAACTGAAGGACAAATTTAAAAGGATTAATGAAGGAATATCAATGCAAGGATTTTCAACTTCTCTGAATGAGATTTATACAGAGCTCTATATCACAGAAGATGGGAGTGAAGAGATCGACTGTAAACACGAGGTGAGACAGATTGAGACAGCAGCCATCAGACCAGCAACACAGGACACACCGATCAAATACAACAACATCTTTAAATCCTTACCTGGACAGGACAAACCCATCAGAACTGTGCTGACCAAAGGAGTGGCTGGAATCGGAAAAACCGTCTGTGTGCAGAAATTCATTCTGGACTGGGCCGAAGGAAAAGCAAACCAGGATGTCCACTTCATATTTCCATTTCCTTTTAGGGAGCTGAATTTAATGAAGGAAAAACAGCTCAGTCTGATGGACCTTCTTCATCGTTTGTTCCCAGAAACAAAAACATTAAGTTTAAGAGATGATGACAACAACTACAATATCATCTTTATCTTTGATGGTCTAGATGAATGTCGACTTCCTCTAGATTTCCACCACAATGAGATACTGTGTGATGTAACAGAGTCTGCCTCATTAGATGTACTGCTAACAAACCTCATCAAGGGAAATCTGCTTCCCTCTGCTCTCGTCTGGATAACCTCCAGACCAGCGGCAGCTAGTAAGATCCCTGCTGAGTCTGTGGACCAGGTAGTAGAGGTACAAGGGTTCAATGGTCCTCAGAAAGAGGAGTACTTCAGGAAGAGAATCAGGGACCAGAACCTGGCCAACACAATCATCAACCACATGAAGTTATCAAGAAGCCTCTACATCATGTGTTACATACCAGTCTTTTGTTGGATTTCAGCTACAAGTTTAGAAAGAAGATTGAGTGAGAAAGAGGGAGGCCAGATCCCCAAGACTCTGACCCAAATGTTCACATACTTTCTGATTTTTCAGACCAAACAGTGGAGTCAGAAATACACTGAAAAAGATGAAGTGGATCCTCACCAGACCACATTAAGAATTCTGGCCCTGGCAAAACTGGCCTTTCAACAACTTGAAAAAGGCAACTTGATCTTCTGTGAGGAAGATCTGAGAGAGTGTGGCATTGATGTCCAAGAAGCTTCAATGTATTCAGGGATGTGCAACCAAATCTTCAGAGAAGAGTTTGGGCTTCATCTTGGGAAAGTGTACTGCTTTGTGCATCTAAGCGTTCAGGAGTTTCTTGCTGCTTTATATGTTTTTCTATCTTTCATCATCAACAATGAAAATGTCCTAGAACAGCAAAGCACCAGTCCAGCTCATTTTCTCAAAGGAAAAACAATGCCTGACTTACTCAAGACTGCAGTGGACAAGGCCTTACAGAGTGAGAATGGACACCTAGACCTTTTCCTTCGTTTCCTTCTGGGTCTCTCAGTGGAATCCAATCAGGCTCTATTACAAGACCTACTCATAAAGACAGGAAAAAGCTCCTATGGTCAGGAAGAAATGATCACATACATCAAGGAGAAGATCAGGGAGAACCCATCACCAGATAAATCCATCAATTTGTTTCACTGTCTGAATGAACTGAATGATCATATGCTAGTACAAGACATTCAGAACTATGTCTGTATGAAAGACCATCGCTGTCTTTCTGGACTCAGCCTCTCTCCTGCCCAGTGGTCAGCTCTGGTGTTTCTGCTCCTGAACTCTGAAAAGGACATGGCTGAATTTAAGCTGAGTAAATATGACAGATCTGAGGAATGCTTTCTGAGGCTCCAGCCAGTGGTAAAGGCATCCAGAAAAGCAGAGTAAGTATTAATAAATTAGTAATTAATAAAGTTTACTAGCTATTTATTATAAACTCCTATCTTGAAGGTACCTTGCTCGCATACCCCATCTGTTGATGCATAATTTGTGTTAGCCATCCACTAGCCCTTCATCAGTTGTCAGTTTTTGAACACAGAGCCACAAACCTTTGGATGGTGATCCATTTTTAACTTAGCCGTGGAAATAACTGATTAAAACCCCAGCAACAATGCTGTGCCTGATACACTCATCTATTTTTGTCCCCCCACTTGTACGAGATATGAGATGACAATATCTCATTACTTTTCTTTCAGTCTTAGTCTTTGTAAGCTTACTGGGAAAAGCTGTGCAGCTCTGGCCTCAATCCTCAGCTCAAAATCCTCAAGTCTGAAAGAACTGGATCTGAACTCCAATGTTCTACAGGATTCAGGAATGAAGCTGATCTCTGTTGGATTGGAGAATCCACACTGTAAATTGATGAAGCTGAGGTGAGAGATTGCTTTTTCAAGCTTGTCACACACAAAATATAGAGCTTTTGTTTATTATTTATAAATTATTTAGTATATTAAAAATAGACATTATGAATCCTGTTTTTGTGCAGGCATAATTATAACAGTATAACAGCAGTTATTGCTAATTTGGGTAGATGCAAGTGGGTTTATTTCCATTTGTGACCAGCTGCTATTTCAGTTTGCAGAAATGATGGCACCTGCATCAGTGTGGATGGTGTGCTAGATACATTCACACATGCTAGCATCGTGATTTTATCACTTATTTTTATTCTTGTGCTATGACCATAAAAATACAGCGCAATGACATGACAATTCAGAAGGCAGTGTTCTGATATGTCATCATCTGTTTCCCAGGCTGAGTCTTTGTAATCTCACTGACAAAAGCTGTGCAGTTTTGGCCTCAACTCTAAAATGTAATTCTAATCTGAAAGAGCTGGACCTAAGTGCTAATAACCTGCAGGATTCAGGAGTGAGAAAGCTCTCTGCTGGATTAGAGAATCCACACTGTAAACTGGAATCACTCAGGTGATTGTCATTTTTGTCACTCATACACATATAGACTAGTAGTATTCTTTTGTTACACATTTTTATTTCTGTCTGTATCACTGTAGCTATACTGCTGTGCTCCACCTAACCCAACATTAGCAACCACAACACCTTTTGGCCTCTTTTACATTTCTAGCAAAGCTGCAGTTTTGGCTTAAATGAGCTCAACAACCCAATTTGTATAAACATAAATATTTCAACTACACTAATAATAATCACCATCACTGTTACTGTTGTAAGTTTTTTATTACATTTGTTGAATGTATGTCATCTAAGCATTTTCTTTGCAGACTGAAAGAATGCAGTATTACAGAGGAAGGCTGTGCCACTCTGGCTTCAGCCCTGCAATCAAACTCATCACACCTGAGAGAACTGAACTTGTGTGATAATAGACTACGGGACTTAGGAATGAAGCACCTTTCTGCTCTACTGCAGAATCCACAATGTAAACTAGAGAAACTACAGTGACTGTTGTCAATGCTATTAACATCTTTTAGCTTTTATATTTAAAACATTGTATTGAGTTATTAGAGTGCTTAGGGATTAACAGACATGTCAATCATACGCTGTTTTTCTTTCTTGCTGCAGGCTTTCTTTCTGTGGCATTACAGAGGAAGGCTGTGCTGCTCTGGCTTTAGCTCTGAAATCAAACCCCTCACATCTGAGAGAGCTGGACCTAAGGAAGAATGAGCCAGGGGATTCAGGAGCGAAGAAGCTCTCTACTTTGCTGGAGGATCCACATTGTAGACTTGAAAAACTAGAGTGAGTGGTGTCAGTATACATATGTATTACTGTCATCTTTATTATTTAAACCTTAAAATAGTGTGCTCGACATGTTCACTTAATTTCTTCACTACTCTCACATATATTACATAACAGCTAGCTATCATTACTTTAGTTTTACAAGTGACTGTAGAGTAAGACAGCAGGAAAAAGAATGACGATTCACAGCACATGAAGGTGCATGCTGCTTACATGACTATACTGAATGGTTACAGGACTTGTGATTGGACATATGCGAAGCCTTTGCTTTCCGCCATGATATTTGATATCTCTCCATTCTATTATAGCCTGTATAAGTGCAGTTTTAGAGAGGAAGGCTGTGCAGCTCTGGCTTCAGCTCTGAAGTCAAACCCTTCACATATGAGAGAACTGGACCTGGGCTATAGCAAACTCGGAGACTCTGGATCAATTCTGCTTTCTGGTTTTCTCAAGGATCCACAGTGCAAACTGGAGAAACTAAAGTGAGTTGCTGATTCACTGGCCATAAATATTACATGGTGATTGCACAGTCATCATTACTACCTACTGCTAAATGTGTCATTTTAATCCATGCTGTTGTTACTATTCAGTATCATTGGAACTACATTACATTTTACTTAAAAAATGTTCTAACCCTGCAATTTAAGGCATACAATTACCCCATCACAACTATCATGATTACATGTATTTTGAGGATTTTTTCTCTTTTTCTCCACAGACTGTATGATTGCAGCCTTGAATATGATGGCTGTGCTGCTCTGGTTTCAGCTCTGAAATCAAACCCCTCACACCTGAGAGAACTGAATCTGGGATATAATAAACCTGCAGACTCAGGAGTGAAGCTCCTTTCAGCTGTACTGGAGGATCCACAGTGTAGATTGGAGAAACTGAAGTGAGTCAAATTAAACAATATTTATCAATTAGTTAAATAGTTCAATAGTATAAAAAAATACCAGTTTTCCCAAATACTATGCATAACGCCCATAATACCATACTGTCCCCAAAACAACTAACTCACTTTTCTCATTATATCTAACACACTGCCCCCTTTAATACCAACACACTTTCCCCATAACACCCACCATATTGTACCATAATACCTAACATGTAGTCACTATAATACCATACAAACCATCCTTATAACACCAAACTCACAGTTCCATAATACCTATCACACTGTCCTCCAATACTTCAAACACAATCCCACAATACCTAACACACCTTACTTATAATAAACAGGGTACCTATAATACCTAACACACTGTCCCCATAAATCTAGCACACTGTCACCATAACAGCTAACACACTGTCCCCATAACAGCCAACACGCTTTCCCAACATCTAACACATTGTCCGCATGATACCTAACATGCTGTACCCATAATACCTAACACACTGTCCCCATGATACTTAACAAACTGTCCCTATAACACCTAGCCCACTGTCCCCATAATACCTAACACATTGTCCCCATAACACCTAACACACTGCCCATAATACCTAAGGTAATGTGCCCATAACACCTAACACACTGCCCCATAATACCTAACACAATGCCCTATAATACCCAACACACTGCCTCCATAACACCTAACACACTGTCCCAATAACAACACACTGTCTCCATAATACATAGTACAATGTACCCATAATACCTAACAAACTGTTAACACCTAAGACACTGCCCCATAACACCTAACACATTGCCCCATAACACCCAACACACTGTATGTATAACACCTAACACACTTTCCCCATGATACCTAACACAATGCTCCACAATACCTAACATACCTAACGCACTATTCATATATAGTATGTCTAACGCATTGCCCCATAATACCTAACACACTGCCACATAATATCTAGCATACTGTCCTCATAATACCCAACACACTGCCCATAATACCAAACATACTGTTCCCATAATATCTGACGCATTGTCCCCATAATACCTGACAAACTGCCCCATAACACAGTTCCCGATAATACCCAACACACTGCCCCACTGTTACTTCTTTTTTAGTGGCCTACATGCATGTGCTAAATTGTATATTGTGAGATTTTCTCCTTTTTGCAGTTTACATAACTGCAGGATTACAGCAAAAGGCTGTGATGATCTGGCTGAAGCTCTGAAATCAAACCCCTCACATCTAAGAGAGCTGGATTTGAGCAAGAATAAACCAGGAGACTCAGCAGCAAAACTGCTGTCAGCTCTATTGGTGGATCCCCAGTGCAAACTAGAGAAACTTACGTGAGTTACTGACTTTCTGTTTCTTTAACTTCAAGTCGTTGTTGTCATTTATTTATAAACCAACATTTTATTCACAAGATATGCATTTACATTAGAAAATGAAGACAACAATGTAAACAATGATTCTTTTTACAAGATTTTATACACCAAAATACCACATGATTCCACATGAATTTGTGCTGGAGTCTTGAATGAGCCTTTTAATTTTCAATAACATTATAATATAAATAGCAAATAAATTTTTATGCAGTGAAATTAGACATAAAATCTACAATCAGTGGAAAGCAACCTTTAAATGAAATAAATTTAAGAAAACAAAACTGCTTTTAGTGCATTGCGTAACCTCTGTGGTGCAATCTCTTGGTTCTCTTGATGAGCTGTCCAAGCCTGCAGGGGCCCAACAAATTTTTTTGGGGAACAGGGTCACCGCAGTCCACCCTGCACCATGGGCCCTGGTGTGACTGCCTCCCTGAACCCCCAGTATTTGCGCCACTTGTTAGGTTTCTGTCACACATTCTGTGTAAGACTGAATTAACTACAATGGCAATTTAATCTTTTTACCAGCTTTACTGATAATGAAGCTGACTGTAACAAAATAACATACAGTTTACTTATTATAATGCATGTTAATATGCAAACTATGACTTCTCTGTTGAAAGTATGCTGGGTATCTCAATGCCTGATTATTCTGTCCTGTTCTCTTGTCTCTTTTTGCCTCTTTGTTATGTCTTTCAGCATCTGGGCCTAAAATGTGATAAAGATTGAGATTGAAGAAGTAAATCTCAGTAGCAAATACAAGACTTTTTTTGTGTTTGCTGGCTTGAATAAAGTTACTGCATGCAAGCTTTAACCTCAATTTCAAGCTGACTGTATCACTGGACTTCCCGGAACTCTGCAGTTGAAACAATAGACCATAATATTTTCATACAATTTATTACATTTCTTTGAGTGTGCTTTTCAGAAACTGTCTTAATGCGATTTGATACATATCATAACGGAAGAAAATAGTCTCAATGTTATTTCAAGTGTTAAGGTGTACCCCAGGGTTCTGTTCTAGGCCAACTTCTATTATCACCGTACATGCTATTGTTACATTGTTACATTACATTATTAGGAAGCAGAGTCAGCTTTCATATCTATGTGGGTGGTGCATTATTATATACATCTGTGGAGCCAGATGATACCAATACCTTAAAGAAACTGGGGTTAAGTGTAACAGACTGAGGGGCGAGTTATAACAGTTGTTAAAGTCTGGTTAATTAATGCAGAACACAGTTAATTCAGTATAATTCTATGTTGTTTGTTTTACATTATGACGTTTGAAAAGAGGCTGTGTTGAATGTGGGAAATTTATGTTTGAATACAAAGATACAAAGTAGAACAGCAGCTTAATTTACGCGATATCTATAGCACATTTTTGATGAATGTGTGCATAAAGGCATCCAAAAAAAATTAAGCATTTTAAATGTATGGGGGGACATGGAGTTCTCTCATTGTTTACTTTGAGACTGTTAGTTGTAACACTGTTAAAACTACCCCCCAACTTTCATATGGAGGCTGTACTTTAGCTGGGCTAGCTCTCACTGTGAGTTATTTTCATGCTTCTAAATTGCACTACAGATGCTAATACAATGTTAATACGAATTGTATATGTGTATTAATATTAGTCAAGGCACTTGTTACCACAACTAGTTTTAAAAAAGCAGCTAAACACATTTTTATTTATTTTAACTTTATGTTAGCTGTTTGTTTTAGATTCACTTTAAGACAAATATTAACCTGTTTTATTTATTTTATTATTTGTTCTTATTAATTTCATTTGTGTTCAATGAGTTTTAGTGCTGCTTTTCCCCTTTTTATTTTTTAAAAAACAATATTATCATCTTCTGATTTCACAATATTTGTTGCTATACATTGTTCTGTTCACATTGTCTTACTTTTTTATTTATTGTGAAGCAGTTTGAGCTTCACATGTATGAAATGTGCAAAAAGCTTTTATTAAAGTTGATATTATTAACAGAAATGATACTCCAAATATTTTTCCCTACAGTGGAAAATCTGGAAAAGTAAATAAGAATTTGCTGTGATAAAATTGGTGCTTATGTAAATACACAATACAGTTACAAATACATACACAATACACAGCCACAAAAGGGTATACATAGCAAACAACTAAAAAACTATTAAAAACATTCATCTAGGCACTAGACGGTGAGTATGTTTTGATTATTTGATTATTAATGTAAATGAATGAACTACTGATTGCCTTAAATGTATGCTGTAAATGTTAAGAGCTGCGACAATAAAATGTTTGGCAGTGTTTTGACAAATTGGGGTTCTGTTCACTATGGAAAATTCAATTCAGCACAAATTCCTCTCCATAGGCAAGAATTGTTGAATACGCAGATTTCATTCACATGCACCAAACATCATTTTTAAGAAGACAATAAAAGAAACCTACATCCTGCTGCTAATAAAATTGGCTGTATATGTATTATGCAATCAGTTGATGATCTGACAGCATAAATTCCCACAGCTGTAATTCCCTTGGTGCTCACTAGAGGTCACTAGAGTAACAACCCAGACCTCTGTAAAAATTTGAATGTCACTGAATCACTGAGAGAAACAATAGGTGTGTTTTAATTGCAGCCAAATCAGTTTGCTGTAAGCAATATAAGCACACAACTGCTTTATATGTTGAACGATCAGTGAAAGAATCAGTAAATAACATTGTAAAGCTGTTTTTTTAATGTTAGCTGTTTTTAAACAGCTAATTTTTAATATTGTTCCAATAGGAAACCATGGCCTGTACAACAGTTCAAGTGCCCCTGTTAGCAATGACTGGAAGTTACTGGTGATGCCCACCATACGTTTTTGATCTTTGTAGATGTTTTACTATTTTTTAATGCTCCACAAATTTAACTTACCTCAAAACCTACCACTGAATCCATCCTGACCTGTGCTGGTGCTGCATCTGCTCAGGCCAAAGATAAACAGTGCATCATCCACTCTTCTGTAAAGATCATCAAGTGTAGTTTGTTGTCCATCCAAGACTTGTATGACTCCAGGATTAGGAAACAGATAAGATAGATCATTGCAGACCCTTCCCACCCTTCCCACCCTGCGCACCACCTATTAAAGAGATTACAACCTGAAAAATATTGCCTTTCATTCAAAAAGCAAAATTCCTACACACAGTAACACCCACTACCCAGCTCTGAACAGAACTCTTCTCGTTTGATGTCCAAAGTTTGCTTCTTTAGTTTTGCACTAGAGCTATGAGGCTAATGTAGTTAACATGTAACAGAAGCTTATATTAGCATCACCATTTAGCATTGTGCAAACTTAATGTCTAATTCATCACATACTTGCTTTAAACCATGTTGAGTTGTTAAGTAATCTCTAACCTGTTTACTTTAAAATGGACAAAAATATGCTAAAAACAGTAGCAGTGGTCATCTTGAAGACTCAGTTTTGTTCAGACAACAGTATGTCATAATATCAAAATCACATAAGCAAGTTTATCTGAGATTATTTAACATCTTTACATGGTTTGAAAGGAGTTTGCACAATGCTAACTAGTGCTAAAGTTTACTTGTTAGCTACTTTAGCCTTGTAGCTCCGGTGCAAAATCTGAGAACCATATTGAGACACTGTGTTTTCACTGGTTTACTATATTTAGCATAAGGTAAAAAGGGAAAATTTCACTTTTTTGCCAAACTACCGATGTAAAATAGCACCTACATACAATGAATAGCTTGTTTTCAATCAAATACACAGCAATTACACTTACAAAAAGGCACGACTGGTGACTGTATGGAGGTCATTCTACAGAAGATTTTGTGCCCATAGCGTTTACAGATATATTACACTTGAAAAACATGTTATGGCTACAATTTATTTATATTTTAAAATAAAACTTATTTTAACAATTACACCTTCTTGAGCCTCAATTTAGCAATATTGGTTTTTAAATCAATTATCTAGAATTCCAAGCACCACAGAAGTGCTCGTTCTCACAGTCATGTGTAAAGGCTGAGGCCATATTTTGAAGAAAAAAACACATTTTTATGCAATTTTAACTACAATAATCTATACAAGACTATGAAATATATGAATTAAATGAAAAAGAAAACAAATGGCAAATAAATATTATAAAATATATAATGATAGTTCCCAGGTGTCGTGTCACTGGTGTTACCGCTTAACAAAAAATCTCTTATTTTGAAATAAAAATCACACTGATGACATCACTTGACTTCCTTTTACCTGTTTTCTGAAGATCTATGAAGAAAAGCACATGGTGAGTCCACTGTGTCTTTCAGTTATCAGAGATTTTCTCATTTAGCTCATGATTTCATATCAAGCTTTTAGTTGAAGTCACTGGTGTGACCTATTTTATTCTGAGGTAATTGTGAAAAAATAGAATCCAAATGGATTAAATAACGTATTTTAGTGGATATTCCATGATTGACAACATGTGGTTTGATGCTCTGTAGCAGTTATTTTGTAAAATGTATTTTTTCATTAAAAATGTCTCTCGTGTTACCTTTCTTATGTGTAACACCAGTGAGGATCAGTAACACCAGTGACTCCTATGGATAGATAGAAAAGTGGACATTTGTGTAGAATGACCCATATGCTTGCAAAAAACTCTTACATTGTTTTGCATCTGCACTTGGAAAGCATTCCAGTCCAGTGCTAATTTTGTTACAGCTAATTTGGCAGCGGTTTATCCAGGGTGTTGAGAGAAGTCATATCACATGGTATACAGTGAGCTGTCGGTTTACAAAGTGACCCTGGGCACATTCACTAGGACTAGCGAAGTGCTCCAGTAGCCTATTAGCTCTTCTCCTTTGGGCCCTTGTGGGCAGCATTAGCCCAAACCTTGCCTGACCGCATTCACAATAGATTGTAAATGTGGAGTGTCAGATATAGCACACCAGCACGCTAATTTTGGAGCAGAACTGTGAACTTATTTCACACCACACTGTTGGATCATATGAGCTCAGTCAGAGAGAGAGAGTGAGAGAAGAAGAAGAACATGCTTTTCAGTGTCAGACATCTTAACGTCTTGTTTTGGTGAAAGCAGAGGTTTATATGCCTGAAGGTTTAGCTGGACCATTTTTAAAACATCATTAATGTTTAATTAGACTGAGGAGAATGCCCTCGAGCACCATTAGATCCACTTAGTACCAATAAACAATTAAACAAAAGGGTCATTCTACTGAAACGTGCACTTTTTTATCTCTCCATAGGTGTCACTGGTGTTACTGATCGTCATCGGTGTTACACATAAGAAAGGTAACACCAGAGACATTTTTAATGAAAAAATACATTTTACAAAATAACTGCTACAGAGCATCAAACCACATGTTGTCAATCATGAAAATCCACTAAAATATGTAATTTAATCCATTTGTATTCTATTTTTTCACAATGACCTCAGAATAAATTGGGTCACACTGGTGACTTCAGCTAAAAGCTTCATATGAAATCATGAGCTAAATGAGAAAATGTCTGATAACTGAAAGACACAGTGGACTCACCATGTGCTTTTCTTCATAGATCCTCAGAAAACAGGTAAAAGGAAGTCAAGTGATGTCATCAGTGTGATTTTTATTTCAAAATAAGAGATTTTTTGTTATGCAGTAACACCAGTGACACGACTCCTGGGGACAACTGAGGTGTTTAAAAACTCCAGCAGCACTGCTGTGTCTGATCCATTCGCACCAGCACAACACACTATGTGGGGGTCCTGACCATTTAAGAACAAAGTCTGTCATTGTAGAATTACAAAGTGCTCCTATTTGGTCAGTGTAGCTGATAAAATGAAAATAGCCCATTTCAAAAAAGTAGCATATATGTCACATATATGTCCAAACAAAAGTCGGTATATGAGTGAAATCCATATACTGCCATATTTCAGAGTCCTGAAATAACTGTACCACCTCCCTCCCCTCCCTTCAAGAGATATACAGCTCCCGTCTCACCCATAAAGCCCTCTGCATGACAGGTGATCCCACTCACCCACTACACAGCTTCTTCAACCTGGTGCCATCAGGGAGCAGACTGAGGAGTCTCCGGGCCAGGACCAGCAGACTGGGGGACAGCTTCATCCACCAGGTTGTCAGGATGCTGAACTCTCTCCCTACTTTGCATCCCCCCCCCCTTCTGCCCCCCACACACACAAAGTTTGGACCCCAACGCAGGTTCCTGACCCCCACTCCCCAATACTGAACTCTGACAGTAACACAGGTTACTGACCCCCACTCCCCAATACTGAACTCGGACAGTATTGGTCAAACACAGGTTCCTGACCCCCACTCCCCAATACTGAACTCTGACCTTCTCAGGGACTGTTACGCTTTAACTGCTCCATAAGCTCAGTCTAATTGCACCAGTTTATATTTGCACTATTTATACCCACAGACCTTAATCTGTTTGTGCCTTATGTCACTTTAGTGTTCATTTCAGGACCTTCTTATATTTATATTATTTTTTATTATTCTATTTTTCTACAATTAGTGTTTAATTTTACGATTAGTGTTTATTTAGTGTCTATTTAATTCACACATTTCCTGTTTACCGTCTATTTAATGTTATCGCTACACCATGGGGTCTGAGAGTAACGCAGTTTCAATACTCTGTATGTCCTGTACATACTGTAGTATTGACAATAAAGCTGACTTGACTTGACTTGACTTATGTGTTATGTTTATGAATCCTGTTCCTGGCACTTTCGCTAAAGTACAGGCGTTTTTCTTAAAAGTAAGTAAAGAAGATAATAAATTAGCCACTTGCTCAGTCTTTACACTCACACTGATAAACTTATTATTTTTAATAAAACGTCCACTAGCTGGAAAAATAAAGTGTGGTTAAGGAAGAAAAAGACATCAAAGTAAAAAAAAGCTTCATTTCTGAGATTTATTCAGAAAAATTGCATGGCTAATGCTAACTTCCAGCATTTTGCGCAGCGCGCGACGTCATCGTCACGTGACGCCCAGCAGTGAGAACGAGCGGTGAGGGGAGGGAGGGGAGCAGCGCGTCATATCAGGAGAGGGAGGGGTGGCCCGGGGGCGGGGCTTCGTGCAGCTTCGCGCCCTCTGATTGGCCGAGGCGGAGCGGAGCCCGAGCGGAGAGGCGCAGGCAGGCTGGAGCGCAGCAGCTGCGCCGTAGCATGGCATCGAGGAGGATGGAGACCAAACCCGTGATAACGTGCCTCAAAACGCTGCTTATCGTCTACTCCTTCGTCTTCTGGGTGAGTGCGAGCTGGTTACACGCGGGGACGCTGTTCTCGGTGCTTCTTTTGCAACGGATCCACGTGCAAATCGACTTATTAGGACTAATAATATTATTATTACATATTCACCGTCATGTTGCGCCGCTGCGAAACAAGTGCGCGTCCGCGATGAGGCACTCGAGACGCGCCTTAATGCGCGCAGCATTAAATAATAACCCTTTTAACCGTATAGAAGTGCGCGCGGGATGTGTGCAGGGTGTTGTTATGTTCTGGATGTGTGACTGTTGTGGGGAGTCGGGGCGCAGATGTTTTGGGGACGCCTTTACTGCAATGACCTTCCCGTTTCTGACCAGGAGAGGCAGTGCACAGCAGCCTTGGATGAGGGAGGGAGTGTGTGCAGGTGGACCCATCAAAACCCCCCCATGATTTGATACACGTAGCGTTTCATTCACATCTGCAGGGCTGCATCAGCACCTATACTGTTACATGAAAGGGGAAGGCCACTGCATTTCTGCCTAACCCAGTGGTTGAGATGTAAACAGTCAGAGTGGTCTCATGTGAAATGGGTCATTGTAGAGAAACTTAGAGTCAGATTGGTTCACAGTGGTGGTGATTAGAGCCGCAACAATTAATCGATTAGTTGTCGACTATTAAATTAATCAGCAACTATTCTGGGAATCGATTAATCGGTTTTAGGAATTGTTTTAAAAAAGTAAGTAAAAATTCTGATTCCTGCTTGAATATTTTCTGGTTTCTTTGCTCTTCTGTGACATCAACCTGAATATATTTGGGGTCTGGATAAAAAAAAGACATTTGAGGACGTCATCTCGGGCTTTGGAAAACACTGATCGACATTTTCTGACATTTTATAGAACAAACAACTAATCGATTAATCGATAACGGAAACTTACGACATGAAATGGCTTTGATTTTGGCCTAAAACATAGTTTCATGGTGGAGGGATACATGCAGGGTGTTGTAAGGCAAAATAGTCCCCCAAGAAAAGTATTATCGTCAGATTTATGACTATTTTACCATCATCAACATTCCATATAAACTCAGAAGAACATGTAGGTTCACTGGTGGTTTTGGATAGTAAATAAAACGGCTATATTTGTGTTGTAGACATTGTGACCCCTGGTTCCTATCAGCACCACTGTTATTAAATCTCAATAAGTCTCTCTACAGTGAACTATTTCATATTAAACCCATCTGAATGACTGTGTTTACATCTTAATGAGCTGCTTATGCTGAAACTTTGAAAAATAGATGAGATTGCCCTTTAAATCTCAGTTAATTAAGTGCTGTATAAGAAATTACTGAAACTGTATTGGACTTAAAGCTTGTTTGTGAGTTGTTATCGCAGTTAATGGCCCTTGCAGTACTGACATCGCTGGCCATCCTGTCCATATCTCATTTATCTATATAGATTTCTGTAGGTGTTTTGGTGAATTAAGGCCATCGGTCAGAGTAATGCAGGCCGATCTCTCTAACCAGGCGACCATAACGTGTTCATTAATGTGTTTTTATTGTGTTGTGAGGCATCAAAATCACAGTATTGTCTTAAACTGTATTTTGTCCATGTTGTGCAGCTTTAGTTCCCTGTGAAGTGGGATGTTGATCACGTATGTGTGAAGTCACATGGCATAATATCTCACCAGGTGTAGAAAAAGTGTCAGTGACACAGCTCTGAGTCAAACTGGTTGCATGTGATGCTCAAAATTGTCATTAGCTGTCCAGGCTGTAGCATTTTTATATTTACTAGATTAGTAAAGGCACACTAGATTTCATTTATGTTGTGGATTTAAGTGCCAAAATGGATAGAAATAATGTCTCCACAGCTGTAAACCAGACACGTTTTATTAGGGCTGGGCAATATGACAGTATATACACTTATCACGATAAATATGTCACAATACAGTACAGTATGCTTTTCTGAACATGTCGTGGATATTGTCAGTATCTGCCCTGACCTTCTGCATGTTTCAATATAAAAAGAGCAAAATTTGTCCAAATTAACTGGATTTAGTGTAACACAGTATGACAAATACTGACCAAAAATTATGGTATTCACAGTTTTTGATAGGTCACTCAGACTTGCTGATGTGGTTTAGAACACAGTCTGATTTACTAAAGCTTAGGTTCTAGTGTTTGTTGCTAGCAAACACTAGAACCTAATAGTCACCCAAATCTTTTCCAGAAATACATTTTCAGAAAGACGATTATCTCATTCCCACACCTTACTATGTCGTGTCCACACCATATTAATGCATGCGAATGAGATCCTAATGTGTGGCCACGACTTAGTAAGGCATGGGAACCAGATCATGCTTTGTTGAGCTGTGTTCAAGGCTTAATTATCTCATTCCCATGCCTTACTAAATTGTGGCAATGCATTAGGATCTCGTTCCCATGCCTTACTAAGTTGTGGCCATGACTTAATTATCTCGTTCCCACGCCTTACAAAGTTGTGGCCATGGCTTAATCATCTCATTCCCATGCCTTACTAAGTTGTGGCCGTGATTCAATTATCTCGTTTCCACACCTTACTAAGTTGTGGCCATGACTTAATTATCTCATTCTCACACCTTACTAAGTTGTGGCCACGCATTAGGATCTCGCTCCCATACGTTACTATGGTGTGGCCACGACATAGTAAGGCATGAGAACGAGATAATCAAGTCGTGGCCGCGACTTGGTAAGCCGTGGGAATGAGATCATGCTTTATGAACCTTGTCCAAGGCTTAATTGTCTCATTCCCACCCCTTACTAAGTTGTGGCCACTTACTGAGATTTCATTCCCAGGCCTTTTATACAGGATGTCACTAGCAGGGCTCCGTAGTACTTGGATTCTGCAAAGAAATATAAAGTACGTGAGGGTTTTCCAGAGAAGGGACGCTTTCATTCAGTGAAGATGACCTTTCAGTTTATTACAGCAGTATAAGCTTTTTTAAAAGGGCAAAATCTTAATAAAGTCTTATGTAGTATATCTTAAAATATCAGCTGGAATTCCTCATAAACTGGCTGTAATATAGTAACGTTTACAGCTGATGTAACTGTTAAATATAAGAACCAGCGTTCCTCAAGTTTTACTGTCTGGACTAATAAAAGTGCCTGAAAGCAGCCAGACTGAGATTTGTATGAACACCTGTAGGCTTTTGTCCGCTCAGTGTCTTCATCCTTAAGGCGACACTGTGAATGACCATTCCGATAGGGATTGACCTCTCGCACTACACCGGTAGCAAGTCTTTTAAAGGAATGTGTTGGTGAAAAAAAAAAGTACACAGTTTTCCACTGACGCCAGATAATCTACCAGCCAAGTCATCTTTGGTGTCCAAATGTTGCGTCTTCAGTTTTAAACTGGAGCTGCGTGGCTAATGTAGTGAAAAACACTAGAAATCAATAGTCACCGAAATCTTTTCCGTAAATATAATCTCCAAGCGTCTCTCAAAGTGCATCCAGGTCTTCCTTAAGGTTGTGCAGACTTGCCAATGTGGTGTAGGAGACAGTGTGACTTATTGTGAGCTGTAAAAATGAACAAAACTTGATTGAATAGCAACGTCCGGCTGCATAGTTTTGTTTTGTTTATTTGTGGAGTTTACAGTAAGTCATACTGTAACAAGTCTGAATGACATTAACGATGGCCTGGATGCAGTTTGAAGCATGTATTGCAGTTTTGAGCATGTATTTATGCAAAAGATTTGGGTGACTATTAAGTTTTAGTGTATGTTAGCAACGTTAGCCACGCAGCCTCAGTAAGTCATACTGTGTTCTTAACCAATCAGCAAGTCTGAGTGACCTTCATGAAGACCTGGATGCGTTTTGAGGGAATTCAGATAAGTTTTGGGGATGCATTTCTGGAAAAGATTTGGGTGACTATTAGGTTCTAGTGTTTGCTAGCAACATTAGCCTCTTAGCTTTAGTAAATCAGACTGTGTTCTAAACCACATCAGCAAGTCTGAGTGACCTAAACGATGACCTGAATGCAATTTGAATGAGTTGAGAGAGGTTTTGGGCATGTATTTATGCAAAAGATTTGGGTGACTATTGAGTTTTAGTGTTTGTTAGCAACATTAGCCTTGCAGCCTCAGTAAGTCTTGCCATGTTTTAAGCCACACTAGCAAGTCTAAGCAGCCCTAATGTCTGTTAATGTTAATATCTGGATGTGGTTTGAGGGGGTTCAGAAAAGTTTTGGGGATGTATTTCTGGAAAAGATTTGGGTGACTATTAATTTCTAGTGTTTGTTAGCAACATTAGCCTCTTAGCTTTAGTAAGTCATACTGTGTTCTAAACCACATCAGCAAGTCTGGGTGACCTTAACGAAGACCTGGATGTGGTTTAAGTGGGTTCAGAGAAATTTTGGGCATGTATTTCTGGAAAACATTTGGGTGACTATTAAGTACTAGTGTTTGTAAGCAATGTTAGCCTTTAGCACTAAACTAAAGAAGCAAAATTTGGGCACCAAACATGTCTGATGGACTGATCTAGGGGTAAATGGAAATGAAAATGTGCTATAATTTAATATGAATTAATTCTCACTCAGAGCTCATTGAAACAAGCGGAGAAATTGTGTGGAAAGTGCAGACTGTGAAATTTTGATCAATGCCACATTAGTGTTTGTGAGAAAAACAGGAGATATTTTGTTATGATTTGAATTTGATTAAGGGTTATTGTTGTATGAACAGTCTTGCTTTATGGAAAATTTTGTGGAAAGGTTTTTCTTGTGTTATTTCTCACATCAAACCTGTTGATAAAGAATGTAAATCAAATGTAATTGTAAATCATGGCATAACTATGTAAAAATGTATGTAATTATGTAGTTACAATTAAATACTATAGCAAAACAACATAAATGAATCCAGACTTCTGAGGGTTAATGACATCAGTGATGTCTGGTGTTGAAGGAATTTATGACACAAATGCATTAACAGACTTTATGGCTTGCCTGTGGACCAGGGCTGCATGATTTAGAGGTTATTTATTGTTATTGTAATATTTGCAATACTGATGTCACAGAC